TATAGACTTCCCTAGCGCGCGGTAGGGTATAGCCCTACGTAGACGCTACGAGCCCGATTAGGGCTATAGTTTAGCGCTTTATCTTTACTTAAAGCTATTTTAGGTACGCCTTTTAATATAATTTCCGATATACCTAAACCCTTAGTAGGCGGGCCTCTTAGACCGGTATTACTATATTAGCCTTAAGGCTAACCGGTATCGTTATTGCTTATCTCCTCTATATAAAGTATATTAACTCGCTTTTTAATAGTTTAAAAGTAACCGCGAACTTAGTCGCTTACTCCGCGTATACCTTCTAGGCCTCCTCTAAGCGCGCTACTATAGTAGCCTTATTAGGTCTAATACTAACTATATTTATATCGTCGGTAAAGCTAATAGTATAAATACTATATATTATACTAAGCCTTTCGTATAAGGGGGTTATATAGTATAGGAATAGGATCGGGGATAAGGGGGAGCCTTAGGGGACTCCCGATAGCACCTAAGTTAGTTCCGAGGTCCTCCTATTAAAGTAAAAGGTCGATCTTCTATTACTTATAAAGCTCTATATTAAGCTTATAAGCTATCTAGGGTATCCCCTAAGCTTTAGTTCCCTTATAAGCTTATTATAGTTAACTATATTAAATACGCTCTTAATATCTAGCTATAGGAACGATACGATGCCCTTATAGGCCTAGGTCGTACGTACTAGTTCCGTTACTAGTAGGATCGCCGCCTCTATAAAGCGTTCCCTCCTATTCCTTATTTATCCTTCTAGTAGGATATCGTTCGCTTCCGCTACCCCCGCGATCCTTTAGGCTAGTATCTACTTAAGTACTTTCCCTACTATAAGTAGGAGGGAAATAGGTCTCTATCCCCCTACTATACGGTAGGCTTCTAGCCTCTTACTAGGCTTTTAAATTACTACTACGTTCGCGCTATAGAACCGGCCTAGGAAATATAAAAGTTAGGTATAAGCGTTAAAGATTATAGCTAGTCGCTAGACTAGGGCTAGTCCGTACTTCTTAATAAACCTTAGGGGGACGCCGTCTAGTCCTACCGCTTTCTAGCTTACTATCTTACTTAGCGCTGCCGTAACGTCGGCTAGTTAGATCTATTAGTTAACTATAAGGGTCGCCTTAGCTATAGGCCGGGGTAGCCCTTAAGTCGTGCTAGCCTTTAGTAGGAAGAACTTAGCGGCTAGTATCTAGGCCTTCCCTTCGAAGGTTTCTATTAGTCGGTCCTCGCCCTCCTTAACTAGCGGCGGGATATAGGTTAGTTTTAATAGTAGCCTACTACGGAGTCTAGCCTACCTCTCTATATTCTAGAGCTTAGTATTATCCGCGCTAAATTCCTCTAGGAACTCGCGCTAGTAGGCCCTCCTCGCCTCGCGGACGGTCTACTTCTAAGCTATAGTCGCCTCGTATAGGTCTTCTTAGTTCGCCTTACTCCTTTCTCGCCTATACTTCCTCCTTGCCTTCTTAGCTTCCCTTATTACCCTTCCTACCTCTAGGGTAAACTATACGTTGCCCCTAGGTAATGCTCGCCCTTAGTATAGAACTATAGCTTTCGCGATCTATATAAAGGTAGTAAAGATATAGTCTAGGTCCCGGTCGATATCCTTAGGCGTTTAGAGCGTTAGCTAAAATAGCCTTAGCTAAGATATAGTCTTAGCTTTAACTAGCTTTACTTCTACTTCTTTCTACCTTAGGGCTAGTTTAGGCGCCTAGGCCTAGGTATTAACCTATAGTATAATAGTCTAAGGGATATAGTCTAACCTAGATAGGTCTAGGTTGGGCCCGGTATACTATATCTTAGTCTCTAGCGTTGCCTAAGCTAGGTCGATAGTGCTATCTTTTTAGCTATAGAAAAATCTTATATACTCCCCTCTTAAGGTAGCGAGTTCGAGTTATAGTCTTATCGCCTCCTATATAAGTTATATCGCCCCGTCTAAGGTTCTATTATATCTATCTTAGAGCGGGTAGTAGATATTAAAGTCCCTTACTATTATTATAGGGTGCTCCGGTTTAATTACGCTTAGGTCCCGTAACGCCCTAGCCCTCGCGGCTCCTAGTAGTAAGTAAATCGCTCTTAGTTTAGTACTATCCCCGAAAATTACCTCGCTTTAGTCTAGTCTAAACCGGGGCGACTATATCCCTAGCCCGAGCCTTTTATATATATATAGCGCGTACCTCCCCTCCTTATAAACTAAGCTATAAGGCGCCGCTCTAAGGGGTAGGGCCCCGCTTCCTAGCGTAGCTTCTACTTCCTATAATACTATTAGGTCGAAGCTAGCCTAGTAGTAAAGCGCTAACTAAGCTAGCTTATATCTCTTCTATATATTCTAGTATAGTACTTTTAGTTATATATAGGTAGGGTCGGGGTAAAGGGGTTCGTTTATATAAGGAAAGAGGCGCTCTATCTCTTAGTGCTTCTCTATCTACTATACCTATAAATATCGTTCGTGCTCGGTTTAGCCTCCCTAGCCCTATTAGCCGGCGGGTATCTTAAGCTCGACCTCTTATCCTAGCGCGGTCTACCCGGTCCCCGCTTTTAGACTATAAGCGGCTTAAGGACGCCTTAGGTTTCGACGGTAGGTAGTACTTATTACTCGGCGTAAGTCTAAGAGTTTACGAACTATTAAGGTTATCGTAGGTAGTTTTCCCTTACCTTTTCCTAGGCTTTATTTACTATAGGGTAAGTTTAGGTCTATAATAAGTAGTCTCCTTAGTATAAGACGTAGTTATAGGGGATTTCGCCCTTCTTAGCCCTATATTTATCCTCGCCCTTATTATATACTATACTCCTATATTAGCTATAAAGTTATATCGATATATACCGCCTAGCAATATAGCCGTACCTATAGTAATTATAGTATCTTTATAGTTAGACTAACTTATTATAGGGTTTATATTAAAAGATTTATATTTTAAGGACTAGGCCTAGGTTATAAAGCCTATTAGCCTCTTCTAGGCTACTAACCCTAATAAGTATAGTTATCGCCGTCGATATCTTAGATTAGGGGTATAGCGCCTAGGCCTAAAGGACCTCGACTTTATTTACCTCTATAATCTCGTAGAGTAGTCGCTCCCTATCTACCGTCGTTACCCTTAAGGGGATATTCTTAGCGACTACCGTATACGCGCGGCGGGTAATCGTAGCCTCTAGTCTAAACGCGGCCTTAACCTAGCCTTAGTCCCTCTAGTAGGCTCTCGCCGAGGTATTAAATATAACCGCGATATCCCCGCTTTAGAGGCGCCTCGCCGCTATAGCGCTCGTGGTCTTTAAGGCCGTATTTACCGCCTTTACTATATCCTTTAGTTCGCGGCCTAGGATTTCGGGCAATGCCTTAGTAGGGACTATAATAATTTCGCGTTTATAGCGCGGTAGGACCTATTTTACCGCGGCTTTATATTAGGTCGGTCCCCTAGTCTTAGCTACGACCGCGGCCTAAGTTCGCTTTAGGCCCTCCGGGCCTAAAGCAACGCCTAAGCGGAGTTCTTCCTTAATAGCCTCCTTAATTGCTTCCCGGATTATTATCTTAAAGTTCTTATCCGCGTAGAGCACCGCCGACGACGCGCTACCGGCGCGGCTCTTCGCCCTAGAGAGCTATTCGACTACTGCCTATACCCTACCGAACTATACGCTTAGGATAAAGCCCGCGAGTTCGTCGTATGCTACTTTTTCTACGGGGTCGCTCGGCGCCCGGGCAGGTATCGTATCGCTGCTTCGGGTTTATTGACTCGCCCTATCGGGGTGCATAAATTCGGGTGGCGTCTCCTCGCGCCACGCGCTCTAGTCGAGCCCGGTGCGTCGAGGGCCGCCACCGCGTCTACCTACCCCTTAGCCTCGGCGTAGTATCGTTATTTAGGGTAATTAATACCGCTAAATTAATTCCTAGTATTAGTTAGTATTTTAGTCGCGATATAAACCCGCTATAGGCGCGTATTAGTATCGTAAAAAGTTTTTATATAAAATATATAAGTTAATTATAAGTAGAACGAATACCTTATTGCTTATTTTAGCCTAGTAGTTCTAAAGATATCTATGATATAAGAATAGGTAGGGTATAGAATATTCTAGTTAAATCTACTACTTATACTAGAACCTATAGTCTTACGTTAACTATTACGTTATAATTAGACCACCTACTAAGTTAGGAAGATATACTATAGATAGAGCTTTTTAAGCACTATAGAATATACTAGAAAGCTAACTAATTAGTCTACTAGTAGGCGAGCAATAGTCTATAAAAGACGAAGGATTTCCCTAGGAGTAGTAGATAGAATAAGTAAGTTTATAAGCATCCTTTGCAACGCTATTCTTTTAATATATTATTTAGCCCCTTATATACTCGTTATAAATTCCGGACGAAATCCTACCCTATACTCCTTCGACCGATCTTTCCGCTTACGTTATCGATTACCCGATTCTACGCTTATTGCTTATACCTTCTTACATTATCCTAATAGATAGATAAAGATATATATCACTAAATTCACCTTCCTAAGCCCCTATTTCTTCTACTATGCTCTTAAGCCTCTGCTTAAGAGCAACGCATACGTCGAGTTCCCTATCTATCTGATTTGCGTAGGGAACTCATAGCAAAGCCACTACCAACGTTGACGCCGACCACGGCCCTTGGGGCTTCTTGAAATTCACCTTTAGATCTATACTATCCGTAGAGCTGAGACATTTACTGGGAGTGAACGCTACTGGTATTTTCACTGGGCGGTTCGTCTCGGGCCGCTCCGAATGGAACCAGGCTAAGCACTCTGGGTAATAATTAGACACTTGATTGGGGAATTGGAGTCTGAGGATGGGCAGGGCTAGGCCACGTGTTCCAAACGACCTAGGCCCTTTCTAATATTTTGCTAACTTAACCGGCGATTGGCATAGCCTCTATTAAGCATGAGGATTCTAACCGAGCCTATCCCCTACCTCTAATAGCTCCGTATCTAGATTTAATGCATTTTGTAACGGAGGACGTCGCATTTAACGGCCCGAGTCTGGTTCCAGCTCTAGCCGTTGTAGCCGCCGTCGTCGCCGTCATCGTCACCATCGTGGTGGTGGTGCTTGGGGTGCTTCTTGGGGTGCTTCTTAGGGTTCTTGGAGTGCTTCTTAGGGTGATGCTTGGGGTGCTTGTGGTGATGCTCGTCATCATCATCATCGTCGTCGTCGTCGTCTTGATGCTTCGTGGATGTGGTCTGGGCTTGTATTTCTACTGCTTAAGGAAGTATATCGTGATGCGCAAGTCGCCGCCGCAGTTATCCGATCCATCGCCGTCGCAGCCCTTATTGCACTGACTCAGGTCAACAATCTTAGCCCCGGAGGAAACGATCTCCTCCGGGTGGCCGCAGTGACACTCGTTGCCATTTTTCATACCGGCCACCGTATAGCCATTATCCTGGCATATATCGGTGTATGTCGACGGGAGCAAATTGCCGGGTTGCTGGACGAAGGGCAGGGTCCGCTTGTTGCTGTTATCGGTATAGCAGGCCTTGAATTTCTAGGGACCAATCTGCGGCACAAAGTCGTGGGCGGTCTTGGCAATGGTGCCGGCCGCAAAGCCGAACGCGACTGATAAAGCCTCGACCTTCATGGTGAAACGGGAATTAGAGTTGGTCTGAGAAAAAGACTAAGCGAAGTATTTCTTGCTGAGAGGGCTTGGCTAATTTATTCCTATTAAAGCCATGGCGCTGGATTACACGAGGACTCTATAGTAAGACAAGGAATTGTTTAATGTATAATAAGGAATTCACGGAGAGAGTCGTCCTGTTTAGGGCGAACCTAGCTGGCCTAATTCGCTTAGTTAGATTCCACCTATAGACCAGCGACATACTTGCTTTTACCGAATCTAGGGGCCGCGAGAAAGGTCCAATGCAACTCGGATAAGTGAGTGATTGGAACGTTGAGCCAGCGCATCGGATCGCCAGGGTTGTAGGGTGACCCAGGTGGATCCAAGATGAGCTGTGAGGATTGATCGGACTGTGATCCTCGTGAGCTAAGTGATCCAACCGTAGTGTCCCGGTTCCTGTCTATAGCATAGATACAGTCCCCAGCCATCTTGTTACCATCTACGATCTACCACAATGACAGTCGTTTCTGCCCGGATTCAGCTCACGGACGGCACCGTGCGGAAAGAATATTTTTTGCGCCTGTGGCAAGAGTATCTCTCGAAGATACCATACTCGCGGAACTTGGAAAGCCCATTGAAGGTCCATCGCAAATCAAATAAATGTGCGGACTCGAGTGTACAAATTCTTTTGAGCAAATGTTGTTCAAAGCTAGTGCCTTCCCTTCTGCTCCAAGGAAGGCGGCCTCGTGCCGGACTCCTGCTCGATTAAGGAGTGCCTGAATATCCTCAGTTAATGGCTGCCATGTCTTTCATGCGACGAGATCTTTTCTAGCTTGTCCCAAAGACTACCGCTGATCAGGACGTAACCATCTTCGATGTATATTTTCACAAGCAAATGATTCCACAGCGGGCTCCGTTGGTATGGCGCCCTCGATTCTGAGTCGTCTATCTTACCTGCGCTAATCGAGTACCAGCTCGAGCCAGCACTTCTCGTCCGCAAAGTGTCTGGCCCTGCCATCCACACAGCTTGGCTGAGACTTCATTCCGATAATACGCTAGCATTACCACAGACATGTGCCCGAGCTCGAGGAAACGGCCAGCTGCGCTTCGACAGGCAAGAAAAAGTGACAGCTGCATACAGTGTAAGTGGAGATCAGTCCTCCACCTTCGTTGCCCTGCATGTATACTGACCAAGTTGGTTCCTTGTGTCACGGCTTTCTTGGACAAGGACAACTTGGAACTTACTGAGTAGTGCGATTCCGACTTGGAAAATCCAGGATAAAGTCGACTTTACTTCATTTCTTGATCACTATGGTGTGCCTTCTCGGAAGGCTGCTTTGAAGGCGAATTCTTTAGCACCAGGGTCCAACTCGGCGGACGGCTGTTCGTCACCGAGGAGGTCGACGTGGCTAAGAAGGAGCCTACTAGCAAGACGATCAAAGCCATGAGAGCTGCAGCACCACACACCGACGTCGGTCATGTCGCCTTGGCATACAGCACCGGGATGGGCAAGGTCGTCACCGAGATAAACCCCAGCTTCTACTGTACACCAGAGGTTGTGCTCTTTTAGGGACAAAAATTTCCGAGCCTGAGCGCTCAGAGGTGCTCTTTCAGGCGGAAACCACAGATGGTACTCCGGTCACCAAAGTATGGGGCCCCTTTCAAGCACGTTGAGCTAGCTACGGCCTGCCAACAAAGTAGCTCGCCATGAAACCCGTAACCTCTTGACGCACTCGGCTTCGAAACGCTACGTGGACTGGGCCGATGGTAATCGGCTTGTGTTTGCACACCTTGCCAAGGGTTATGCATCCACCTCCCAGGATCGTGAGGGGAGAATCAAAAATCGGAGAACTCACGAATGGGGCAAAGGTGGTACTGCAGGCCTTCGGGTAGCCTAGCCACATGGCGGTCTATGACTATCTTCTCGTGCTGAGGACAAAAGCGACTGTTCCTACTTGCAGGTGCCACACACAAACAGGACCAGGCGTAAATCATGGTTTTCAAACTGAGTAATCGAATCTCAGAGCAGCTAGATTGCCACTTGTTCAATCAGGTTTGATGGGTTTTGCTATACAATCATACATTGTAACCTGTAAAGCCTGAATATCCGGCGTTAAGCATTTGCGGTTTCCCGACCAACTCGCAATTACTGGAATCACGACCAGCATGCACGAGGAAATGAGTGAAAGGCCGTATATAAAGTACAAGTCTTTAGCCGTACCGATAACTGATTTGATAGTATATGGCTTTGAAGGAGCTATGTCAGCGGCTGTGCTGTGACAGCCATGGACAGCTGATACAATCTGGGCACAAGATGTAGGGCATAACCACAGTCTCCCTTATGAGGCCTTCAAAGATCAACAATTGAAAGTAATCCTCGCCTCTTTCTTCACTCCATGGTTTTCGTGCTTGTGCTCATTACAAAACTTTCGCAGCGCAAGACACTGGTTTGAATTCTTCGTGTGTATTCTCTCGTTATTGTCCTTAAGGGGCATGGGTATCAGAGCCTCCTCTGTCGAGGGGTAGGAGGAGACATGTGTAAGCCGTCGTGTAAATGGCACCCGTCAAAATCAACGCGCATGGGATATCCTCTCTGTAACGCCGGCGACCGCTTGCTCTCGCTTGCAACACTCGTGGATATGGACCAATCTCAAAAGATGCCGTAGCGGCGGCGACGCGACCCGCGACCGTCAGTGCCGTGCATGCGACGAGTGCCGGCGGCCTACACGTATGGTCAGCTTGTGTCCACCACCTTGGCCGGTGAGAGGAGGGTGGTGCGTACCTTGAGGCCGGGACGGCGCGTCAGACTTCCCCGCAGCTTGATGAGGGCACCGCTGAGCTTGTCCTTCATAGTGGGCTTGCGCTTCTGGTGGTGGATGACGGGCTGGTGGTGGTGGACAGGCTCACGGCGGCGAGTGGAGGTGGAGAACATGATGGACGATGGATGGAGGAGTTTGTTTGTCTTGTTTCCTTTCTGTTGGATTGGCAGTGTGGTGGGTATGATGGAGAAGGCTAGGATGCCGTGGAAAAGGGGGAAGGGTAAAGCTGTATATTTATCTGCCCAGAGACGGCGGCCGCCGCAAGCATCATGTAGGTGGTGTAGGTCAAAAGAGCTTGGCTCCGTCATGACGGGGGGCGAGATGATGGCATGCTTGTCACGGACAGCTCGAGCCCGCAGATCACTCCCGGGCCCATGCTTGTTGAGGTTGGTTGGGTCACGCAAAGGCTGTACAGTCCTTGGAAGACAAGGGTGTGCTGGGAACTGGCTGGAAACAGGTATCGCCATGGCCAGAAATTGTGTGGCTGATGCGTACGAAGTAGACGTCATGGCCCACGACCCCATGACGGCAGGGCAGAGATGGCTGTGTCCCGTCGGGGCCCGAAGATGATGTCATGACGCATGCCGATCAACGGTCACCAGCCTCGACTCTCATCACGAAACAAGGCTATACTGAGAAATAAGGGGATTGCCTTGTCAAATGTTTAAGGCGCTAGAAGGGGCTGATCAATAAGCGTGCGTTCAGTCATGAGCCTCCACCCCTATCCCGCAAGCACATTACACCAGTTCTCGGGTCTGCCCGGTGAGTTCAGCAGACTCATCCGTTCAATCGTATCTCATCAGCCCTGAATCATCCCGGCTCTACTTCTAGGCCCCGTTGTTCGGTCGCACGCCGGTGTTGTTCTTGAAGCCGGCTCTGGTAAACTCCCGGCGGTATTTCAAGTCTTTGTTGTGCTTGTACGGCTTGGCTCCGTACGGCCTGGCTCTGCCGGTGGACGTGCTGCCGGCCGTCGTGGTGGGCGAGGGTGGCATCGGGTACTTGGGCTTGAGCTTGTACTTGGGCTTGGGCTTGTAATTGGGCTCGGGCTTCTCGCCGCCGCCCAGGAGACCATTGAGCAAGTCGGGTATTAGCCCCTGCCCGTCCCGCTGGCTGATGCTTTGCCGTTCGTTCCCCTCAACGATTCCCTGCGATGTCTCGGGCTGGCGTCCGCCAAACAACCTCTGGAGTTTCCTCTCGCCGTTTCTGGAAATCGCCTTGAACACGCTCTCCTTCCTTGGCCTCTTGGCGTGGTGGGGCTGCTGGCTCTCCATCAACTGCTCGTTGAGTCGTATGGCGATGCGGAGAAGCTCCTGTGCGTCCGCCTGGGCGAGGTTGACGGTGGCTCCCGCTCCCGCTTGCGAAACCTCGACATTGGCCTGCCTCTGTGCTGCCGCCTCCGACGGCGCGGCCAAGACACTGCCGGCGAGCGCGGCCAAGACGGCGGTGGACAAGCTGACCTTCATGGCGTGAGAGACCGGATAGATCTTGGTTGAAAGGAGACCTAGTTCTCTATTTCAAGGCTTGGCTTGAGAGAATGGGCGTACAGCTAAAAGGCAAGTCTGAACTTGGCTTCTGCGACGGCGACGACGACAACGACTATCGGTGACCCAACTGTCAGATGACGGGACTCGAGTCGACACTTTATACCCAGCGACCGATGGCCTGTTACAACTCGCGCCGCTATGTATCCGTCACTGATCCCGGCCTTTACTATACTGCTGTCTTGCGAGGAGGAATCCGCCCCTAGGCGCACGACAAGACAAAAAGACGACCAAAGCCGGCGATCATGCTGCGCGGCCTGCTGAGCAGCGACAGGCAGCTACGGACTCGCATGGCTGGAATTCGGTGCAATTTCTATGGAGGAAAGTATCCGGCAAAGGTCGATCTCTTATTCTCTCTCGCTCTCTCCTGTGCGCTCGCTTCTCGGCTCACCAAGCGATTTAGACTTTCAACAGATAACGAAAGACCAGGAGAAAGAAGTTGGTCGGGCTTGCGAGACAATCTGACATCTCGCAACATCTGGCACACCCACGAGCTGGAGGAATGTCGGCGGCTCTTGTCTTGGCCCATCGTCGATGTTGGCACCTTTGCAGTGTCGCCGACGCGCAAAGCCGAAGACTGCTGAAAGAGCCACCGCCTGGCATGGATCTGCAACTGCCGTTTGACCGCTATCTTTCCCTGTCCTCCCTTGTGGCCGTGACGACATTGGGACCGGTTCTGTCCCTTTTCCCTCACATCAGGATTGAGTTTCCTCTCTCCCCTCTCACCGCAGCCCGAAAGCCCTTTGGCTTTCCCAACCGGATTCCGTCGCATAACCCGAGCTGGTCTTGCCGCGCAAGAGCCGGGCAAAAGCAATGAAGATTGAAACTGTCGAGGCCCGGCTTGGTAGCACTGGCGTCGTGAAGAGGGGGAAATGGCCAAAGACAAGGGGGATAGGCCGGCTTGCGCTTTTGCAATGGTTCTGAGACACCCCCATTGCGTGTTAGTTTAGCCCGGCTTGTCCTGAAGCTAGGATCGCATTCCTGTCTTGTGCTGCCAGTTGCACTCTGTTCCCGCCCTGTCGTTTCGAGGCTCGTGCTCGACAATCGTCAAAGGCTGCGCAGAAGTTCGTCGAGAGTCCGAACCGCGACGGAAAATGGAACTCGTATTCAGGATACGTGTAACACTTGCTTTTCGTGTAATTACCCGGCCATGGCCATTTCCAGTTGGGCGCTGCGCGAATTGCTCACCCTGTCCATGCAGTTTCTCGGAAAGCGGTGCGAGTTGGGAGTTGCCGTGCGCAAAAGGGAGTGAGCTCGTGATACATACATGACGATCAAGGTAAAAGTCTGAGGCTCTTCCCTCAGACCTTGGGCGCCCGCATTGTCGGGGACAAAACCCGTGATGGCGGCGACCTTTGCGGCAACCCTCGACGCAAGGGCCTGCCCGTCGGCGACATGAACCGATTCCTGCCTCGGGCTGACACCGAGATTCCGCCAAAACTCGTGCGTCACCAGGCAAGCAAAGTGGAACTAGCTTTAGCAATCCCGTCCAGGATGCTTATTATATAGACCTCGGCCGATAAATCGTGTGCGCCTCAGACACGGGCCTGCCGAATTGTCAGTGGATGATGTGAATAGGGTGATCGGCCGTCATCCTGGGGATGCCTTTCCACTCAAACTAAGCTCTCTTACTTTCCTTCCCTTTGCTCACAGGAGTACTCATGGCTATCTGTCCACCTTGATGCTTTGTCGAGGCCCCTTTGCTCATAAATGCGGGCCACCGTGACTGTCGTGCCATCGGGCCAAACTCCAATTTTCAGAATTCGCCCTGCGTGATCCGATAATGACGTTTGAAGGCACTCAACGGGCGACTCCTTCCCGAAGAAACAGAAGCATGCTTTCTCCTGTCGCGAGATTCTTGCAGTGCCATGGCGGGAGTCCTTCGGAGCTGGGGCAGACACCAAGTTGACAGGCGATTCCGTGTTCGATACATCAGGCGACAAAGCTCTTACATGGATATCCCTATGAGAAATCACGAAAACTTACAACACCTTTACGTATGCAGCATAATATCCGACCCTATGGCTGCTCATGCTGCCTTCCCACCTATAGCACAGACGATTGCGCGCTCATCTTAACCGGTCAAAAGCGGATGCTTGGTACATGTTTTGACTCCGTCGCTTCTCATAAGAGAGAGAGAGGTATAATACAACCAGAAGTATCGTATTCAAATACGATGGCCTGGCCAAGTCCCATCGTTGCGCTGTGGTTGGAAGCCCCGCTCGCCTTGGACAAGTTTCAATGAGGCATGCGTGCTGAAAGGTTAAGAGAATCGGATGTCGTATGTAATCCTCAGGCAACGGCAGAAGCTTCGCAAAGATTAAAAAATCTTGAGAAGCTCTTCGCAGAGGATTTGTACCCGGGTAAAAGATGGAGGCCCAAAGTAACGTCTTGTGTCGGGCAATAAAGTTCTCGACCCTTGGCACAATGCCGAGCATTGAAAACACCACACGGCCGGCCATTGCTGAGCTCTAGCCATTGGCCCTTGAGAAAGACTGAAATATCGGAGGGATAACAACAGAAATCATCCCTCGGGATTGGTTCCGAGTCTACATGTACGTAAAACTCACTCGTCTGCCAACCTCGTCCACGTATAAAGCCCAGCCGAACCCCTTGTATTGTCAATAGATTATACTCTCAGGCTTTCATACCAACGGCCTAATTCCGCTCTCTTCACGTTCTGCAGTTACCAGTGACTTACACGGCGCAACCATGATCATGAACATCTTTGTACTCGGCCTCGTCGCCTCGAGCGTCCTCGGCCAAGCCGTCCCTAGCTTCAAGTCCCAGACGGACACTTCGGCCTCCCAGATGGAAACTTGTGCAACCAGGATCGCCTATATGCTCAAAGACGAATTCGACGTAAAACTGTGCTCCGGCTTATTCAATTCCAAAGACCCTTTGAGGCTCTGGATAGATGAAGTCTGCAGAGCCGAGGATATTGATTTGGCTTGCGCGGACCTCAACATCATCCCCAACCAATCCGGAATTTGGGTTAGAAGTCGGGGGTCAAGTCCAGGGCGGGGAGCCTGGTGAATCGCCAGCAACCTACCGAGCGCACTGGTGCTGCTGAGAGTTGCCTGCTAGTATAGCCAGAAGTAGTATTTGCGGTTCATGGTGGTTGTATATATATATCATCCTGCAGAGCCACAAATAGTCACGCAGCAGAGAAATCTGAGTAGAGTAAATCTATTACCTTAATACGGAGCTTTTCAAGCTTTCCTTGGCGGACGGAGAGCTCTTGATGGTGGAGCTTGACGACCTCGGTAGCAGCCGGCCCATTATCGCGTGGATAGTCTGGTGGCGGTCGATGTCCAGAAGTGGGCTTTGAAGTATGTACAGGCCTCCCTCAACGTGTCCGACATTTTACGAAATACCTCGACGAGAGAGCTGGCCGCAACGATTCCGGCAAAGTCAAAACTGCTGCCGGCTGCCCTACAGGGCCGCGTTGGACGGAAACGTCCGTCCCCTGACATGAAGCATCGCGTGCTTCTACTTTCCACGCTCGAAAAAGTCATAGGCCTCCTTCATTGCAACATTGAGCCCCTCGGTCATGCCAAAAGTCTTGTGGGTAACCAAGAGGTTGTGCGGCGCCAGTGGCGTGGCATGGAATTGCACTCGATGGCCGTTCACCTGCGCCATCTCCTCTGCAAAGCTCTTGATATCGTCGTGGAAAGCCTCTGCGGCGCCAGCATGGATGAACAGAGGTGTCGACAGCTTGAACGGGTGGTGGAGCGGCGAGGTGTAGGCTTCCGTGTCTTTGGAAACTTGTCCCTGGGGCAGAAACGATTCGGCTCCCCATTGCAGAAGGGGGCCGATCAGCAGGTCGGACCGTGAATGTCTGCTGTTGTCGTAGTCGCGCCCGGCATGGGCCGTGATGTGAACCCAAGGAGACCAGATGATGGCGCCGCCGGGCAGCGGGAGAGATGACGACGGCGAGTCTTCCAGGTAGCGCAGCAGTGCGAGAACGAGGTTGCCGCCGGCCGAGTCACCCGACACGATGATATTGCCGGGGTCGATGCCCAGAGACAGCACGTAGTGGTAGAAGGTGATGGCGTCCTGGAGGGCGGCAGGGAAGCGAGTCTCCGGGGTGCCCGACAACCGGTACTGAGCCCAGACGGTCCGGGTCGCCTTCATTTGCGCGGCCATGGCGTCGGCGACGGTCTGTCCCGCGAAATCATGGCTGAAGGCAAGGACATATCCGCCGCCGGGGTAGTGGATAACGACCTTTTGCTTCTTCAGCTCGGCAGCATCGCGCGGAGCCGGACTCGGGAACCATATGGCGTCCACGGGCGCCGGCTTGATGGCCTCGTGTTCGGAGCCCTCGAGGATGCCGGTGAAGAGGTGGTCGGGCGCGGGCTCGACACGCGAGAGCCGTTCCTTGGCCTTTCTGGGGTCCGTGTACATGGGGCGCTGGGAGCGGGTTGCGGTGGCATACTGGAAGAGCATTCGCAGCACGGCACTGGCGAGATTTGTGGTTGCGTCCCATTCCTCCAGCGGACGGAGTGGCCTGGCGAGGTACTGCAAGAAGAGGAGTGCCAGGTGTGGGGGTGCTTTGAGCAGGAAGAAGACAGTGTAGACGGCCTTGAAGGGCTGCGATGACCACAACGGAGCCATCGTGGATGTCTGGAACCTGTCTCTGGCTGCTCCCGGGGAGTGTTGTCGTGGCTGTGTGCACGGTACTTTGCGCGGCAAGTGCTGTTGTGGCCAAAGGCTTATAGCTTGCTGTCCTTGGGCGAGCGTAGGTGGAAACAGGGATCTGATGCAAAGCGGAGAAGGAGGAGGGGGAAGAAGAGGGGGAGAGACGGGACGGCCAGTTGGCTGGCGACCTAGATGTCGTGCAACGGGCGAAGATGTCTCGGCCTCTCTACATGAAGATGACCTTCACGTTGGTTGGACGCATGCAGTCCATACTGTACGTAATGTAGCATATGGTATACAGCAAGGGGACCGGAGTTCTATTGCTGTACTAGGCATTGTGTGGAACTCCCGTTGGCTCGGCCGGCAAGCTCCAGTGGACTCGGTCGTGGACTCGGTCGTGGAACACTTCTCCGTCCCGCTTCCTCCATCGACGTGCGTCTTGTTTGGCCCCCAGCTCCTCTCCGCTTCTCCGCTGGTCATGTGAATCACGGGCCGGGTTCTAGCCCGGCCGGATGAGTTAACCGATCAACTGTCGAATATGACCTCCATTGCCCGGTTGCGTTGCATGGCATGGGCTGTGTGCGTGGTATTGCAACCCCAACTCCCCCGGCGACGCAGTCATATCCATGTCCATGTAGTGATCGGCCGTGTCCGAAAAGACTCCGCTCCCGAGGGCCACCTCTGTCGTTGTCAGAATCGCAGCACGCCGTTGCACAACCGTTTCGTGTCAAGCAAGTATGTACTGTAATTATATCCTTCATGACAGGGGATGCTCAGTTTGACAGCTTGACTATTACATGTAAATAAGCGGCCATGCTCACAATATGCAGACGACATAGTGAGTGAGACAAGTAGACGGGGACGCCAGCAGCCAGGCTATCTTGACGGCATCAACCTCTGCCGTCTCTTTCCCAGCCCCCTCCCCCCTCCGGCGTGAAGGGTCTCGACGGCTTGATATCGGTCGACCTCCCTTTCTGGAATAGTATGAAGCCATCACAGACAGCTTCTTGCATCGACCATGCAATGCCTCATTGGCTCACGACAGCCAAAACCATCCACCCCCATTCTGGCCCAGCCTTCCCTGCATGTAGGTACAGTATGTTCGACCCTACACCCCCTCGTCAAGCCACGCGTACATCCCGATCCACCATGATACCCTTGGGAGGCATCCTCTCGACCTTGTGGTCCACATGTCCGTCGCCGGAACTTCCGTGCGCCCAGCTCCGGGAGGAACCATGGAATCCCATGTTATCCCTCTCATGCTGGGACGAGGAAGGCGGCTTGTTGCCTGCATCGGGCATCTCGTACTGATTGGAGATCTTGTACCCCCGGCCGCTGGAATTGGGGCTCGACCGAGACCACAGCGACGCGGTCCAGCTTCCGATATACTCAAAGGGCGTGCTGATGGTGGGTAGCAGAGGGCCGAGTGTTGGTAGGCAAGCACAGATGATGGCGAGCCCAAGCTGTATGGTGGACCACATCATTGTGGGGGAAAAGTCGACTGATTTGCCGTGAGCCTCCATATCCAAGGCCCATGATTACACGTAGCACTGGGGACGACTCACCGCCCTTATCGACGTCTGGAGGGTGCCAAATCATGCTCAATCGTACAATGCTTGCCACGCAAACGCTGCAACACCTGTCAGTCTCAGGCACCAAGACCCATCACCAGAGCGTTTCTCACAAAGCGCCCAGGAGGAAGATGACCAAGACACCCATCTTCTTGAACGACGACAGACGCAGCTTCCACACAATGGGCACCGGAATGCACAGGATGGCAACGTCGAAGAACAAGTTGGTCATTTCGTAGCCGAGCAGGAGGCGCGGACTGCTGAAGCACCAAGGCTTCATCACATAGTTGTCCCAGTACGCGTGGATGGGATTGCATTGGAAGACGACGACAAACGTGGCCACGACAAACCAGACAAGGCAGGCGACCGCGGCCCCCTTGATGACGAGCTTGTTCAGGGTGCTGTTGGCGCCGGAGAAGATGGTGTAGTAGAGCCAAAGGATGCTGAGCTTGGCAATAGTGATGATGAGTCCGAAGAGTATCTCGGACGCGTAAGTCGTCTATGTATCGAGCATGTGAGCTTGGAAGCGGTGGATGAGATGAACATGCTGCGCTACTTGCGTCGTACCTTGAGAAGATTCCTCAGCTCCACGAGGCCCCGCGTCGGTTCAATGTCAAATGAGCCATACAGGGACGTGTCGACAATGACTAGACGCATCCAACTTGCCCGTCAGCGCCGGCTCTTGGCCAACAGACATCAGACCAAAGATGTTGGCTCAAGACTCACAGTGGATGATCAGCCCGCAGTAAGTGTAGAACAGAGGCATGGACAATAGGCACAACCAGTCGGCACCGGTGGGCGCCTGATGGCGGCTCGTCTTGACAGCAAACCTTGCAATCGTGGCGAGTGTCGTCAAGATGATCATGGCAATGCAAGCACCCAGGTTGTCCCTGCCGCTTTCTGTGAGAGCTCGCATGGTGAATACCGTCGAACCGAGACCAGGCGACTTGGGATCGAAAGGAAGACTGAAGCCTCGACAAGCTCGAGCCCGGGAGTCAAAGGTTTGTGAATCAACCTGTCAAGAAAACCACGGCGGACGGCCGCTGGATGCTGCTTACACGCCCTTTCTCCCTCCCTCCCTCATCCGCCGACGTAAGCGTGGCTAGTTTATATGGGAGCGTACGATTTCTGCATCATAGTGGCGGCCAATCGCTCTCTGTTTTCGGAAATATCGAGGAAGCGCTTTGCCGCCAGGGGGCGGGCCCTTGACTTGCAGGAAAGAGGCAGCGTGGGACCGAGGCCGTAAGCAGCAAGGCCCGAGAAGCAGAAAGGCTGACAGACTGCAACGGTGTTGATCTGATATGTTACATGCGGCTAGTGGTCGCTCTCCGCTGCATACTTGGGGGCGGAAGCGTTGCCCGAGAGGGGAAAGGAGGAGGATGCAGTGCCGATTGTCTGCATTGTCGGCATTCATCAGCCATTAGGGAACTGCGAGGGAGCAATGTTTCGACAGTCCACCAGAGCCTTGCAGCCAACAGCGCTCGTGTGACCGTTGCTGGTCTCAGACTCATCAGACGCGTGTGAGAGGGGGATTCCCGTCAGCCTCGTTCACGCAGGACTCCGTATAGTCCATACGTGCGCGGAGATGGGCGCGTACGTCAATGACCGCACATTAAACCCTCGGTCAAGTAGTAGCAAGCTTCCATTCTCGGCGTGATGCGTCGCTGGGGGCTGTGCCTCGTTGCCCAACCTTGCCGCCTGGTCTGACCACATAGCCCGATGCAGGTCGATCAGCGGTCCGGGAATCAAGTGTCGTTTACTCACGCTTGGCAAATGGACTTGGCCCGGTTCGCCCTTTCAACAGACGCATGTTGACGGAGTCGGTGTTGTAGCGTCAAGCCCATGAAGACGCCTGAAGTGTCTAAGATGGCATTGCATGTATGTATGCGACTGTAGCATCCCGAAGGGTTGAGCCCCCTCTACTCCCGACCACTACCCAAGGTAGGACCTGGTGCCAGTATATAGATAGCTGTATAAAGGTAGGATAGTCATCGCCCAAAGCCCCGAAACGTGGTATTGAAACTAGAACAAGCTCAGCAGCTCTGTGCTTCCCATGATGCATCACGAAATGGCCCCTCGACAACACGGAGCCGAGGACCCCGTCGTCATTGTAGGATTTGCGTTTCGTTTCCCCCAAGAGGCCGTCTCCGAAGATGCCTTTTGGAACATCATTCGCGATGGCCTCTCCACGAGAACAGAGGTGCCAAGAAGCCGCTACAATATCAATGGCCATAATTCCCAAACCCCGGGGCGGCAAGATACGGTTCGTCACGACCATCCCTCACTCGATCGTCTGCTCGTGCTCCAATCCTCTGACGCAGGAGAATAGGGGGCGCCTCGGCAGAGCCACTTCATCAAGGGAGACATTTCGACCTTTGATGCGCCCTTTTTCAAGATGAGCAGTGTCGAGGCCAAGGCTATGGATCCTCAACTGCGCCTCTTGCTCGAGACGACGTATCACGCGTTTGAGAATGGTGTGTTATTCAAGATGTCTTTCTTTTGTGGGATGCTTGCTTCGCCCGCTTCAGGCCCCTTGGAAACATGCACTGAATTCATGCTCGCAGCCGGCGTGTCCCTGGACAAGGTGCAGGGGAGCAACACATCCGTGTACGTGGGAAACCTCGCCCAAGAGTACGTGTCGCTGTTTTCGCACGACGGCGAAATAAGTGCAAAGTATCAGGCCACTGGAAACTCGGCCGCCATGCTCTCAAACAGACTGAGCTGGTTCTACGACCTGCGCGGTCCCAGCGTGTCCATCGATACCGCTTGCTCCAGCAGCCTTGTCGCCCTCCACATCGCATGCCAAAGCTTGCTTCGGGGCGAGTCTGACATGGTAACCACGTCTTTCCCTTCCATACCTGAGCACCTGCGCTGAACCCGTGCCAGAGCATCGTCGGCGGCGTCCAGCTGCAGCTCGATCCCATGACCATGACGGCCCCGATATCGAGGCTGGGGTTTCTGTCTCCCGATGGCCAGTGCTACAGCTTCGACGATCGAGCAAACGGCTACAGCCGAGCCGAGGGCGTCGGCATGGTCGTTCTGAAGCGACTATCTCACGCCGTCCGCGACGGCGACACAATTAGAGCCGTCATCCGCGGCACCTCGGCCAACCAGGACGGCCGCACGCCTTCCATATCGCAGCCGAGCGCAACTGCTCAAGCCGCTCTGATCCGGAAAGCGTACGAGCCCTTGGGTGACGACTTTGGTCTTCCGGGGTATTTCGAGGCCCACGGTACCGGCACCGCCATCGGCGATCCCATAGAAGCAGAAGCAATCAGCCTGGCGTTTTCGGGGCTCCTCTCCCCGGAGACGCCACTCCATGTCGGCTCCGTCAAGGCCAACATCGGCCATCTTGAGCCTTCGGCCGGCATAGCTGGGCTGATCAAGACGGTCCTGATGCTCGAAAGGGGCGTGATCCCCCCGAATGCGTTGCTCGAGAATCTGAACCCGAGGATAAAGGCCGACAAGTGGCATCTCAAGGTGAGCAAGCCCAAGTATAAGGCAGCAGTCTTGAAAGGCCTGCTAACATTCGCAGTTTCCGACGTCGGCTCTCCCGTGGCCAACAGAGGGACTGAGGCGGGCCTCTGTCAACAGCTTCGGATTCGGCGGTACCAACTCCCATGTGGTTATTGACGATGCCTTGCATTATCTACAGAGCCGTGGGATACAGGCAGTGCATAACACCAGATCAGAGACAAGGAGTTGCGATGTCTCAGCAGAAGACCGCAGCCAACCTTTGGCCAACGGGGCAGTAACAAACGGAATCTCCAAAGCTGTCCCCGACAAGCTGCTCTTCCTCTTATGCGCCGCCGACGAGAACGGCGTGCGCCGGCAAGCCGCAGCCCTGGAGAACCATCTGGCCCAGCCTGACAGAGCCTTCTCAAGCGAATACCTGCAAGACCTTGCCTTTACGCTGGGCAGCAGGCGGAGCATGCTGCCATGGAAGTCCTTTGCCCTGGGGGCTTCTGCGCAAGAGCTACAGCAAAGTCTGCACGGCTTGTCCCAGAAACCGATCCGCGCCACGGGGACGAGCCCCCTGGTTCACTTTGTCTTTACAGGACAGGGGTCGCAGTGGGCGGGGATGGGCAAGGAGCTTCTTCCCCGACACTCGGTCTTTCGGGAAAGCATCGAGCATGCCGATGCTTTCTTCCGGTCCTTGGGCTCCGAGTGGTCTCTCGTTGGTAAGCCCGCTTCAACAAGATCCTGAGTGTGCTCGTCGCGCTGACCAAGTGCAAGAGCAACTATGCACACCCGCTTCCCAGTTAGACATAGACAACCCGAGCCTGGCGCAGCCCCTGTGTACCGCACTTCAAATCGCGCTCGTCGACCTGTTGGCCTCGTGGCACATCTCCCCTCAGGCCGTGGTAGGCCACTCATCGGGCGAAATCGCAGCCGCATACTGCGCCGGCGCCTTGGCCAAGGACTCTGCACTACGGGCCGCCTACTTCCGGGGCGAGGCCGTCTCGAGGCTCCTGCAAGACAACCAGGCAGCAAAGGGAGGCATGCTTGCGGTTGGTCTGTCCGAGGCCGAGTTAGACCCTTACCTCGCGGTTGTCCAGGGCGACGCTGGTTCACTGGCGTGCAGCTGCGTCAACAGCCCAAAGAGCGTCACAGTGAGCGGAGACGAGACGCTCGTCCAAGAGCTCGAGCGCCGGCTACAGGCGGACAAGGTTTTTGCGCGGAAGCTCAATGTGCCGGTTGCCTATCACTCCCGACAGATGGGCGCAGTCGCCGACTTCTACCGGGCAACGCTCCAAGGCCAGTTGGACTCGGAACCACAGAGGCTGCCTTCGGCCTTCTACTCGTCCGTCACTGGAAAGGAGGCATGGGGTCATGATCTGCGTCAGGCAGACTACTGGGTCGCCAACCTTGTCTCCCAGGTCAAGTTCTCCGAAGCCCTCCGACTCATGTGCTCATCTTTGGCAGGAAACGGTCAAACCGACGTGAAGCCGTTGCCGTACCTGCTCGAGATCGGACCCCATTGTACTCTTGAGCGGCCCGTTCGAGAGACAGTTGCGGGAGACGCAGAATACGCTTACGACTGTACCATGCGCCGCAACGTCAGCTCAGTTGATACCGTCAAGGGCATGTTAGGGAGACTTGCCGTTCATGGACACGCAGTCGACCTGCAGGTGGTTAATCGTCACGACATCACTTCCCGGCAGCCCAGGATGCTCGTAAATCTCCCAAAGTACCCCTTTAACCATTCCCAGTCGTACTGGATTGAGAGCAGGCTTTCCAAAAACGCCCGAAATCGAGAAAGGCCGCGGCACGAGCTCCTCGGAACTCCGTGCGCGGACTGGAACCCCCTGAAGCCAAAGTGGCGATTCACTATAAGAGAATCGGATATCCCGTGGGTTTCTGACCACAAGGTACACATCATTCACCTAGGACTGGACTTGAACTCGACTTGGGCTAACGAGACCATACGTGTAGATCAACAACACCGTTCTGTATCCCGCCGCAGGCATGCTCGTCATGGTGCTCGAAGGCATCAGGAGTCTCGCCGCAAAGATGCCGAGAGTCACCGGCTTCCGGTTACGAGACGTCGGCATCGGGAGCGCGCTGGTCGTGCCCTCGACCGACGAAGGAGTCGAAGCGCAGCTACACATGAGCTCGCACGACACGGCTTCAACCAAGGAGGCGCTGGTCTTCGACTTTTGCATCTTCTCCGTTGCCGGCGACGACTGGAAGATGCACTGCTCGGGACTGGTTGCCATCGAGCACGCCGCCGTTTCAGATACCGTCTCCGAGGACGGTGCCCTGGCCGCGACAGAAGGCAGCTTCAACGAGGCTCACGAGCGCTGCTCGGCCAGCATCGACAGGGCCCAGTTCTACCGCGACCTCTACCAGAAAGGGGCAACCTTTGGCGAACGCTTCCAGACTTTGCACGGAATCCGCTTCAGCGAGCACGGCAGAGAGGCAACGGCAGACCTGCCCTTTGGTGAGTGGCAGCGGCGAGTCCGGCAGCGTGAGCTCACTGAGCACATGGTCCACCCGGCAACTCTAGACGGGCTGATTCACATCCTCTTCGCCTCGGTCTACAAGGACCTGCTCAAGCTCCCCACCATGGTGCCCACGCAGCTCTCCGAGGTCTTCTTTTCGCCCAGCCTGCTGGGCGGCGACGTGGGAGACACGCTGCGTCTTTACGGCAACGTGACCGAGCGTGGGCTTTCCAGCATGGACGGCAACGTCACCGCCGTGAGCGCGTCGACGGGCACGCCGTTGATTACCTTCCGCGGTCTTCGACTGCTCGGAGTCCAGGCCACGGACTCGCTAGGAGACGGCCCGCCTGAGCCGACCGGCCTGTTCCACCAGGTCAGCTGGAAGCCCGACATTAGCTTGCTGTCACAGGCCGAAATCGAGGAGTACTGCCGCCATGAAACTCAAGACATGGCGGGCGGGTGCTTTGATACGAAGATGGAGATAATCTGTCGCCATTTCCTGTCCCGCATGCTGGACGACCTGGCCCTCGCTCCGGCGAATCTCTCAAGGGATCACTTCAACAACTACATCAAGTGGGCCAAGGCCTTCTTGGAGCATGAAAGCGAGTCCACGCTGACCCTCGAAAAGACGCTACCTGGTTTCGAGGAAGACGACGTTCAACGTCGTCACCTCGTTGACGAGTACGCCTCCGAAGGGCCACAAAGGCAGCTCATCGCATCCTTTGGCCGCAAACTCGTCCCCATGCTGGCAGGAGAGCTAGACCCCCTCGAGATACTCTTCAACGACGGACTCGCCGACAGCCTCTACCAGAGCCCCCTATTTAGTTTCACAGCACACAGGCTGGCGGCCTACATGGACCTGCTGTCGCACAAGAGCTCCGACATGAAAATCATCGAAGTCGGCGCAGGGACCGGAAGCACAACCACCGTCGTCCTCGACGCGCTGTCCCGTCACGGCAGGTTCGCGGGTGCGTCTGCGCGTCTCGGCCACTACGACTTCACCGACATCTCGCCGGGCTTCCTCGCCGGCGCGCAGGAGAAATACGCCGCCCACGCCGGCCGCATGCGGTTCAAGACGCTCGACATCGAGCGGGATCCCGGTGAGCAGGGATTCGAGTGCGGGTCCTACGACGTGGTGATTGCTGCTGCTGTGAGTTTCTTGGCCTGCAGACACGGATTCCGGCAGCTTGTCTCGCGAGCACGGATGGCTAATCAGGGGCTATGCGCAGGTTCTGCACGCAACGACGAGCATCGACAAGGCACTGCGCAATGTCAAGAAGCTCCTCAAGAGCGGCGGCCGACTTGTTTTTTCCGAACCCACGAACAGGCGGCTGGCAACCATCCCGTACGCCTTTGGGGTTCTTCCAGGCTGGTGGCTTTGTGCGTACAACGCTGCGACTTTCCTCGTTTGCAGTTGCTGACCTGACATGCATATAAATAGCCACGGAGAAACACAGATCTTCTGGCCCGCTTCTGACAAGATCGGAGTGGAACGAGGCCCTGTTGCGAGCCGGCTTCGACGGCCTCGAGGTCTCCTTGCCCGACAATGTTGAGGAGAGCCACGGCCTATCTCTGCTAGTCTCTCGTCCAGCCCGCTCGCCAGAAGATCCGAGTGCAGAGGCAGAGCCCTTGACGACCCTCATCGTGACGGAGACTCAATACCAGGAGGACATGGCCACTCTTCTTCAAGCGCAGCTGACATCACAGTCCAATGGTGTGTGTGTTGTAACGCCAAGCAGCCAGCTAGCCACAGGGGAGTCCAAGTACGACCAGTGTATATGCCTCATGGAACTAGGCAAGCCCATCATGGCGCATCTGACCGAGGCTCAATTTGCAACTCTCCGACACGTGATGGACGCGGCTCGGCAGGTAATCTGGGTCACGGACAACTGCGGCGAGGCTGCCGAGAACCCGGAAGCAGCCATGATAGCCGGCTTCGCCAAGACCCTCATGCGCGAACGGCCCAGTCTCAACTTTGCCCACCTCAACGTACAGGCCGGGGCTCGCGTGGCCGAGACCATCCTTCGCGTCGTCGACCAGAGCCGTCGCGTGCCGGCCGAGCATCAGGAGACGGACCTAGTGGAAGAAAACGGCGTGATTTCCATCCCCAGGGTCGTCGAGGCGCCGCACATCAACAGCCTCTTCGACTCGGAAGCCCACGCAGAGCCCCGGCCGGTCCAGGTCGGCAAAGGGGTGGAAGCCGGCGCCGCCGACGCGCTGGAGCTGCGCTTCTCCCCCGGACGTCTCGACTCGCTGCACTTTGGCCCCAGTGCCTCGGCGTCCCTCCCGCTCGGGAACGACCAGGTGCGCGTGCGGGTCATGGCCACCGGCATCAACTTCAAGGACGTCATGGTGGCATTGAACCAGGTGGCGGACGACCACATTGGCCAGGAGTTTGCCGGAGTGGTGACGGAGGTCGGGGCGGGTCTGAAGGGGGCTTTTGGCCCTGGCGACCACGTCTGCGGCATCGCGGCCGGCGGCGGTTTCCAGAGCTGCGTCCGCGCAAAGGGATGCCACACGATCAAGATGCCGCCTGGTATCTCCTTCGCCGAAGCCAGCGCCATTCCGCTAGCATACGCAACCGCGCAGTACGGCCTGCACCACCTGGCCCGTCTCCAGCCGGGCGAGAGCATCCTGATCCATGCCGCAGCCGGAGCCGTCGGCCAGGCCGCCATCCAACTCGCCCAAAGAGCGGGAGCAGCGATATACGTAACCGTCAGCACCCCCGAGAAGAAGAAGCTGCTCATGGACAGATACGGCATCGAGCCCAGCCACTTCTTCTCGAGCCGGCATATCCTGTTCGCGCAGCAGCTCCTCCAGAGGACGGGCGGGAAGGGCGTCGACGTCGTGCTTAACTCGCTCGCCGGTCAAGCCCTGAGAGAAAGCTGGCGATGCGTCGCCCCCTTTGGGCGCTTCATCGAGATTGGAAAACGCGACGCGAGTACCTTCAAGGCCCTGCCCATGGAGCCCTTCCTGCGCAACGTTTCGTTTTGCTCTCTTGATCTCCAGGTCGTCGCGAGGCTCAACGACGCACTCATGGGACGCATCATGCGCGAAGTCGAGGCGCTCGTCCAGGACCCGACGGCATCGGCGAAGCACTTGATACCGTACCCGCTGACGGTTTTCAAACGCTCCGGCTTTGAACAGGCCTTTCGCCTGCTGCAGACCGGCCGTCATGTCGGCAAGGCTGTGGTAGACTGGGAGCAAGCAGACACGATTCAGGTAGAATATGCCGTTGCCGACGCATATTGCGAGGCCAAGAAGGGGTATTTCGACTGACAAAGATGATAGGTCATCCCAAAGAGCCCGCTCGATTACAGATTCGACGCCGAGGCTACCTATGTCATCGCCGGTGGGCTCGGGGGCATCGGGAGGCACACGGCAGCGTGGATGTGCCGACACGGCGCGAGAAACGTCATGCTGCTCTCGCGCTCCGGGCCCAAAAGCGAAGCGGCCAAAGAGCTGGTTGCCTCGCTTGAAAAGGGCGGCGTCAGCGTGTACGCCCCCAAGTGCGACATCTCAGACCCCGAGGCCGTTGAGGCCGTTGTCACGCACGCCAAAGCCAACATGCCGCCTATCAAGGGCTGCATCCAAGCCTCCATGGTGGTCGAGGTGAGTGACGGAACACGCTCCCCCCTTTTCTTGTGCGCTTCTCGAGCCAACCTTTGCATGCGTACCAGAACCACATCTTCGAAAACTACACCCTGCCAGCTTTCCAGGCGGCCCTGGGATCCAAAGTCCAGGGCACGCTCAATCTCCATAGCCATCTCCCGCCGGACATGGACTTCTTCGTACTCCTCTCGTCGCTCGCAGGCATCCACGGCGCCGGGTCGCAGAGCAACTACGCGGCCGCAAACGCCTTTCTCGACGGCTTTGCGCGCTTCCGGCACGCCCAGGGCCAGCGCTGCGTCTCGCTCGACCTCGGCTTCGTCGAGAGCATCGGCTTCATCGCCGAGCGCGCCGATGTGGCGCAGAGCATGGCCATGACGTATCTGGACCACAGGGCACTGCGCGAGAGCGACCTGTTTTTCTTGCTCAAGTACGCATGCAATCCCCTCCTCGACGTCCCGTCCCCCTGGGAAACGCAGATTCTTGGGGCTCTCACGACGCCCGCCTTTGTACGGCGCGGCGGCTTACTGCAGGAACACCGCTGGATGCACCTCCCCGTGTTCCGGCACCTGTACTGCATGGAGGAGCAGGGCCACGAGGGATCCACCGCCGCCGGCGCCGAGCAGGTCGACGGCGCCGCGGCACAGCTCCGGGCGGCTGCGAGTGTTGCCGAGGCAGCGGCCGCGATCACGGGCCTATTTGCGAAGCGGCTGGCGCGATCGCTGGCGGTGCCCGTCGAGGACATTGACATCGACCGGCCGCCGTATGCGTTTGGCGTCGACTCGCTCGTCGCCGTGGAACTCGTCGGGTGGTTCTCAAACGAGATTCGCGCCGACGTGCCTGTCGTTCAGATTCTGAGCCGCTCCACCATTGCGCAGTTGGGGCTGTTGGCTGCGGAAAAGAGTCTCCATATGCAGCAAAAATGACGTGTCACCGACGACAGTTTTGGTTCTCCCAGGACATTCAAATATTGGAGCCAATGGTTTCAAGTCATGTGATGCAAGTACCTGAGGCCCCGTGAACCAAGGCCATATTGCGACTCCACAGTGAACCTCATCCCTTGGTATCTCTCTAGAGCAAGATATTAAACCAGTCTCCGTGATTGTCCGGATTCCCGCCTGGCCCATACCCACCACGTCGGCTCCGACATCGACCCGACTACCAAGCCAGCCACGTGACACCGCCATCACCGCTTCTTGGCTCTCTTTGCCGTCTCGTGATCGCTTTGCAGCCGCTCACGTTACGCAGACTGACGCCCCGACCAGCTGCGGCGGCGCCAAATGCTCAAACCCTTCACCGACCCTGGGCGTAAGCCGCGGCCCGGTCCGCCAACTTCCACGCCATCGGCGACCTCGCCGACCGCTGCTTTGCGCCCACGACGCCGCGCACCAGCCGACAGGATCCCGGCCTCGGCACTCCGGAATCCCCTCGTCCCGCATGCAACACCCCTCCGCGACGGCTCCTTGCACCATCAGGCAAACACAGGGCCGTGCTGAACTTGTCCAGTGACACACCGTTGTTTTATTCATTGGCTCCGAGCCTGCTAGAGAACGCATTATGCCATACTTCGCCTTTGGGTATCCCACGCCGAATCTGGAAGACGAATAGTGACAAACTCCGCCGACGCCGTCCTTTGGCCCCCGTCGTACACACATATGCTTGCGCCTTCCATGTCTTGTGCAAAGTTTGTTCGACCAAACAGCCGAAAAAAAAACCACCAACCTCAACCCTTCTTTTGGGTAGCAGCAATCTCCGTCACCTCCTAGTTTTTGGCCGCACACCTCTTCTCCACCCACTTGGCAAACTTGACAGACGGCACGTCAACTGCCCTCCAGAACACGTCGGCCCACCAAATGACGGTAGGCACGCAGAAGCAAGCGCCCAGCACAAAGCCGACCGTGTACCAGTGCCCTTCCACCCCGGTCAGGCTGTACGCCCAGTTCTCGAAATGATAGCCGACGGTGTGCATTGCAGGCCCGTGCATCAAGTACAGGGCGTACGAGATCTTTCCCAGGTACTGCACCGGCGCTAGGTTGAAGAAGCGTTGCCAGCCCCTGGAGTGGCCGACGGCAGCGACGAACACAAAGGCGCCGACCGATTGCCAATACCGGTATTCCTCTTCCTCCCACCATTCGGGGATCATCGACGTCAGGCGGCGCCATCCGGGCGTATTCTCCCCTCCGTCGTCGGGTTGACACAGCAGGTAGAGGCCGAGGATGCTGGCCAGGGACCAAAATAGCCTTGCCCACGGTGAGCGGGAGGGCTTCTCGACCTCCTTCTCGTCCTGAGGCAGGGCAGGGGGGGCAGTGTGTGCGCCCCGGATGAGATCCCATTCCGCAAGGAGCATGCCGCACACAAACAGGAGCAAGTCCCATCGCGAGTGCCGGTACGTGAACCACATGACGAAACCGACAACGAGAAGCCGAAACCTGGTCCGAAGACGAGCCGTGCCGACAAGGACCAGAAACAGATACAGCGAGCAGCGAAACTCAACGGGAATGGTCCACAGGTGTACGTCGTAAGCTAGACAAGAGGGGTCAGCACCGACAAGAAGGCGGCCTTTGTTGCCTCCAGGGAGCAGGTTCTTACATGTGCTTCCGCCAAACCTTTCCCAGCCAAAGACATGAACGAATCTGTACATTTGCAGCGCCCAGTCTTGGAAATGCTCGTAGGCGCTATCCATCCGCAGAGGGTGGGGTTCGATGACGTTGGGCATATAAGTCGGGTCGTTGGCAAAGTCACGGGTCCACTCGTAGGCCCCGATCCGCAAGAGGCACAGAATCATGAAGGTTGAAACGGCCGTCGGTAGGTACAGTCGGAGCGCCCGGCGAAAGACGAGAGAGCTCACCGTGGTGGAGAATTCGGGTAGGGAGCGGCCGCGGACCAACTTCAGGGGTCGGTACGACAAGGCATAGCCGGAGATGACGAAGAAGACGCAGACGGCCTGCGGGCCCTGGAACCAGATTCGGAGGAAGGGAAGCTTGAGTATGTCATAATTCTCTTCGTCACAGCCCCAGCCCTTGGCAATGACAAAGCCCTGGTAGGTGTAGTGGCAGGAGAAGACGAAAAGGGCAGCCAGGCCACGCATGCCGTCGAGGTAGGCCGTCGGGGAGAGCTTTTGCGGGCAAAGCTGCTCTCGAGCGTAGCGACCTTGCAGGAAGCTGGGCGTCAGGAATGTCAAGAGGCGGATGATGTAGATGCGCCATTGCGTCGAGAAGAGATAGGTCCAGAGGGTAGCGACAGACGACGAGTATTCTGCGAGATTGATGTTGTTGAACAGGAAGCGCTTTTCCACTTCGGCAGCATCGCCCTCGCTTTCGCTGTCCCACATGGCTCGCTCGTTCAAAAGGCCCATCTTTTCCTCAACATGCAGAGACTGCAGTGAGACAGCGTGTCCGCTCATCATCCGGCAGCGAGATGGCTTGCTCGACAGAAGAGGATAAGAGAAGGGGAATGGAGAGGGAAGGGGATGGTAGAGGGTGAGGAGGAGAGGCAAGGGAAGCCAGCGTGGCTAGGTGCGGAGGAGGAGGGTGCTGCTGCTGACTATGGCGGAGAGAGCCAGGGCACAGACTTGGACAGCCGATGTTTTGACACAGACCAAGGAGTCGGATGAACGGACGGACGAGGAGGCGCTAGGATCGAGGAACGAGTTTGCACCGAGATGACACCTCCCCCAGGGTGGACGAGAGCGTTGGGACAGTGGTGACTGATGAGGGAGAGGGAGAGGGGTGGGGGAAGATGGAAGATATGCAATGGCAGGTTTCGGTTGAGGGGATGCGTGGGTGGTTATGGGAAGGGGAGGGCGACGGAGGTGCCTGCCCAGGCCCTGGATGGGCGGATGCAAGGCACGGAGCGCCCATTGAGTAGGTAGGTAAGGTAAGGTAGGTCCTGCCCACCTTTGCATATGCACGGACAAGGCGAGCAGTCCCCGTCGTCGGTACGGCGGAGCAGCAGGCCGGGGGGGACGTCTGGCCTCGTTGCGGCGCATTAACGCCGTCGGAGAGCCGATACCCAAGTTCAGCGGTGAGGTCGAACTGGATTGGGCAGTCGCGTACCCCCCCGCTCGCCTGCCACGGAGGGAAGCAGGGGGGGTGGTTGAAGGCTTGAGGGCTTGGACGGCAGGCGAGATGGAGATGCACGATCCACACCGGGCAGCCGGGAAGCAGAAGCCGGTGAGTCCGATCCGCTGGCACCAGTGGATTTGGATTGATTTGGCCCAGGTACCGTTGCTCACCTGATTGCCCGAAAGAGTAAAATACCTACCTTACCTAGGTAGGTCACTTTGCGCCTACCTTACACCTTGCCTCACCTTATGTAAGTCGCCACCTTGGTTTTGAAGAGTACAGCAGCTCGCAGACGGCCTGGTTGTGTTGCCTCGCCATTCGCGTGTAACGACGACGACGACGACGAGGACCGACCGTGTGCCAGGTCCCATTTGTCCTCTAGCCGACCATGCCCGTCGCTTGTCCTCGGCGAGACTCTGGATCCAGAGATGGAGATTCACCGAGATAGATACTGTAAGTAGCAGGGTTTAAGGTTCACTGCACAGACAACAAGCAGCCGCAGAACCGAGGCCATTCTTCACACTGCCCTTGGGCAACCTGGACAGGGTACTTGCCTCTGCACGGGGCGCTCAGCGTGCCATGCTTCCCGTTTTCGTGAACCCACCACCTCTTGCGCGGCTCCCTTTCCCATCTCCCCCCCTCACCCACTACTAACCGTCTGATTTGTCTAGACAAGTGGTCCAGGAACAGCATGCAAAAGGCGTCATCAAAAAGAGAAGAGAGAAAAGTGGAACGGGGCTCTCGGGGGAGAGACGCAGGCAACGTGCGTGTCCCGCGGGCTCCCTCTCCCCCAGCACGGACATTGCCTCGAGTTCCTTCTTATTTCAGCCTGCCTGCCTGTTTTTTGGCCTTGATTCCCATGGCAGGGGCCGTCAGCCCCCGGCGGAAAGCGACGAGAGTGGTCCGCGGCCGTACTGTAACACGGCGGGAAAGAAGCAATTCTGTTGGAGATTTTTTTTTCTTCTTCATTTCTTTTTCTTTGGGCTGCTCACACGCTCCCTCACTCTCGCTTGTCTCAGAAGGCTGCGCGTGCCATCCGTCGACGGGCCGCGTCACGCCAGCTTGCGACTGCGCGAGCCTGAAGGCACCGACAAGCGAGCTGCATGTGCGTGTGCGTGTGAGTGTGAGTGAGTGTGTGTGTGTGTGTGTGTGTGTGTGTGTGTGTGTCGAGACGGGAATATCGACCGCATCTGGATCGTCTGAAACCGATGCCGTTTCCCAGCTGCTCCCGTATGGCTGAGGATGCGAGCCTGGACACACTAGCAAACAAGGGGCCCGACGCAGATGCATCGCCGGGATCTGCAACAACCCAAATCGAACGTCAACTTTTAGTCTGCGGCCCCGCGATTGGTCATGCTCGAGCATCCACCCAAGCAACGAATTCTCCGGCGAGCAAATGTCATACTATTTGCTTTGTTAGCAAGTCAGCTCATCGAGGCTGCAGACCAACCGTCCAATCTCGTGCCATACCGACATACAGTACGGAATACCTACCTATTTGGTATGAATGTGTGTGTAGGAGTGGACGTGAGCCTGTCTGTGCAAAAACTCACGACGACCGGCCTGGCACACGCGGTCGTCATGGCGTCGGCCCCTTGTCGGTCTGTCTCTCGCTCAAAGTAAGCTTTTGCCATCTTGTCCACCTTTTATTATCAAATCTCGAATATATGACGAGTTCATACTCATCAGTACTTTGCTCTAAATGAATCTACAGACCATCATCCGAGTCCCGGTATCTTCTCGCCGCACCATCGGATCTGCCCTCCCGTCCCTCCTCCGTCCCTTTGCATGATGTGCCGGGAGTTTCGGATCTAACCTCCAAGGCACACGTCCAGCCGACGTACCTAGGATGGAGGAAGGAGAGAAAGAAAACGTCGCATGCCACCCTTGGGATTCTTTTCATGCTTTGCTTTTTTCTTCCCCTTTTGCTTTGTTTCCTCGATGCTGCACATACATCTGAAACGATTCAGGCGTCTGACCTTATTCTTGCCTTGCCCAGGAAGGACTAGGTAGGTTGGTTTACAAAGCTAATAAAAGACGCTGCCAATGTCGGAGCCGCACCCACAAAACATACCGGTACATATTCGTACAATCGTCCCGTTGGCAGGGCCCGGTGGCGCTCGATCCAGCTGCGACGGCGACACTGTCTGATGCATGCACTCGCGGCAAAGATCATCAGGCCAGGTTGCATTTCGAGTACCGAGCGCTGGGTTGGCCAACCAGGCATACATACCTGCGTGCATTACATGCTGCCCCGAATTGAATTCGACCAATTCAAATCATTGATTTGACATGCGGATACCCGATATTCGAGACTACTAAGTTACATCATCCCTCTTGTTGTGACCAGGAACCGGCTGCACTGCACAGGAAACTGCCGTAGATGACCATTCTCAGCAGGCATGGGACAAGGCCTCGGAAAATAAATCTTGCACAATAATCCCGTGGTACATTATGACGTGCAGACCTCTTGAGCTTCCTGGCCATGCTCGCTTCCTCTGATTAGGTCGACCGAGCCGAATGTCCATCATCTCCGCTCACCTTCACCGCGTCTATACGAACAGCTACGCGAGCCGCCGCCCCACCCCTGAAAGGCCTCTCCATTAAGAAACCTGGAAGCGTTCAGATTTGCCTCTCTTTGCCCCTGTCGCCTTCGGAAAGCACGACAGCCACGCCGTCCCGATTGACGCAGCAACATGACGCCCGCGTGACCAGGTCGTAGATTGGATGCACTGTGCCGGCCCGGTACGCTATGGTATCACCCCCTCTCATCTTGGCCTACATCAGTCGACCAAGCACGGTTGAAACGAAAGAAACAAGCACCCAAGCCAAAGTTCCTCCAAAAAAGCACCTCTTTTTCACCTGTCGCCAATCCTCGACTCCCTTAACGCCGTCATGTAGCCCGTACGTTGCCGTCCCCCCTCTTTAATGCCCGTCTTTAATGCTCAAGCCAGTCCAGGAACTGAGGCGTAAAGTAGCTGACGACAATGGTGGCGCCCGCCCGCAGGATGCCCTCGGTCGACTCAAAGGCCATCGTTTTGAGGTCAAAGACGCCCGCTTTGGCGCCGGCGTGGATCATGGCAAACTCGCCGCTGACCTGGTAGGCGGCGATGGGCAAGTCCTTGCCCAGGTCCTTGGCATCGCTGATGATGTCGAGGTACTGGCTGGCGGGCTTGACCATGATGATATCGGCTCCCTCTCCAATGTCGCGGACAATGGCCCGGCGGGCGAGACCGCGACCGCCCGGGGGCAGCTGATAGCACTTGCGATCACCAAACGAGGGCGCAGACCCGGCGGCGTCGCGGAAGGGCCCGTACAGGCAGCCCGAGAACTTGGCCGAGTACGACATTAGGACTGTCTTGTGCGCGATTCCCTCCTCAATGAGCTTGAGCTTGATGGCGCGGATGCGGCCGTCGTTCATGTCGGACGGGGCCACGCAGTGAGCGCCGGCCTTGGCGTAGGCCACGGCGACATCCGAGATGCGGTCGACCGACAGCTGGTTGTTGAGGCTGCCGTCGTCGCGCAGGATGCCGCAGTGGCCGTGGGAGGTGTACTCGCAGAGGCAGACGTCGGTGCAGATGAAGAGCTGGGGGAAGCGGCGGCGGATGAGGCGGATGGCCTGGATGACGGGGCCCTCGGGGTCGTCGGCGGCGCTGCCGAGGGCATCCTTGGAGCCGGGCTTGAGGGGCACGCCGAAGAGCATGATGGAACGCAGGCCCTTGTGGACCAAAGGCTCGAGGAAGGAGACGAGGCGGCTGACGCTGAGCTGATGCTGGCCCGGTAGGGAGGAGACCAGGATCATGTCGTCTTCGCCGTCGGTGACAAAGAGGGGATAAATCAGCATGGACTGCAGGGACATGATTTGATTAGCCGGGGTTGCCGGTACGCCAGAAGAAAGAGAGAGACCTTTGTCAACTGGCGCTCGGCCTGCCAGGAGCGGGCCAAAGGGTGGAAATAGCCTCCATGCAGCTGGCTGGAGATGTCGCCCGAGATGCTGACGCTGGTCGCGGCAGTGCTGGCGTACGACATGGCCCGCGAGATGCGCGAGGTCCGGTCGTCGGCCGTCGAGCTGGTGGACATGGACATGGACCCTAGTGGACCGGGGCGACGGGGGGGAGCTCCGTTGGTGTCGCGCAGGCTAAGGTCCTGGACGAGGCTGGAGAAGGACATGGTGGTTGCGCAGGGGGAGGTTCCCTCTCTCAATTGGGCTTTGTCAAGAGTGTGAGAAAGCGACGGCCGCAATCAGCGAGTTCTGATGCTCGCGATGGGGGATTGTCTCTGCGGATGACGTGGCGTCGAGCGTCCTAGGCGGTGGGGCTCTTTGTCCGAGAGCGGTGGTGGTGGTGGTGTTTCGAGAGGAGGGAAAAACCTAAACCGTCGCAGGGTCCAGAGGGCACGAGTAGAGGCGATTGAGGAGTCCGACGGACGCAAGACGAGAAAGAAACAAAAATGCCTGGCTTGATCGGTGAGGGAACCAAGAATATGCAACAGGAACAAAAAAGTCTTGCCCCCTTCTCACGCAGCGTTTGATGTTTTCTAGCCCCCAAGCCTCGGGTCGCCCTGTGGCGCCGGCGCACCGTCACTGTCCGCCCGAACCAATCAGCAGGCAGCGTTTGCTAATGAGCATGCCGACCGGGCTCGACGGGTCCGGACAAGCGATAACATGTCTTATCTACCGACTCTAGTCAGCGGCTGGTCCTCGTGACTACCTACATAGCAGCCGCAGCATCAACAGCCACCCAAAGGCTGGGCCTGGTCCGTCACTCTGCAGTAACAAGCACAGATTCCCACGTAAGGCGACTGACTGTGCCGTTCGGGTGCCGCGAGGCTTACTACTTACTACATGGGATCCCGTCACCGCCCGTCGACGGACAATCTGAAGCCGCCCCCACCGTGCTTTGAGGCGCGCGAGCGAAACTCATCACGGCTATAGTGAGTGCATGGCGACTTTCTGAGCTTCACCGTGGTCAAGAAATCAGAACTCGAGCCAATGCCACCACGGGGCTTCCTAACCCAAGCCATCATCAGTACGCCTTCCTCAAGACGACCCAGACGCTTCAACAGTCGAGCCATGTTCACGTCGCTTGAACGTGCCTCCCCGTATCTTCAGCGAGGCACTCGTGTCAACGAAACTGGGCTATATTCTAACATGATGAGCGGCATCTGTACTCTGACAAAACTCTCATGGCCTGCTTTCGCTACACTTCTATAACCCTCGCAGCACCGTGTTGTCGCGCTGGTCCATCGGCATGTACCTCTCCCTCAACACCTCGGCCACGTTCCGGTTCACCTTGGCATCGGCCCTCTCGTATCGCTGCTGCAGAGCCCTCTGCACGGGGTTCGGTTCCTTGCCACCGACGACTTCTGTAGCTGTACCTGCTGCCTCGTCCTCGGTCATGCCCACGGCCGTCTTGACCTTGCCCACCATGGCCTGAGCCTTGTCTCTACCCTTTTCAAGTGCCGAGGCGATGACGCCCTGCGCCCCGGCTGCCGTGTTCTTTGCCTCGTCCTCTGCCTCTGCAATGGCCCTTGTACCGACAATCTTAGCATCCAGTGCCTTGCCTTGGACCGCAGACTCAGCCCGCGAGCCGGCCTCCTTTGCCCGGCCAAAGGCGCTCTTGGCAGCTGCCGAAATGCTGTTCCCGGCCTCTCCAGCGGTAGACTTGGCCGTCCTGGCCAAGGGTTCGACTTTGTCGCCCGCCCGGTCCGCCTCCTCTGCCATCTCCCCAAACGCCTTGGTCCACAGGGTAGCGACGCGAGCCTCGAGGCCCTCCCGAATCCCCGTCCAGTCCGTCTTCTGCATCCACCGCACCGCGTTCTCAACCTCGTCGTTCCATCGGTCCTTGGCGCTCTCAATGGAGGCCGCTCGTTGGGCGGCAGCAACCTCGGCGCGAGAAGGGGGCAGCGGCTGCGGGATCGGGCTGACGATGCTCTGCAGAGTAAGGGCCTGGGCGCGCAGAGATCGGCTCTGCTCCTCGCGGTTGCGTTGGTGAGCAAGCACCGAGAGGTAGGCGAGGGAAAGGGTCAGAGTGACGCCACCGGTCTGTAGAGGCTTGGTCAGTCTGCCCGTTGCGGCCAAGCGAGGCTGCGTTTGTTCAAAGAAGATTGCCTGCGTACAAAACCGGTAGCGAAGCCCATGATGATGTCAGTTACAGCTCCAAAAGCGGCGTGTTGGGAGCGGAGCCGCGCGAGAGCTGCGTGATGCGCAAAGGGCCAATATGTCTGCTTTTTGGCGACTTATGCGTGGTTTTTCATGTTGTGTCTAAGCTCAGAAGCTCCCCCAGTGACAGGGCAACAGCAGATGCTTGTCTCTTGGTGTGGTTGGCGTAGCGGAGTCGACGACAGCTGGGTCGAGCCGCTCGGCGCCTGGCCAAGTTGGAAGCAGAAGAAAAAAGATCCTGACTAAGCAAAACCTCATGTCTGCCAGTCGCTCACGAGGAGAGCGCCTTTTCGCCTAAGGCTGAGAGAGAGCAGTTCCAATTCTCACATTCTCCTCCAGGCTCAATTCCCCACCGATCCCTCGAGAGCCAGCAGCGACAATGGCTGGAGGCACGGTCAAGTACCGGCATCTCAGCCGCAACTCGTCTGCGCGCATGGCCCTGCTGCGCGGCCTGGTCACGCAACTGGTGCAGTACGAGCACATACAGACCACCTACGCAAAGGCCAAGGAGGCGCAACGCATGGCCGAGAAGCTTATCACGCTCGCAAAGAAAAACAATGAGCCCAGCCGGAGGGCTGCACAGGGCATCCTCTATGTTCGTGGCCCCCCAACAATCGCGAGGCAGACCCGCGGCCATGGGACCCGAAGCTCACTAACAAGGAAAACCGGTAGACACCAAATGTTCACCTCCCAAAGCTTCTTGGCGAGCTGCGCACACGCTATCTCCCGAGAGAAGGCGGCTACACCCGCGTCGTGCGCACCGAGTCGAAAAACACCTACGACCAGGGCGAGAGCGCCATCCTCGAGTTCGTCGACGGGCCCAAGGACTCGCGCTTCATGATGGCGGCCAAGACGCTGGCCAGGGACCGCCTGCTGGGAAGGGTGTCTACGCCGCTTACCCTGAAAAACGTCCAAAAGGTGACGAGGCTCCGCGGCGAAGACGAATTGGAGAAGATGGTGCGGCGCTTCATGGCCCTTGATACGGCAGATCCCGACACGACGCCAGAGGTGGAAAGCCCTGAGGCTGCAAAGATGGCCGCCAGGGAGAGCGCAGCGGTGCAGAAAATGGCTGGTGATATCGTCCCAGACTCTGTCAAGAAGGCGGCCGGAGAGTCTGGACGGTCAGGGTGGTGGCCCATGGGTACCAAGAGATAGCGGAAATATAAATCACGGGGTGCTTGTTGGTTCAAAGGCGCGCAGTGTACAAAGGGAAGTGAGCGCAGTGACGATTGAACCATTCTGTTGGAGTCGTTTACAGCAAGTGTACTTTTATCTCTCGGAACGCTAATGCTATGGAGCGACGAGCCCTCCACACAGCCAAGAGACCATGTTGGATTAAGAACAGGGTTTCTATCAAGATGAACCCTCGATTTGGCTGTTCAAACAAAGTCAAATGTGTCACCTCGCTCCTGCATCATCTTCGCGACCCTCTTGGAGCCCACCACTCTCTCCAGCTTCATCACATCATACCTGGAGAACATGACGCGTACCGTCCCCTGCCCGGGCTCGATCCTTAGGTCCTGTTCGCTCTTGGCCAGATACTCCCCCGCAATCTCCCGATAGAAGATGGGGTTATCCGGCAGGCTGTAGAACACCACCCTGTGCACGCCCCTGAGCTGATAGCGCCGAAAGTGATGCGCCCGCTCCGTGTACAAGAGGACGCGATGCCGCCCCGACAGGAAATGCGACCGCGCGCGCGATGCCTCGGGCACGTCCGTGTACTCGGAAATGGCGCCAAAGGTGACGCTGCTGACCGTGGGCGAGTTTGCAAAGTAGTTGCGCACCCGGACAAAGTCGAGGTAGGAGGGGACGAAGAGCAGCGTGCCGGTCGAGTCCTTGGCCCGCTTGACGAGCGTAGGAACAATGGCCGAGACAAAGTACTCAAACCGGGCATCGGGGTCATTGTCCACAGACGATGACTGGAACCGCGAAAACGCTTGCTTGACCTTGATCCCGAGCTGCAGAATGGCCCCCGGATACTCAGGCTGCAGCCGCGCTCTGCCGGCCCAGTTGTGGCAGTGCAGCCTCGCCAGCTCTGACAGCTCGGGGGTATTAAAGGCCGAAAGGACAACTGTTTGCCTGAAGAACTTGGCCATGTCATCCAGGTACCAATGCCGCACGCGACTAAAGTCGCAACCGTGAGCGTCCTTGGGCTGCTTGTTGAGGTGCTCAAAGATGTACTCGACGTGCTCCCAGTTTTGCATCAAGAGCGCGTCGGCGTGATCCACAACGACCAATTCAATCGAGCTCAAAAAGTCAAAGTCTGGCTTCTTCTTGTCCTCCTCGGACCCCATGGCCATGCGCAAACCCAGGGGGCTGGCCAAGAGAATGTCCGAGTTGTAAAATTGGGCAAAGTACTTTATGGTTTTGCGCGTGAACTTGACGCCGATGCGGAACATGTCGTCGTCGTTGCCCTCGAACAGGTTTTTAAAGTCGGCAGGCCGATCGTCCCCAAAACTGGAGCTCTTTTCGACATAGGACTCCTCGAACCGCTTGCGGTTTTCCTGCTGCTCAGGCTCACACAGTTCTCGAATAATGTTGACCATTTGCGTACACGAGTTCCGGGTGGGGAGGAGGAACAACACTTTGGGGCGGGTGAAGCCCTGGTCCCGGAACTCGAGGTCTGTGTCTTCTCTCTCCTTGGCGAGTTTGTAGTTGTTCTTGATGACGCGGTCTCGGGTCCTATGGTGTGGTTAGTTGAGCCATTGCCAAGGTCCTGTTGCAAGGTGAAAATCGCACTTGAAGGCGTGGTTGAGAGCATGAAGACAAACTAGTTGACGAAGGCCGTGGGAGTTCGCCACTGTCCGGTCGCAATGCAGTACATCTCGATACTCGAAGAGCAGAGGCATGAGTGCTCGTTGGCTTGCATCGAGGTTGCTCATCTTTGTGCTGGCTGTCTCCCTCAACTTTTGCTTAAGTTTGAGGGCATCCACTTGTGCAACACTCTCAGGAACCTCCAATGCACTTTCAAGTCCAGGAGACATTAATGTTGTCCGCAATGATTGGATGAGCGCCCGCTTCGTCGTCCACTGCCCATCCTTGACTGCCTGCACCGACTTTGCGACGCTCGACTTGTCAGGCTGGGCGATGTGAGCATCAAAGGGATCTGCGGAGGCATCTCCGTCTTCGGAATCCGAATCACTTTGCGGTTGCTCGTCGGGGTCCACAGTGGGCTCCTCTTCCTCGTCCGCCTTGTCGACGTCTTCAGGCTCCTCATCATCTCCATTCTCACGTTGATGGGACAGCGAGCTGGGAGCTTGCTGGGGCGAAGCTGGATGTTCCAGCTTCCGCCTCTTGGCTTTCGGGTTACTGGACTCGTTCAAGCTTTGCAGCAGAGCCATGTAAGGACGTGAGGGCGGCTCCTCATCGTCACCGTCTTCCGAGACTGCCGAGTCCAAGTCTTCCTCCTGCGCATCATCAGAGCTGCTCTCAAGCTCTGAATCGTCCATTCTGTGAAGGTCTTCAGACTTTGATTCCCTCATGGTAGAATTTCAAGGGACTTTCTCCACGTACTCATCTTGGTCTGCCAATCGGTCTCCGTCAAATCGTCGTGTAGGACCAAACCGAGTTGATCCCCTTCCTCTTCCCCTTCCCCTACCCCTTCCACCCATACCACGGGACCCCCGCCCCCGAAAACCACCGCCTCTTCCACGGGGCGCCATGTGAGCTAGAGTGACGCGGTTAAGAAAAGACGAGAAAAAAGCTGCCAGAGTTGCAGTGTATTGTCAGTCGTCGTGGCCGATCGCGCCAGAGACTTTTGGAAAAATCCCATTTGGGCCTTCAGCCTCGCCAGAGCAGCCTTCTCCAGCCACATCATGGCGGGGGTAGACATGCTCCTGCGCCACAGTTGTTATCGCCGCTTATCAGGTGCGCACAACCCCAGCCGGAGCCGCCAACCCTTGCAAACCACAAAATCGGCGAAATTTGGAGGCGTTGGAAGCGAGAACGACAACGCGGCCGCCCAGCCCAAACCCGCGCGATACGCACGTCTTCCCTCCCCCTCCCACGACGCTCGTTGAGATTTCTGCCCAGCATGGCTGCCGCTACCGAGCGCTTCATACATCTCGCGCGCCCGCTGGCTCATAGCAACGTTGGCCTCCAGACTAACATCGCCCCGCTCAGCGTCAACATCCAGCCGCAGGTACCTCCTCCTCCCCGTTGCGCGCTAGATGAGAGGCGACGAGTCTAACATCTTGTCTCCAAAGGCCGTCCTCTCGATTCTCGATCACGCTGTGCGAAGGGACATCCGCGAGAATGCCCAGTCAACCCGAGTCATCGGCGCCTTGGTCGGCACCCGGTCCGAAGACGGCACCGAAGTCGAGGTCCGCTCTTGTTTCGCCATCCCGCACACCGAAGAGGAGGATCAAGTCGAGGTGGACGTCGAATACCAAAAGAACATGCTCGCCTTGACCCTCAAGGCCTCCCCGCGCGAGTCCCTGCTCGGGTGGTACACGACTTCCCACGAACTCAACAGCTTCAGCGCCTTGATCCAAAACTTCTTCGGCAGTCCCGAGACGGGCACGTTCCCGCATCCCGCCATCCACCTGACCATCTCGACCGAGCCGGGCGAGGACATCCAGACGAAATGCTACATCAGCGCTCCAGTTGCCGTCAACGCCGAGCGGGCAGCCGAGAGCTGTCTGTTCATCCAGGTCCCCCACAAGATGCTCTATGGCGATGCCGACAGGAGCGCCCTCGAGACCCTTGGCAGCGCGCAGAATCTCGAGTCCCGGACTGCGCCTCTGGTATCAGACATCGAGGGCTTGGGCCGGTCAATCGAGCAGACCCTGGGCCTCCTGGACCGGGTAAGCGAGTGGGCAAACGGTGTGCTGGACGAGGAAGAGGAGCCCAACAACGCTCTGGGACAGCACCTGATGAGCGCTCTGTCTCTGGCGCCCAAGGTCGACACGTCGCAAATCGAGCATGATTTCAACAACCACATTCAAGACGTGCTTATGGTCAGCTACCTCGCAAACACCATCCGCACTCAGATCGATCTGTCTCAGAGATTGGCCACCGCCAACCTGACAGGCAACGAAAAAGACGGCGAGGGCAAGGGCGACGGTGAGCGAGGTGGCAACCAGCGCGGCGGCAAGCGAGGCGGGCGGGGCGGCGGCAGGGGAGGTGGTCAGCCTCGGGAACCCCGGGAACCCACGGATTAGAACGGGATTGGGGTCGAACATACAGCAGGCCAATGAAGCCTCGCCCAAACAAAGGACCGCGGACTCGGTGCATTGTCTGCATGATGAATCATTACGGGTGGGCATGGGGCACCGTATTCTACCATAACACAAGTCACCATGGCGTTGTTGGCAGGCCGAAAGTCGGCCCTGGAGAAAGTATTGAAGAAATGGGATTCAATCGTCGTGCAGTCTTCATCGAGGGGTTCTCCCAATGTGTTGTACCTCGACTAAAAAGAAAGGGGGAAGAGGCAACGGTAGCCTGCGAAAAGAAACCGTTCGAAAGACAATTCATCCTATCCACCGATAACGCCAAAATGCTCGTCATGCCCGTAAGCGCCGTCCATATGGGCTCCCACCCCTGAACACCGTTGGTCTGATGCTCACTAAACTCCAGAAGCCGGCTTTTGCGGCAACGAGGCTGGGTTGCCGTAAGTAGGTAAGTGACTATATATCTGGTTCGGCCCCTGAGGACACGCCGGGCGGCCAGGGATCTGCGTCGAGGGATTCTGAGGGATCTGCTGAGGTGGAGGGGGCATGCTCGGCATGAGCGGGACATGCTGAATGTGAGGTGGGCCATGGTACGACGGGAGCGACGTGTTTGATCCTTGCCTTGCCATGCCGTAGCCTCCCCCGTAGGAGGGAGGGACGCCTGTCTGATATGCGACGTATGCAAGGTGGGGAGTCCCTATCTGGGGACTGCCGTGGTGAGAGCCAGGGGCCGTGAAGGGAGGCTGGGGAGGTTGCACCGGGTGCATGACATTCCCACCAGGGACAAATGACTGCGTCTTTGGGTTGAATGCGTGATTCCTGTTGTAGCTTCCTGGGATGGGATGCTGGCTCTTTGGGTCGTGCGGGTTGGCATTCGCAGGAAGCTGCCCAAATGCATACGGAACTCCTCCTGCTTGAGCCTGTGATGCCGTGGGTGCGGGTCCCCGGGGGGGATAGGAGGGCGGGGCGCTGAAGCCCGGCTGCCAGCCCTGCGGCACAGCAGCGGGCGGAACGGGCGAGCCGTACGCCATCATCGGGCTGCCACTGGGCTGATACCTCTGCGGAGGAGGGGGTTGGGGAGGACCCTGTGAGCGTCAGCCATGGAATCGGAAGACGGGATTGTCAGTGCTTACCAGAGGCATCCCATACGCCGGGTAGGCCGGGCTGGGCGCCATGCCAGACAAGCCAGGATACGCAGCCGGCTGCTGAGTATACACGGGCGGCACCGGTGCAGGATATGCCGGCACAGGCTGGCCGTTGAACTGCCCGTGAGCTGCCGGAGGCATAAACTGTCCTTGAGGTTGGGTTACCCAGGTCTGCTGTGACGGTCCCCAGTAAGGCGTGTACTGGTATCTCGAGTCGAAGCTGTCCGAGTCGTCGCGGCGCTGTTTGCCAGCCTTGCCGCGTTTTCCGACGTTTGCCTTGTTGGTGGCAGAGACTGAGCTGGTACGAGACATGCCGTTTTCACCCTCGTTCTCTGCGGGCGCGTTAGTCTGTGAGCTGGTTCGAGGAGTCTGTAGAAGGACATACCCTGGACGCTATCTTCCGAACTACCGAAGATGCGCTCTCGAGCCAGCTTGTACAGTTCCTCCCTCTCTTCTCTAGACAGCCTGGGGAACAAATTAGTGGGACAACTCCATGCACCTCCACAATGGGCGCACTTACTTCTCTTTCGCAAATGGTTGCTTCTCTTTGCCGTCTTTGTTATCGCTTCCAGATTCCGAGGTAGGCTTCGAGGCGCCAGCGCTCAATGGCCCACCTTCACTGTCCTGCCCTCGACGCATGATCTTCTTGGGCAGGACAGCAGGAGGCGGAGTGCCGCCTGCGGAGGCGGCGGGTTGCGGCGCCATGGTTGCCAGAGACGGCGGGACTCGACAAAATGGCGTTCTAAAAATACGGACAGACCCAATATGCGGCTCAAAAGAATGCGTCATGTGATAGTAGTCGGCCAGCTTATGCGTCAACATCCTACAGAATGAGTTGGAGGGAGGCAGGTCCATGTACGGTTCCCTGGAGACGTCAGTCAAAGTGGGACAGAAGGGGGAGCTGAGCAGGCATACTTGGAATCTTGCACAAAGTCAATCACATCTTTCTCCAACCTTAACAGGAAAAATCTATCCCGGGGACTTGACAAGGCGTCAAGCAGCTTCTCATCCGGCGCCTGGCGGTAGATGACATTTAAGGCGTCAGAGGACCCTTCCACGCTCAGGGGAATCGTCGGGTTGACAGCCGGCGGTCGCTCAGAAGCCGAGCTCTGCGGAGTAATAACCCCATGGCCCGGAATCCCGAGGGTTTGCTGCGCCAGCCTACGCTCGGGAATGTCGCCGAGCTGAATACCACGGGCGCGAGCGGCCACCTCGGAGCTCATCCGAGAACCGGCTATGAAAGATCCTCGGATAGAAAAGGCATCGTCGTCCTCGGCAGCGGCCTTGACGCTTGCACTGTCGTCGGGACGGAGGGATTCCTTCTCGTCCAAGGCAAATGTGGTCCCAGATGTGATGCTCTTGCCGTCCAAGCTCGGAGGTTTGGTCCCCAACTCTGAACTCGAGTCGCATTTCTGTGATTCGTCGGATACGCTCTCCCTGTTGATCAGTGCGCGCTGGCGTTCAAGCGCAGTGGGTGTGCCGTCGACGACGAGGTTGGGAACTCTGGAGCTGAGCTTGAGATCGTTCAGCGACGATGCCACTCTTTCCGCGGCAGCTGAGCCCTCTCTTGCGGTACCTTGCCCCCCAGGCTTTGAAAGCGAGGCATTTCGTAAAAACGCGACGTTGGCCGACGCACCGCTAACGACAATGGGAGCAGCGGCGCCAGGCTGATGCTTGACATTCGCACCTTGATCGTTTCCCGTACTTGGGCCTGATGGGGGCTCCTTTGAAACAACAGCGGCTACCTAAGATGGAGAATTCCAAGTATTAGCACGAGCCCAGACAGAAGGAGGTCGACGAAAGGGCCGGCCGGGCACATGATGAGCCGACTACCTTGGCGAAAGAGGGTCTGGGAAGATCGGGGGATACCTGCGCAGTCGCCATGATGAATGATGGGCGCGGCTCGATATCCAAATAAGCGAGATTCGGGCACAGCAAACGCGGTATTAAAACAGACGACGATCGTCAGGTGTAGGAGGCGGGCCAAGACTGGGGGAAGAGAGAGTAGAGAATCGAAATCAGAGCGCAGAATCAATCGCAACGGGCCGACAGGTCGAAGACAGAGTTCCGGTGTTCATTGTTTGTATGTGGAGGGCATCGTTTCCAGATTTTTGAAGATGGGGGAGGGAAGTAAGTCGCCCCGGGTTCAGGAAAGCCTCAGTACTGTCGTCGTGCTTAGGGAAAGCACAGGACCTGCAGTCGCCAGGGTCAGAACAAGGGTCGCCAGGACAAGGCGATGATGGCATGTAATAATAACGGACGACGATGAAATCGTGGCGGCGAGGGGGGAGGCGGCAGCGTTGCGAGAGGGGCGACGTTCGGGCTCGAATTCTCGGTCTGCGCGCGCTGGGCAGGGCTGTGCAGGGGCTTACGGCAGCAGGGTTTGATGCAGTCCCCGAGCGTCGCTGCGATGGCCAAAGCCTGGCGAAAGATTGAGATGTCTGACGGCGGGTTAGGTCGATGCCATCGGGTAGCGTCGACGGAGAGGCTCGACAATGGTAGAGGGAGGATTTCAAAGATGTACCGTGAAGCTCGGAAATGACCTAGCGCCGGTGGCTGGGTTCCTCGCTGATGGGTTTTGTGTGTGGTCGCTTACGTAATGCGGCCTGGATCAGTGGGCGCCTCTTGACGCATCGACAGTTGGATTGATGGGTGACGCATCAACAAGTGCCTGGATCTGGAACAAGCTGCTGGTGTATGCACGATGAAATACGAAGGTTAGGCTGCCAAAAAATATTCGCATCGAGCCGCCACATGTCTGGTCCATGGTCCAGGTCACGTGAGCTTACTGGTGCGCCATGAGCCTAAGCCTGCCTAGATTAGTCAGTTCTCTCGCACTCCATGCTCATCATCTAAAGACTGGCTGGTGAGTTGAGGGCGCGTAGCAACCTCATTCTGAACACCCGCCGCCGTATCTTTTTTTTTCATTTGTCCTGCTCGAGCTCTCACGCCATTCATACCATACGCAAGCATCTGCGCCTTTCTGTTATGCATGCTCACAGTCGCCGCGGAGGGCCGATGCGGTCCACGCCCGCCAACGTCCAATGCCAGAAATGCTTGAAACGAGATATGTTTGTCGCAATCCCCATAGTCAACCTCGAACTAATTCCTTCTTTACGTCACTACTCATACGAGTGCAAGGCCCCCGCCCAAGAGCGGCCCTATGCATCGCGTCCTTCCCGCTCGCAGCAATTGCGCAATCCCAAGCTTGTCCCAAAACTCACAAATGATGCCTTCCAACCGTTGGAGAAAAAGTGAGCGTCCATCGCACCGTATCAAGATTGTCCTAACCCGAGTACAGAAAAGGCGTTGCCGACGAGGAGATCGCAAAGAGGGAGACTGAGCGGGCCCAGAAGCGCGAACGCGAGAACCGCGAGGACGAGATGATCAAGTCGTCGCCCAGGCGCCCAAGATCGGTTTCCTCAAGCTCAGTCTCAACTATCTCAACCGACGCCTCAGCAGAGTTGAAACAGTCAAGAGGGCGGACGAGGTCTCCAATGCCGTTGACACGTGAACGCGGCCCAGAAGGCGTGAGGACCGACGACCGACGACCGCGCGGTCGCAGCTACAGCCGCAGCTGCAGCCGCAGCCCGCCACCTCCCAGAGGCCGCCCGCGCCCCTCATCGCGGCACAGTCGTTCTCCTCCACCCGACAACTTGGGGCGGTCCCGAGATGAATGGAGTTCCCGGGGTGAGCAAGGCGGTCGAGATTATCGGCAGCGGCACAGGCCCAACTCGTTTGACTTGAGATATGACGGCGACTCAAAATCTCGCCGACACAATGACCCTCGCTCTCCAGAGACAGGGGCGGCATGGAGGGACGAGCGGGAACATTGCGGTCCACGACGCGGTCGAGACGATGGTGCTCGGGACAATGGAGACAATAGGCGGTCAAGGGAGGCGAAAGTAGACGAGCCGCCGAGGGAGCGAAGTCTCAGTCCGTTCAGCAGACGCCTAGCCATGACGAGAGAGATGAACGGTGGTAGATGATTGGGTATCAAGATTTGTTTCGCCGGGTTTCCAATCCACAGTCTAGATAGACCGACTCCAGGCCAACAATGCACGCGAAAATGCAAACTTCTGGTGTTCCTGACCTCACCCGTGTTATGCCATTGCCTCCTCCCTTTCTCGCTCCTCTTCTTCCTTTCCCGCTTGTTCCCTGACCCGGAGACCTTCAACGAGAGCCAGGCCATCCATTCCAGCAGCCTCTCCGTCGGCCAGCGCATTCGCCGGGTCGCCGTCCTTTTGCGCCGCCTTTTGGGCGCGCGTTATTCTGTCACGGACTAGCTTCGCGATGGCATTGTCGGTCCGGACGTTGAGAATCTCCATTTTCTTGTCCAAGTCTCGCTTCAAGTCCCAGTTTGGCTTTTTCGGTTGTAGTTTGAGCAGGTCGATGCCCTTGTCGTCTTGCGCCTCGTCGGCCGCTTGTCTCTGGACTTGGGCATCCACCTCGGCCGCTTGTTCTTCTAGGGTCGGCGCGTCCAAGCCTTGGTTCGGCATATGCTCGAAGCCCAATTTCGGGCCCTTTGTCTCGAAGTCATAGTTGCGTCCAGACAGGTGCAGCCGCGTAACGTCGGGCTCCTCTGGCTGCGACGGGGACCTTTCCGACTCGGGGGCGGCGACCTCGTCGTTTGGCTGCTTTCTTTTGAGACCTCGTAGGCGTGCGAGCCGGGCCTTGCGGTCCTCCGCGGCTGCGCCCAGGGTGTTGAGCGAGGATGACATGGTGGACAGCCGATTGATGGCGGACGAGCAGTGGTGACGAGACGAGGCGTCGAAGTCGACTCTGCCGTGGTTTGTTGCAGCAGGTTGCGATTGGCGGGGCACGAGGAGCGCAAGCGCAGTTAAGCTAGCGCGCCATGGTGTGGAAAGTACTCTGTACACTTACGGCCTCCTGGAAGTGCGCATGCAGTGGCTTATGTCCTGTACCCCGGACTTCTTCCAGCTCTCCGCGTCGATGAATTCCCGCCTCGCAACTTTTCACAGCTCGCACTTCAACACCAGGGGGATCACGCAGGCTCCTGAACCCAAAGACATACACGACGACGCATCATGAAGCCAAGACGACCCCACATTGCTTGACGTTGGTGCGCTTGAAATGCAGGGGGCTCGCATCTGTCGCGCTGCCTTGTCAAGGCTCTCAGACTCTGGACAGCCACTCGCAACTTCGACACTCTTTGCTCAACTGCGCAGACATACGGCCTCTGCGTCAACTCGCGCGCCGCAGCTCATGAGAGACCAAGCTAACAAGAGTCGGCAACATGACCGCGAGCATGGCGATGCGCTCTTCTCTGTCTTTTTCCCGTCAAACTGCCCTGGGCAGCAGGCAAAGGAGCCAACTATCATGGGCCAAACAAACAACGACAGTGTCACGTCGAGACGCTCTACGGCATCTAGTCTACATCGAACGCGGTCAATTTCCGCTCAAATTCTCGATACGGATACTCCGCCCACTTCGAGCTGTCCGTCGAAAGCTCAAAATAGTCAGCGAAGCAGTCACAATTCCCACCCCAACGGCCGTCGCCCGCGTCGTCACGCAGATCAACGTACGCGACAGAGCGTATCGGCCGTGATCCGCACCTTCCAAAAGGCAAACTGTGCCGACCATGGACGCTTGTCTCCGGAGGCTTGGCAGCGCCGGCGCCTACGGCAGTCCCTTTACCTGCAATGGGGATACATTCGCCACCAGCTACCCCCATCGGAAGTGTTGCCGGCGAGGCGCGCCTTCAAGTCATGGAAGATCAAACTGAGCCATGTTCTGGATCCTGTGAATCCATCTTCGTGGCCGTGGCTCGAGCGAGGAAAGTGGCTTTTCGAGCTCGATACTGTGCTTGCAATGCGCAAAGCATGGGAATCTCGAGACCCCAAGGCTAGACGACAAGAATGGCCTTTGATCATGCTTTCGACGATGCACCTCTGCCCAGAAAAGGCAAGCATGGTTCTCGACGCCACACTGGAGCCCTTGTTACCGGGCTATGCGATTCACGACGTCCTACTGTTTGTTGTCCAGCGCTTCCGCCTCGAGGCTTCCCTTACGATCCCGGAACGAACCACCAAAGCGGATGAAATGTTGGACCTGGCGTCTAGGATCGTCGAGGACATGCCCCTCCGTCACGTCCCCTTTGGGCAGAGGACATTCGGTCTTCTAGCGCGCAAGCTTCCCTGCGAGCAGGCCAGTGAACTTTACACCATTCTTTTGAGAAACGGCTGGAGACCACATGCCAACACGCTCTTGCACTTCGCAAGCAATTTTGCAAATGACCGGGCTCACAAAACAAGCGCATATGAGATTGTCGAGGCGTTGGCTGATGATGGCATGGATCTCAGCAACGCGAGATCGGCGAGTGTCATCACCTCGCTTCTTCACTGCAAAGCGCCACAAGACGGAGGCGAGGACGAAACTCTCCCTTTTTCGCCCACGGAAACTCTCCAGTCCTTAATCGAGAGAGGCTTCTCACCTAATGTGATCAATGCCACTGCATTGGTCGATTCTCTCTGCCAGCAATCCGAGGTGGAAGAGGCCATTCGGCTAGCGCTCTTGTTCGCCGAGTGCGGTATTCAGCTGGACACGAAGACGTGGGTAACTGTGTTTCGAGGCGCTAAGAACAGTTTGAATGTTGCCAATGTCATCAAAGCGCTCGAAGTGGCCAAGGCTGCCAATGCGCCGTACGTGGACGTGCTTAACAACTTGCTCCATACCATCTTCTGTTTTGCTGATGCAGAGTCGCGCGAGCGGCACCTCCCTCCTCCCTGGACCCTGCCGCTGTTCACGCCTATGCTGCACATCTACGCCAAGAAATTCGATCTCGAGCCCCTGCAGTGGTGGTTGCCAGATCTACTCCCTGCAGCACTGGCCCAAAAGTCGCCCTCCCAGGATCTTGTGGCTCCCGCCCATGGGCAAGCATGGGCCTTTCCACATTCCGTGGTCCCTGTTGTCGACAAAATTTTCTCTAGCGGCGAACAGTCACGTCTGCAGCCCAACATGACGACCATTGCCATCATGTTGAGATCCTACATCAGAAGCCTGCGAAGTCCGCACGACCTCGTGTCATCCTACGGCTTTTTCAAGTCGCGGCTTGAAGAGGAAGGGAAGAAGGGCCGCCTGGCGCGGCAGCTCATCAAGGACCAAGGCAGTCTCATTCACGATGCCTTCATCTTGGCAATGACCGAGCATCAACTACTAGCTAGACAGGCTCTGCAAGTTTTTGGCGACATGCTGAAAGACCACTTAAAGACTGGCTCTGCCAATGCGCGCAAAGCACGAGTGGAAAACGGGAGGGACGTGTCGACGGCGCCAGTTCATCCGTGTCCCAGCGTCCTGACCTTTACCATTCTCCTGCGAGGCTTGATGAACCGCGGCGAGCACATCTTGGCTGAACAAGTCGTTCAATTGATGGACGAGCTCGGCATCAAGGCAAACCTCGTGACCTGGAATACGCTCATCAAAGGCTACGCTTCGTTGCAGAATGTCAAGCGAACGGTCGCGACGCTGCAAGACATGGAAGCAGTGGGGTTTCACTCCGACGCTTTTACCTATAAGGCCTTTGCGAGACTGCAAAACCAGGCCAAGGCGCTGAAGATGCTGGAGAGCATCATCGACGAGAACAAGCGGACGATGATGGGAGAAGGCCCGCACCAGTAAATCACTCATAGGCCTATAGAATCCGTGGCCTACACATGAATGCTCCGGGCCACTGTGTATTCAGCCAACGTCGATGTCACTTTTCGAGCCTTTGTTGACTCTCGACCGAGCTCACCCAAGACTCGATGTCAAACAGGTCTGGCCGGCAGGCGGCGCGTGTTTCAGCTCCAGAGGGCACCACTTTGGCATCGCTTGTTAAGCTCTGCTTAGCCCCGGTAAAAAGAAAGGCCGCTGACCCTACGCTTAACAATTCATCACACTGCACACCTCATCTTCTAGCTTCATCGACAATCAAGCTCGAAGATCAGCGGTTGGAGAAATATCAATCAGCCTCTCCCCTTGCAAAAACAGGGGACCGTCGACAACGGACGGCTACCAGATTATGACCGAGTCTGGACGTGAGCCCGGGAAGGCTAAGCAGTGAAGGGCTTTTCAGGCTGCGACAAGAGTCCCTCAAAATATAGATACTCCAGTCGATATGCCGGAACCAGGTCTCGCTCCCTTCACCGGCGTGTTCCGCGCCAACGACGATCACCGCGTCAAGCGCAGCCGACCTTCCGCCTCGTGCACGGCCTGCCAGCGACGCAAGTCCCGATGCGACCGGCGGCAGCCCTGCGGCGCGTGCGAGAAACGCGGAGGGGATAGTTCGTGCCAGTTCGGCGGCAACGCCGGACGCAAGGAGGTGCAGATGCGGCTGAGCAGGCTCGAGGAAATGGTCCAAGGCCTGGCGGACGCGAGGAGGAGGCAGCAAAAGACAAGTCCTGACAACGATGCCGAAGCGCGGGGAGTCCCGGCTGTCGGCGGGCAGGAGCTGCACGGCGACGGCATCGGCGACGACTATCACGGGGTAACGTCGTGGACGGCGCTGGTGGACAGCATCCGCGACATTCAGACGCTCCTCTCCACTGTCGGCGAGGAGCCGGATACGAGCGAGCCTAAGCCAGCCGGAGAGGAGCCCGACCTGGTGTTCGGAGACGTGAACCCTGTCACTGTCGCCGACGCCGTTGCCAGCCTCCCCGCGCGACAGGAAGCGGACCGACTCGTCAGCCTGTACTTCAATGCCAAGTTCATCGCCGTGCCGTTCCTCCACGCACATCACTTCCGGCGTTGCTACGAGTCGTTCTGGGCCGACCCCTCGTCTGCCGGCTTCCTCTGGACCAGTATCTTATTCTCGGTCCTCAGCGCTGGGGTCATGGTTGCGCGCGTCCGAGACCCAGCGCAGGCGACTCCGCCGTCGGTCACGGAGCCTCGCGTCTACCTGGTCCGGGCGGCGCAGTGCCTGGTCGCCGGACAGTACCTAAGGGCGAGGCCGTGGTCGGTCGAGGCCGTGCTCCTTTACGCGCACTGCCGCAACGTGCAGGGACCCGACGCCGACTCGGCGCTCTGGCCCGTGTACGGGCTGGCGGTGCGTCTGGCCCAGCGGCGGGGCTACCACCGCGACGCGGGCCGCATCGGCCTCGCCGTCAGCCCGTTCGAGGCCGAGATGCGGCGCCGGACCTGGTTCACGGTACAGTCGACGGACCTGCTGCTGTCGCTGCAGCACGGCCTGCCGTCGCTCGTCGACCAGGACGTCTGCGACGCCGGCCACCCGACCAACCTGACCGACGACGACTTTGACGAGCCCACGTCGCCGCTGCCGCCGCCGCGCGCCCCGACGGACCCGACGCCCATCTTGGCCTGCACCGTCAAGTCGCGCCTGTGCCGCATCCTCCGCCGCGTCGCGCGCCTCGCCCTGTCCCCGAGCCCCGTGCCCTACGTGCAGACGCAGGCCCTGCACTCGGCCCTCGAGCAGTGGCACGCCGACCTGCCCGCCTGCCTGCGCGTCCGGCCCATCCGTACCACGGCCTTTACCGACCCCAGCTACACCGTCATGCACCGCCTCATGCTCGAGGTCATGTACCTCAAGACGCTTTGCGTCCTCCACCGCCCTTACCTCACCACCGTCAACATCGCCGCCGCCCCCGACGCGGATCCCCGCCACCGCGCCTCGGGGCAGGTCTGTCGCGACGCGGCGCGGCGCCTGCTCGAGCTGCACGTCGAGGTCGACGCCGAGACGCGGCCGGGGCGGCGCATGTATGAGGACCGGTACATGATGACGAGTATGACGTACGATCACTTCCTCCTGGCCGCCATGGTTCTCTGTCTGGACCTGAGCGAGTCGACCGACTACAGGTAGCCTCCTTTTCTTTCCCCTTTTCGTACCCACCTCCCCCTCCCCGCCATCGATCCCCCGCCAACTCAAATCTCCCCCAAGTTGCGAAGACAGGGCCAGTCGCATCCGCCTCCTCCGCACCATCCACGACCTCTGGTACGCCCGCCGTGCCGCCTCGCTCGACGCCCGCCACGCCTCGCGCGTCCTGCGCGCCATCCTCGCACGGGTTGACCCCGCCCCGGCCATCCCCTCGTCGCCGTCGGCCGCCCCGCCGCCCCAGCCGCAGCCGCAGCCACCGAGCCGGCCCGGGCCCGTGGATGACGCGGGTGGGGGCGACTGCGCCGTCGGCCTGGGCGAGATGCCCTCGTTGGAGAGCTTCCTCGGTGGCTCTGTGGGTGTGGACTGGGTATGTTTCAAATTTCGCTGCGTCCTGCTTTATCGCAGCCTCGGCTGGTGGTTGAAGAGGAAGGGGCGCAGGGAAAGACGAACCGGCAAGAATAGCAGTCAGCTGACGGGAACAGCTCTCCGTCGACCAATTCCTCCGACCCGGGCCCTCTCCTCCATGACCGCCCCCCCGCAGCAGCAACATAAACATCAACCGCCCTCCCATCCCAGCCAAAGGTCCCCAAAACCGCCTCCGTCCCACCCAGCCCGTCCTACACGGGAGGACCCAAGGAAGCGCCCCTCCCTCCTTACACGTGGCAGGCGAACCAAGAGTCGCGAGGCAACTCGTGCCCTATGTACTGTACACGGCTTTCTTCTTCTTCAAAACACCTTGACCGTCTCGGGTTGCGCCCACGTGTCGTTGCGTGTGTCTGACAGCCGACGAGAACCAGGCGCCCAGGAGGCAAGGACGCAAAGAAAAGGCGGTGACCGCAGCCAAGAGTCCGGCTCCGCGCCTCGTGCGCATTCCACGGCCCGCCCTATTCGCGGGTGGCCGCAGCCAGGCGGCCGAGGCAGACCTTGGCCTCCCCTCCTGCATTGTGCTTGTGCTGCCGACCGAGGTGGGAGGAAGCAAGGCGCATGCTGCTGCCTGCTGCTGCCCCACGTAGCAAGGCCACGAGATGTTCCCTTGACCACCACGGGCACGAATTCAGAGGGGCCTTGTTTTTAAAACGCGTCTCTTCTGTTATCGACGCTCCTCGTTCCTCCCCCCTCTACGCCGATCAATGTCGTGCAGAACCCTTCGACAGCTGCGTAACATCGTGAGCAAGCCCGCAACCATGGCCGGCGCCCAAAAGACGGCCCAGTGGCACATAAAAACAAGATCCCGCTTGTGAAGCAACATAACGCGCGGCCGTCCAGCACATTTGATTCTTGACATCCCGGATCCATACCGCCTTGTATCTTTCCTCGGACAAGCCATTCTCCGCTGATTCGACGACCGGCCCGTCCCCTTCACTCATGATAGGAACCAACGCCAAAGACAAGGGAGGAAATATATGGAATTTGCGGGCCACGATGATTTCCCTCCGCTGTATTCCCATGATAAAAATAAAGCTGCCACGGTTATGCATGTTCCCACCAAGACAAGGAGCAACGCCGTTAAACCGTTTCTGCCACGTCGAACGATATAGTCGTGCTTTGCCATAGACATCATGAGAGAGCAACAAACAGGACAAGAACAAAAGGAGACAATGGGGGGAAGAAGAAATGTACAAACAAGGTTGGCAGCTCAGCACATTGCGCGCTTGGGTATAATCCATGCGTGGACACGAGACGAGGACCGCCGTGGCCGGACCGGCGACCGCCCGGCGGGTTCGTAGTACTTACGGCGCAATGCCAATGCCGCGCAAAACGCGTGCAGGGTTACCTGCCACGACCGTAAAAGGGGGGACATCCTGCAACAAGCGGTCAGCTGCGACGCTGTTACCGGACGCAGAGTCGGGCAAAACAAACCTTGGTCACAATAGACCCGGCGCCAACCGTGCTCCCCTTGCCGATTGTGCGACCGGGCAAGATGGTGGCTCCTCCCCCGATCCAGCAGTCCTGCTCAATGATGATGCCTCTCCCGAGCTGCGGTCCCTGTCCGCCTTGGCGCTTCTTGGGGTCGATGGGCAAGGTCGCCGTGAACAGGCTGACGTTGGGGCCGATGACGCAGTTGTCGCCAATCTTGACCTCGCAGACGTCGTTGATGGTGCAGTGTCGGCCAATGACGACGTGGTGGCCGATGGAGATGTTGTAGCCATAGTCGCAGGTAAAGGGTGTCTCGACGGCGACGTGGCGGCCGACGCGTCCCACGTTGGTGACGGGGGATGCCTCCGAGGGCGAGACGCGGACGGGGTCGCGAGGCTGCAGTATCTCGAGGAAGAGGCGGGATCGTTCGTCGGGCGACACGCCGTGGGTGGGCGGCGTCGTGAGGTTGTTGAACCTCCAGCAGGCAACGGCGCAGCGCTCGCGCTCCAGGCACAGTTCCTTGTCAAAGGGATAGTAGTGGCGTCCCGAGAGCATCTCCTCCTTCTGCGTCCTCCTCTGCGGATACTGCGGATGGGACAGGGCGAGCTGCGCGGCGACCTGGGCGCTCGAGGAGGTGGGTTGCGGGTGCGCGGTCGGGCTGCTCACGCGCGTGGGGTGAAGAATGTTGATCTGGGGCAGAGAGTTGGACGGATGGGGCGTTTCGGGCTCCCCCCTGCCCAGGTCGTGCAACGGGGGCACGCGTGGATAGTCCTTGTTCATCCTTTCTCCGAATGACGGGGGCTGCGTGTTTGCGCTGACGGGCGTGGGAAAGGCGTTACCGGGTGCGTAGGCGATGGCGGAGAGCTTGCTCTCGGGACTAACAGCAGACGCGCTGGGCAGTGTCGATGCAGTTGGGCGGTCGTCGTCGCAGGCGGCCAGCGGGCGGCCCTGGGGCGGGTCTATCCGGAGAGCCTGGCCTCGATAGTGCGGCAGGGGCTCACGCTTGACGGGCTGGGCCCCATAGGCGGCCCCGTGTTGCGGCATACCATAGGCGCCAGGGGGCACGTAGCTGGGGTCCTTGGACTCGAGGGGAACGGTCGCGGCCTTGTTGTCGGGCTTCTGCCAGCCGGGGCCCCTCTGCGGTGGGTAGCCTGCACATACGAATCCGCCGCGAATGCAGTTGCTGCCTGCGGAAGGAGTCAGCATGGCAATAGGGGCACGGCGAAAGCAACAACATACACTCGGGCTTGTGTTCGTCGCACTTCTTCTTGCGCTTGCGGCAGGTCAGACAACCAGTCTTTGTTCGATTGCTAAAGTTGCGCTTTCGCTTCTTGGGGTCATGATGGGGCATCGAGTCCTGCCTGTGGTCTGCAGCATAGGGGCTGCCGTAGAGGCCCATGGACCTGTCCTCGGCATCGGGGCTCGTCTGACTGTAGTCGCTGTGGTCCATGTGGCCGGCGGCTCTGCGTAGCGCATCCCCTGCCTGCTCGTCCATGTGACCCTGGGTCGGGGTGGCGGATCTCTGCCGAGCTTCATAAGTATCTCTCTCGTCTCGGCCTTGTTGGGAACTCCACGGAGAGGCGTCCCTGTCTCGCAGCTCGTCGCTTCCCTGGCGATGTGCTTGTTGGGTCGGCGCGTGGGAGCCGCGGGCCTCGGCGTGGGATGTGGCAGGGGCCGTGTCTGGCGTTGGCTCTCGAGGGGCGTCTTGATGCCTTGGTTCCAACGAATCTGAGCGTTTCCGCTTGTGCGACTGCTCGGCGTCGGAATAGTTGGCCGGGTGGAATGACGGGCGGTCTTGCACTCGCCAGGAGCCCCTTTGGTTCGTGGGGACATCGGTTGGCTTCTGATACTGAAGTAGGGCTGAGCCCAGAGGCTGGTCGTCAACGGCGGCTTGATTTTCAGCCGTAGCCTTTGGATGTGGCGGATCCGTCGTCTTTGGGGAGGCCCCATTTAGGGCGGTGAAGGTGGACATGTTGGTTGAGGAGCTGTGGGGTGGAGGGCAGCTGGTTTGTGACCACAAGACAAGAAGGGCGCACAGAGCGGGCGACGAGGGAGCAAAGAGGAATCGTGGCTCCGGGTCGAGCTGGCACGGGTCGTCGAGGCCGTTGGCTAACGAGGGTCGTTGTCGGGGCCCAATTAGCGCTGGGAGATGGGACACGGCAGCGAGGAACGGAGGGAGTCCCCAGGGAGCCGAGACAGGGCCCGAGGCGTTGTGTGAGAAAATTGGGCGTGTGGGAAGGCCGGCGAGCGCGCATGTGCCCTGGTTGACTGTGCTGGTCTCAGGAGCGCAGCAACCCTTACTCAGCCCACGCTCCAGAGCGAATGGAGCAGCGAGAAGAAGATGGACCGTCGCCGCCGCCACCGACACGGAGCGCGTCGGGCCTGCGCAAGGATGCAGGCGGGGGAAAAAAGAGGCAAGTGAGAAGCAGGCTCGGTTGAAGCTCAAGGCGGGGAGAAAAAAAGTCACGGCGGTGGTGATAAAAGGCGGAAGGAAGGGTCGCGCGCTTGTTGGGGAGTTTCGGAAGCTTGGGTCCCTCTTTTTTTTCCTCAGTCGGGGAAGGAGGAGGAAGGGGTGGCCTCGTTTGGCGCGCGATTATTATGTCGCAGGCTGCGGCTGCGTGGCCCGGGATAAGCCGCCGGCTCCGTCTGGGGGGCGCTTCCCTGCTGCTCGGGGCCTTGGAAAACAGAGAACAGAGCTTCGGGCCAGGCAACGCGAGCGCATCGCTGGCCAAGCACGGGCTGAAGGGCGAGAGAAGAGGCGAGAGACGGAGTCGGGGGCGACTGGCCGACCAATGCTGGTTGGTGCAGAGGAAGAGACGAGGCACTTACAGGCACTGTCCTAGCGCCCAGCGGTTGGCAACGGCGGCAGCGGGGAGACCCAAACAGCGCTAGACGGCTGGTACTCTGTATTGGCCGAGGGGTCGTGTCCCCATCCGGAAAGGTCGCTTCTGACAGCACAGCACGGCCGAGTACGGAGTATCCGTACTCTGTACTAATTATATACATGTCGTAGTCGACTAACTACTCGACTTCAGCCGTCGAGTAAGTGATAGGCGATACCTGCTTCTCCGTGCATGACACCGGGGCCCCGCTGTAGACTGCATCTGCGGACCAAGACGGGTCCATCTCGGTGTGTCTGCTCGCTTGGCCCTCGCTTGCCTGCCATCTGCTCGCCAGCTTTGCAAGCGCCCTGCACCTAAAATCGCTCGCCTGCCGAGTCGTTGATGTGTTTTACCGTCCACTGTCGCCAGGCCGGCGAGTGTGTGTGTATGTATACTGTACATATTCTTCCACCTTCACCTGAAGCCTGTCGTCTCTCGTGCTTGTTTGTCTCCCAGCCGATCGACTGTGTAAAATACGGTACTGTACAGTACGTGCTCCTTCTTGCATCGCAGCGGCCCTGTACTCTACAGGAGATGCAACTCCAGCAGCTCCGTTCCCGACATACATATCTGTACTCTGCGCCATGAGTGCCATGAGTCCCCGTAGATCCAGATGCCGGCCGAGTGGAGACAAAAGGGGGCGTGCCCGCAGCAAGCCGCGCACCAAACCGGCTCCACCCCAAGCATCTATTCAGACTCAAAGCCATATCAGATGCCATGTGTCTCCATGCGTGCCTGCCATTCGTCCATGTCTTCGCATTATGCTTTATACTGCCAAGGTCGTCGCAGGCCAAATCGCCCCACGGACGCGCACTCTCTTTGCGCCGGGCCTCTCCGGGGAGTTGCCGGATGTCCGATGCTACTACATGTCCACGTCTGCGCAGGTGCAGCCGAACTGCCTGCTCGTAAGACAGGGAGACACGGACGAGGCTCTATGCTAGACGTCCAGATCACCGGCAGAGAGAGGGCGGTGCTCGCGTGTAGAGAGAGTGTAGACGTGCACCGGCAGGGCGAGTGACAGTCGCGCCTGGGTAAAAGGCGCTTCGGAAACCTTCAACCCCCCCCCCCCATCCCCCGGGCACGATGCGTCACACCGCCCGCCTCGAATCACCCAATTGCGCAGAGGGAGCAAGGCAACGTCACACGGGCAGAGGGGGAGTTGTCTGTGACAGCCGGGCCTGGTATCGCCGACCTGTCTCTGGCATAAAAGACAAGTACAAAGTACAGCCTTTGGCGACGCGACTTGAGATGACAGGGCGGGCCCGCGCTTAGGCCCCAGGTACTAGCGGGCACCGCCAGGCACGGCGGCCCACAAAGTACACGGCGACTCTGCACGTGTTTCAGATGCGCTGTACGTTACCTAGGTAGGTAGGTAAGGTAGGTAGTACAGACGGTGCAGTACAAGGTACTTCCAACACGCCGCCCCATTGCCCACTTTAGCCGCCCGCTTCCGCACGGTACAGTACTTTGCCCTTGTACCTACACCATCCGTCCATCATCAAACGTCTCCCACCCGCATCGTCGAGTCATTTTAGGCGGAGACGCCTGGCCATGCGGGAAACACAGACGCCGACGCGTCTCTCTGTTTCGCCAAGTTTCATGCCCGCCTTCTCTACGACGGGGTGCCCCTGTCGGGTGCTGCACCGCAGCGCCAGATGTGCTCATCTTGGTCTTCTTCAGCTCTCCTTCTATCCCACAGCCATCTCGACCCGACACTGCTCGAGCAAGCATGTACTCCCGTTGGCGGTTCATCTTATCGCATGACGTCTTCGTCTCCATTGTTGATCCCTCGATCTGGTTCACGTACTTTATCATCTCGAGAGGGAGCAATCTCTGACTCGAACCAGAGGCGTCCCTTGGGGACACACGATGTCTTCGCTATACCCGCTGGATGGATAACCAATCCGGGGCCACAGGCGGCCAACACCCCCGTCCAGGCCCCCATGTCATGGCGGCGCATGGCAGGCTTCAACGAAACGTCCTTCAGATCGTCCAACCGTCTCATCGAGCTTCGCGGCAATCAGGTGCCTAGTATTTGCGGGTGAGTTGGTTCCGGTATCTACAGTACTCACATCACAACGTTCTCACGCGCGCGCATGTTTCACCCCTCTTCTGCCGCCCCGGGGGCACCAGACGCGCACAACGGCTCTTCGCTTCTCTCCTTGTTCGACGTGACAACCTGCCACCTTGAAACCGAGCGCTCGCCGGCCCGTCGTCATGTCTACATTCGTCAATGCGTCTTGCCCCGTCACCCTGCTACGCCGCCTACGCCGTCACATGGCCTCGACGGCGAGGCCAATCACGAGCGGCGTTTGTTCCCCCATGGCCAAGGGCGGGTGCGTGCCGTTGGATACAATGCGAGGCTAGGCAGTAGCGTGTGAAGAATACACACATGCGTAGCATAAGCATCGACAATCACACAGACGCACTCTCACGCGGCATCCTTGCTCCGACGCGCGCGAGTGCGTGGCGCAAGGGGAGTCTAGGCACACTGGCCCTTCCAACGGCGTGGCGCCGCGAAGCATAGCCAGGTCGCAGGCAAGCAAGGCGCCCTGCTCGTGGCCCGTTCTCGACGCCTCCTCGCGCGCCAAGAAGTTAGTAATGCGAGCGCACCAGGTCAATGCGAGCGCACCAGGCTACTTGATCGCAGCCGATTGGGACAGCCGCAACAAGGGGCGACGACGAGGCGTCCAACCACGCCGCCGCCCGGTCACGTCGGCGGTTGGTCTCGACGGCACCGCTTCCTACCACTTGCCGGCCTTGCTTGCGCACTCTCTGTCTCATCTTTTTTCCGACTCTTGCTTCTTCCAACATGTGCTTGGGAGACCAACATTGGATAAGACGCGGCGAGGCGAGGCATCATCTGCTGACCCGGGTCCGAACTTGGGCTCGGGCGACCAACACCAACCTCATGAGACACCAAAGGAGTTGTGAATGAGATTCGGATCAGGCGACATTGGCTTCTTCCGACGCCGCATGTTGCTCGCTCTTGAATTGCGATTCAAATGACATGGCTCGGCGTTGGTAAAGAAAAGGGCATTTGGGACGAAGGAGGACAACCTCGACTCGCAGGCAGACTAGACAGCTGGGGGCAGAGGGGGAAATGACTGCTTCAAAGGGAACATTTCTCTTGTCCAGGGCTAAAGGCCAGGCCAGGCTCGTTGGCTGCAATGCCGGGCCCGTGGGGGCGACGCCTCTGCCAAAGAAGGCTGAAGACGGTCATGGCGGCTTATCTCCAACGACGCTGCCGGGGCTGTCAAAGTCAAAAAGTCAAAGAGGGAGAGGGAGAACGGGGATAGCTGGTTTGTCGCTGGCTGTGCAACCTCGGCCATGGCACGCCGAGAGGCGGCGCTCGGAAGACCGGGCCTGATTATATGTAAGACGTCAGCCGCACGACGACGAGCCCACGCGTTGGCTGCACGAGTAGCCTGTACGGATGATATAATAATACGCCTTGACGATTAACGCCGTAGCATGAGGCTGTCATTAGCGGTGCCAAGTGGAGTCTCCCCCCTGTTCTCCGCTGCCGTCGGCGTGCCGATCCGGGGGCGGGTTAAAAGCCGACGCTAGCAAAGCTGGCCGAGCAAGTCACGCGCGACTCGCGGCGTCTCACCGTGTCCCGCAATTCTTAACGCGCGCCACGTCACGGCGGCGAGGTAGCCGGTACAACAAGCCCGGAAAGCGCAGCGCGCCTGGCCGAGAGGTACCTTGGCTAACCGCGCACAGCAGCCGCCCCCCGAGGGCTGATGAATCTAGGCACGGATACTACAAGCTGGGTTTCGAAAGAGAAGAGGGGCATTGAAAAGTGTTCATGTCCAGCTCTTCCGCCCAGCCCTTTGGCAGTGCAAACAGCCCTCAAGTTGCAGAACCCACGGTATGTAAAGTTGGGACACTAAGCCGACACCCATCACTCCGCAGAGAGAGCCTATCAAAACCCGTGCCTTGTGGATGCTGGGATAAGCGCGAATTACCTAGCCATCCAGTGCCAAGAGGCCTTCTCGAAAAGGGTGATGTGCGAGCAAAACGCTGAGGTATCTCCTCTCCTACGCGGCGTCCGACTGGCTACAATCCCTGCAAGTGACCTGAGAGCTGTCTTCGCACCGCCAAACACATCCATCAGCTGCTGCCAACATTGACGTCGCAGATGGCCCGGTGAGGGAGGCCCCGTCGGTGAGCGAGCCTCCGTCCAGGTCTCCCTCGGAGCTGCCCCTGCCTGCATCCCCCCCTTGCCACGGCGTCGGCGGCGGCATAAGCGCCCGACACACGCCACACTGCAAGTTGACCCATCCTCAGCTTTCCCCCAGCCAAAACAAAGCAAAACAACCAAAAAAAAACCGTGCAGAAGACCCAAAAAGAAAGAAAGGTTTTCAGAGAGAGAAGGAAGAAGGAAAGGGCTGCCCCTTGGCTTTTAGCACCGCATAGCCGCCCGCCCGCTTAAGCGCCCGACTACACATTCACAGCACACGTTAGCTACAGGCCCTCCTCTCGACGGCGCCGGCCTTTGGATGCGGCTGCGTTTTCTGCCTTGGCCGGGAGGGCAGGGGATCAAGGGGTGCAGCGTGGAGGGGCGGGCTTTTCGTTCAGCCCTCGGCCAACTTGCCCATCTCTTGCCATCAGCTATCTGCGCCCATCACAGCGACACGTCACATTCCATCTACTCGGTCTCGTCCTTCATCTTCGACTCGATCCTTCACTAGACATGCCTGGACTTGCTCTCGTCATCATCACCAGCCGCTCTCAGGGGCGTCAACAGCATCGACCTCACCACGGAGCCAATCACGTCCCCCGGCTCGGCGTCTTGGTATTACACGCTCCCAGCACATGCAAGCACCTAGAAATCCATACATCTATGTACCTGCATTCACCCCATCGCCGTCGCGCGCCTTCACCCTTGGGCCCGCCGTTTGATCCGCTTCTTCTCGTGCAGTAGGCCCGTGGCTGCTAGACGCCGCCATTGGCCAAGCGCCCGTCCAGTCCTTGGCTCAACCTCAGGAGTTCCCTCTCAACGTCGCCAGCAGCTGAAATCCTGCGCCCGCACGCTGCCGACGCCGCCGAGTCGCATCTCGCAGAGTCGCAACGGTCGGGATGATTCCGCGTATCAGTCTTCTCCGCTCCGTTTCCCCGCATGCAGAGCAACCCTGCATTCATCCAGATCTCATCTCGGCATGTACAGATCAAGTACCTGGGTGGTTGGATCCTACTTCTTCTGCCGCTTGGCGCTTTTGTCGCTCATGGTGCTCAAGACACTCGCGCTGCGCTTGTGCGCGATTCCGGGCCCCGCCCCTTTTTCCCTGTCCGTGGCATCCCGGACCTGTTCCTCTGCGCCCTCGTTGCCATCCGTCTGAGCCTTCTTTTCACTGCCGTCATTGTCGCCGTCACCTTCGGCGGGCGCAGTCGGCCTCCATTCTCCCTCATCCTTCTGGGCCGCATCGCGAGCCGTCTTGGCTTCGTCGGCAACACCACCGTCGCCGCCTCCGCCAGCATCGTCTCCATTAGTCTCCCCCTTGGTTTCGCCGTTCTGCGTTTCCTTCTCCGGCTCAGGTGGTGCCAATGCCCTTTCCCGCTCCGCCTTCTTCGTCCGCTCCAGCTTGATCTCGGCGTCGAACTTGTCTGAGAGCTTGCGGGCCTCGAGAAGGCCATTCACTGCCACGAGGAGTTGCTCATATTGCTGCGTCGTTGCCGCCGTGGCCATGGCCAGCTTGCTTGGAACATCAAGCTCGTTGAGCGTATTGTTAATACGCATCTGCTGCTGATTCGACTTGTGCGAGAAGAGCTTGTTGATCTTTTCCGTCCGGAACGTCGGCCCAGAGCCCAGCCGGTCAAAGCGCGTAACACCGTAGATGGCTTCCTCGTGTTCGTTGAGTTTGCGTCGCTCTTGCTGCTGCTGCTGTGGCAGGTTCGGCTGTTGTTGCTGTTGCTGCTGTTGCTGAGACGGCGGTTGCTGTTGAGCCTTCTTACTCCCCCCCATTGGCGTAGCGGCGGCTCCTATGGAATCACGATGGGCGCTGGCCGAGGCCGTGGCGATGCTGTCTCGTTTGCCAGAATCTTGAGTGGCGGGCTGCGGCCCGGTTGGGGCCCCTGGGCTCACGCCGTCGGTGCCCATGATGGACTTGCGCTTCTTAGACTTGTCGGCGCTCATCAGGTTTTGCAGGAGAGTCTGCAGGCCAGACGATGACTTGAAGGAGCCAATGTCCGTCTCGGCGCGAGGATAGTCCAGGCGGTTGTAGAGTTCCCTCCGCTCTTCATTGAATCGCTCGCTCCTCGCGAGGATTCGCTTGATCTCGAGCAGCAAGGATTCTTCCTCGCGCGTCTCGTCGCGGGACCGTGACAGCGAGTTCATGGCAAAGTCCTTGCGGGCTTTTTCCTGTTGGGGGTTAAAGTGCGCCATCATCTCGTGGAGCGCAAACTCGGACTGGCTCATGTACTGGACGGGCTTCTGTGCAGCCATCATCTTCGAGGCCACTTCGTAATAGCGAGCTTTGAGATCCTCCATCGACCGCGAGCACGCAGCCGGCACAACAGCCTTACTCTCGTCGCCGTCCGCATTCGCTTCGCCGTTGGTCGCGGGCGGGCTCCACTCGTATCGGTCCCAGACGAGGGGCCACCGGATGTCGAGGTCCTGCACCAAGCCCATCAGGTAGTCCGTCTCCTCCTTGGACCATTCGGCGCTCTGCAGGTGCTGCCGATACTGGTCATCGCTGTACTGAGGCACCGAGACACGAACGCTGTACTTGGAAAACGTCGAGTCCTCCATCTCGTCCGTCGTCTCGGCGCTCTCCTGCGCCACGCCCTCGCCGTCTTCCTTGGTCTCCTGCCGCTTCCAGTGGTGCAGTATCAGGCTTTGGTCCTCGCGGCCAGTGTTCCGGAAGGGCCGCATGTCCCATCGCGCCGCTGGCTTGCGGCTGGCCAAGCGCCGCTTCTTGAACTGCGTGGGTTCAGGGACGATGGCGATGGGGTTGTCGCCGCCGAGGAGGTGCACCTCGCGTGCCAGGCCCTTGAGGTTCGGCTTCGGGGCCGCCACCTTTTGCTTCTTGGACGGTCGCGGCCCGGCGCCGCCCTCGGGCAGATTGAGCACGTCGCGGACATCGGACGTCATTGTCGGGGAAGTGCTGGTTGACGTCTCAAGAGGCGGATTTCATTGCACGTCGGAGGCGCTTGATCCCACTCGTCCCGTGCGTATCGAAGGCAGTTGTGCAATAGATGGCGAGTTGTTGCGATTACGAAAAGTGTTGTTCTTGGCTTTTCGAGGCCGCTCACGGTCAAAAGCGCCAGAGGTCGCCGCCTCCCGCGCACGTGACCGGGCCTGTACCTTTTCCTGAACGTGGCAGCTTCCACACGCCAAGCCATCTGTCACAAACGCCCACCCATCAAACCGAAGCTCGAGCGAAAGGGGGACGCCCACCGCCAAACCGACAAGAGCCCAGATCCGACGACCGGCGAGCTCTTCAGCGCTCCCGAAACCTCGTCGAAATGAGGGCCCTTTTGCCTCTCCTCTCCATCCTCTCCCTCGCCTCGGCTCTGCACTTGTATGTCGACGGCTCCGCGCCCAAATGCTTCTTTGAGGATCTGCCCAAGGACACGCTCGTCGTGGGCAATTATTCGGCCGAGGAGTATGATCACCACGTGTCTTCATGGCAACAGCATGGTGGCATCAGCATCTATATTTCCGTCGATGTACGTCGTCAACCACTTGTCCTTCCCCTGGCTGGCCGTGGATGCTGACTTGCGCCCCGTAGGAGGTCTTCGACAACGATCACCGCGTTGTCTCCCAGCGCGGCTCCTCGGCCGGCCGCTTTACCTTTACCGCCCAGGAAGCCGGCGAGCACAAGATCTGCTTCACACCTTCCTCAAACTCTGGCCGGTCTGGCTGGCTCTCCTCCAAGACCCTCCACGGCGGCATCAAAATGAAGCTCGACCTGGTCATCGGCGCCACCAGTCAGATCGAGAGCAGCGACAAGGACAAGCTTCAGGACATTGCCAGCCGCATCAGGGACCTCAATGCCAGGCTCAGCGACATCCGCAAGGAGCAAGTCTTCCAGAGGGTAAGCCGTCCCGACCTCCTCATGACACCGTGGTCATCCGAGCCTAACGTCTTCGTGTAGGAACGAGAAGCAGAGTTCAGAGACCAGTCCGAGTCCACCAACGGCCGCGTTGTTCGCTGGATCGTCATCCAGCTCGTCGTCATCGGCGTCACGTGCGCTTGGCAGCTCTCGCATCTGCGCTCCTTTTTCATCAAGCAGAAGCTCACATGATGACTTTGTTGTGGGGTTGGTGATGTTATTTCCGGTCATTGTCCGCTTGAAGACACCACGGGAGGCACGGCACGTATAGGGGGAAATGATCCATGGCGAGGAGCGTTTTGCGGGCTGATTTGGCCACTTGAATCCCGACATGGCCATCTTGATCGAGTTCAAATCTGAGATGTCACGGAAACTGTGCACACTAGGAGCTATCGAATTCTTGACAAATTCATGTTCCATTACAATGAGCACCACGCGAGACTCTACACCTACTTGTGCTAATGAGTTCATCTCGCACAACAAATCATATTCCACCCGCTCGCGCCTTCTCGCCCTACTGCCTCCCCTCCTGTATGCCAGTGAGCCGGCCACTCCGCAGCTCCGATTGCCCCAACTCGCGGCCCCCTCACTCTGCCGCGACAAAGAAAAAAAGCTCTAGACTTATTATAGAAGACGTGGTAGCAAAAGAACGAAGATACACATGAATGAGGCTCAATGCTGCCCTTCGTGACCACCCTGCGCCGTGCTGCGCCGCAACTCGAATAAGGAAGGTCGAGTATGGTTTCGTGATGGAATGCCAGACATGATGAACAAGGAAAGCCGAGCCACTAAGCCCCGGATCGACGACACGCCCGTTTTTTGGTCTTGTTTTTAGCATGATGTTGATTACTGTTAGTCGTCGGTCGGTCGTCAAATAATAGGCGATGCCCCCCACCGGGTACTGAGCGTCCAAGATGAAACCGGTTCTGAGTAGGGTGCCTGTTGCGACAAGAGCAGCCGCCGCCGCCTCAAAATCTTCCTCCGCCGCCGCCGCAGGCTGAGTGGCTGGCGGGAAATTCTGCTTCTCGTAGGAGTAACAAGTAACTGTACCGGGAGGTCTGGATAGATGAGGCTGGATTGCAGGGCGCCGACGCCAATCGCGGCCGCGGGCTCAGGCGACGAGGGTCTCGTCGGGATCGGTTTGCCGTCGACCTGGAGTTCCTGTGGCCCGCCGCCGCAACAGTATATACAGAAACAATCGCGAAACCTGATGGGAGGCACCTAACCACAGCAGATGGTCTTCATGAACTTTTGGAACCCGCTGGGCTGGGGCTCCGAGGGCCGCGCGTTATGCTGGCCGGTCGCGGCCATGGGGCTTTGCTGTGGGACCCTCTGCTGCGGCAGGTTCTGAGTGCTGTTCTGGAACTGTGCTTGGGTAGAGCCAGTCGGGGTGCCCATTTCGCGGAGGCCGCCCACCCCGCTGGCCCGCTGTGCCGAAATGGCGCCGGGGGGGCTTGGCCGGTCTCTCTGCTTGCCCATCTGCTTGATCGGGGAAGGAGGGGGCGGTTGCGCGGCGTTTAAGCGGCCGACGGTAAGGTTCTGTGCTTGCTGGTGAGAAGTGGTATTCCCCTGGCGATGGCCACTGTGAAGCTCCATCTGAGAGGGGCCCGGGCGAACGTTTGGGTTGTGCAGGTATGCTGCGCTGTGGTTCTTCGAGTCCCACCCCTTTCCCGAGTCCTTGCTGATCTTCATCCAGTCGTACTCGCCGTCCTCGACATCGCCCGCGTTCTTGAGGGCCTGGGTGAAGAGCTCGCGCAGGTAGTCGTAATCGGGGGTGTCTTCGAAGCCGAGGTTGCGGACGTAGGTCAGGTACTTGCAGAACTCTTCGGGAAAGCCCTCGCAGAGGTCCTTGATGGCCGTCGTCTGCTTCTTCTCGCCAATCTTCTCGTACTTCTGCTTGTTGGTCGCAGCCTTGAGACCCTGCCAGGGAAGGCCGCCGCGGAGAAAGTAGAGGAAGACGTGGCCGAGGGCCTCGAGGTCGTCTCGTCGGGATTGCTCGCGGCCGAGGTGGGTGTTGATGCTCATGTAACGGGCAGTGCCGGACAGAGACTTTCGCTCGCGGTAGGGAATGTGTTGCTTCGTCTTGGGGTCGCGGTACTGCTTGGCCATGCCAAAGTCGACGACATGGATGACGTTGGAGGCCTTTGTGCCGGGGCGGCCAATCAAGAAGTTGTCGGGCTTGATGTCACGATAGATGAGGTTCTTCTCGTGTATCGTCTGGACTCTCGACAGCATCTGCTTGGCGACCATGACGACCGTCTTGATGGTGAATCGCCGGCCGCAGTGGTCGAAGAGATCCTCGAGCGAGGGGCCCAAGAGATCGATGACGAGGATGTTGTGGAGGCCCTCCTGGCCAAAGTAATAGACATTGGGAATGCCGGCTGCCACTGCAATTAGCCATGAGGCCCTGGCAAGCAGGCGAGGCAAGCCGATAATCGGGAGGGGATGGTGGATTGGGGAAGTGGGTGCTTACGACAGCCGACGAGAATCTTGTATGTCCGGTATTCATCTCGCAGCTGGGGAGCGTCGCTCTTTCGAGGTTCCTGGAGAGCGCAGTCAGCGTGGGTCGGCGTGCAGCTGATGGCGACACAAGGCGCAGGCGGCCAGGGGTCAAAGCACTCACAAACTTGATGGCAACTTGCTGGTTGTTCAACAGGTTGGTTCCCTCAAAGATGACGCCAAATGAGCCCTCGCCAATCTTTTTGCCGACCCGGTAGTGCACGCCGACGACGTTAGATGATGAGGAAGCCATGGCGCTGCTGTCCTCGAGGGGCGTCGGAGCCGCAGGCTAGACAATGCAGAGGCGGAGCGAGAGGAGCCAAGGAAGCGGCGCGAGTCGACGGGCCGTGTGTCCAGTCGTCGGTCGGTCGGTCGGAGGGGTCAGGAATTGATGCAGCGAGCGGGCAAAGGCTCGGCAGGAGCAGCGAGGCTCCAACGTGAAGGGAAAAGGGGCAGGCGAGTAATGCCCGGTAAGCAAACCGACGAGACGGGGGTCAAGGGCAGTCAGCGACGACGCGAGAGAGTAAGCATTTCTGATGGCGCGGGCCGCAGCAGGATGGGGATGGCGGAGAATTGGATGGATGGATGACGGGCAGTAGTGGGTGGGAGTATAAGTTTAAAGCCGAGTCTGCCTGTCCTCGCAGGAGGAGGAGGATGGGACGACTCGAGTGGACAGCGAGCACGAAACGGATGAGTGTGTGGGAGAGAGACGGGGGTGGTGAGAGGAGAGGAGGGAGAGACAATTTTCTTAGCACCAGCCGTACGGAGTAAGTATTGAGCCAAAGTCTGCGGCTGCTTCTAGGCGTCCGGCAGAGGGGAGTGGCTAGGGGAGTGGCTAGGCGGTAGGTACTTGGGACTTGGGGACTTCCATGGTGCTTGGTGCTAGAGTCAGACTGGCAAGGCGAGTGGGTGTGGGTGGGGGACAGGGGGCTGGAAGGGCGGCAGGGGCGCTGGGCTTTTGGGGCCTGAGGGCGGCGAGAGGGCAGAGGCGCAGAGGCGAGTGGAGCGGGGGATGGATGGATGCCAAAACAATCATCCGCCCACAGTCCGGGGCGGGCCATTGGCGCTGCAAAGTCGCAGCCGGCAAGCAGCGGCAGCATCTCATCTTTCTTGCCGTGTTCTTGCCTTGATCTTGTTTTGTGCCTTGCCTTGGTAGGTGGCACATGATTAGGTAGCTCTGTCTCCTGATTTAGGCACAGTGAGAGACGCGGTCACGTACTCCGTACTCCGAGCTGTCTAGGTACTACTAGTAATTAGTAGGTACTCCGTACAGGCCATTGGAACCCAAGCCAGAGCGCTCAGAGCAGGCTAGCAGAGACGCCAGCAGCCAGCCAACCAGCGTCCTCGCTCCCGGCCACCGGATAAAGTCTTGTACCTGGCGCCAGGCCGTCCCTGGTCGCAGCGCTCTCAACATGACCAGTATGTGTTCGTACAGTACATGGTCCACTGAAGACGGCAGGATCCCGTCCACTGCAAGGCAAGATAAAAAGTACCTAGCCATCGACACTACGCGCATGCGCATGGGGAAAATGCAGCCAGATCTGTCACGGTGTTGCCAGCCCGACGGAAAAGGGCAAAAAACCAAGGCGTGCACAAACGCCTCGGCTTCACTTCTTAGCTTCCATCAGCTGCTGCTAGGCGACAAGGCCAGCTTCTAGCTACCTAAGTAGGCTATGCTATTTGGAGGTATTGGATGAGACGGGGGCTGACTGACACTTGACAAATCTGGCGTTTCCCTGTTTTACGGCCACTAATAATTACCTATGGATGCTATGGCAAGCAGACAAGGCGACTCCCGATTTTTTGGGCATTTCTCTGTAGAAAAAGGTGCATTGTTTGCTTGCTTCTGTTGCATGGGTGGACTGGACTCGCGTCCCTGCATTCACCGAGGTTTTGGTTGCCTCTCCATTTTTCCTTTCATTTCTGGCGAAATATTCGAGGGTGAATGGCGTGCAGCCGAGTGGCGACCAGGATTCACTGCCTCCGGCTGATGGAACCGTGAGCATTCTGGACCGCCCGAGATGGCGCACGGCCGTCGTAGCGTTGAAGACTGGGACGAGAGGGCTGAGCAGCCGCGTCTGGGGAGAAAGACACTGGCAGACAAGGATGGATGGGTGTCTCGCTGCAGCTGACATGGCCACTGGTAAATCCATCTCAAGGTTGATAAGTCGGGCAATAGAGGCCGTTGGTCGTGCTTCTCAGACACCAAAAGGGGTCCCAGCCAAGCCAAGATGGGCTGGCAGGTGTCTCGTCGTCGCCAGACGGTGCATCATCTGTCCCATCGCCTGATCAACCGCCTGCAGGGGCACAAGACGACCACCAACTGAAGGACACCCTCACAAAGTGGGAGAAAAAGGCTTCTTCACTGCCTGGAGAAGGCGTGAATCTTCACGTGCTTAATTTTTTTTCTTTCTTTTAGATTGTTCTTTCTGCCTGGTTGGGGGGGGGCCGTGAATTGGGACCCAAAAGGAAAAAGGAGCGGTCCGCCGGCCAAAGCAAAGCAGTATGTACATCTGGCAATTAGGGGATTGTTGAGGCGCGTGCTGCCGGCAAGCTCTGGCAGCACAAGGTACGATTGGCTGGCTTTGGTTCCACGGATGAGGCCAGAGCTTCATGCGGCATAATTGCCAATTGGCATGCGCGTGCTTCCGTCGACAAAACGGCTGGCCTCCCAGCATCTTCCCTGCCAATGCCCGCGCCCCCCGGTTGCAGGTACGCACTGATTTGTCGCGTTGGCCCCGTCTACAGTGCCTACAGTGGACGGACGCATCGCCCTGGCAGAGAAGTCCTGGCAGAGAAGCCCTGGCAGAGGCGCCCTACCCTATATGGCCACCCTTGGCCCCCTTTTCGCTTGATGCGGTCCATTCTCCCTTTGTCTGACGAGACAATGCATGACATTCATTACTCCACGCATCATGAAATATAACGTTTTACCGAGCAGGCCCATTACGTAGCGCCAAAAACTCCTCCCCCCAACAACAACCAATGGCTCCCCCTGGCAGCCCACGCTCTGGCTGCCGTCGACGAAACAGTGGCTGCGGCACGTCTTTTTCCAACGCCAATCAGACGCCTCCCTGCTGGGGTTGACGGCAGCCGCTCAGCCAAGCCTGCCGATCGATCACACTGCCCTGGCTGGGGGGAGCCGGCGACGTTTCCGTCACGACTTCGGGCATCAAATGCCAACCAACCAGCTTATTACCTTGGCAGGAGAAATATGTTTCATCCCCGGCGCGAGTGAGCGGGAGCCTGTCGACCTCGACAGCGTACCCGAGTGCTGGAAGCCCCCGACCGATAAATGACTTGCTTCCATGGCCTGACTGACGGCTGTCGCTCGTCCATGTGCGTCTCACAGCGAATGACCAATGTTGAACACACATGACAATGCTCGACCGCGCCGATGCTACCAAGCAACGATATGTAGCTGTTGAAGAGCTGCCCTCGTGAGCCGCCTGTCTCGGCGAGAGGGTCGGAGAGACGGGCGTATTTACGAGCACGCAGCCTGAATCTCGAGCCCGCAGACTCGGTCCAGTTTGAACGTGCTGACACCTTGGCTGGTTACACTGCTCCCCCCCAGCCCAAAGGCGGGGGTAAGACGGCGGCGGCGGCGGCGGCGGCGGCGGCGGCGGACCGGCTGCATGTGAATGAGCTCGGCAATTGCGGACTCGCACGAGCCGGAGCGAATCGCCGGCGACTTCTCCACCACGTACTTCAACTGCTTTATAATTATACCTACCTATCTTTATATGCATATACGTCGAGGTCGCCTGCTCACACCTGCGTGGTTTACTCTTGCTTCGACTCCCGTCCTCGTCACGTCTGCTGCCTCGATCGGCGGCGCCCTTTCTTCTCGTCCTCGTACCCTCCTGAATATCCCCATCCCTCCGTGCCCAGGACAGAGAGGCCCATGGAGCACGACATGGCGCTGGCTCCCAGGCTGCAGAAGTGGTTCCCGTGGACCCGGGCGCCCGTCATCTGCAACGGGCCCATGCTCGGGGCCGCGACCCCGGCGCTGGCCACCGAAGTCACCAAGGCCGGCGGTATCGGTACAGTCGCCTCTCCCATCCCTCCCAAGTTGCTGTCGGGTGAAGTAATCAATGCCGAGGTCTGCGCGGCTTCACGTCGCCCTTGTATCTGACCTTGTTCTTCGTCGGCGGCACAGGCTTCCTCGCTTCCGCCTTCAACCTCGACCCGGGCTCGCCTCAGCTCAGTAAGCTCGATGCCGACCTGACCGAGAGTCGACGCCTCCTCGACCAAGCATCGCCGTCACCACCATCATCGTCGCCGCTACGCATCGGCATCAGCTTCATCACGGGCCATGCCTCCATCGCCCGCTTCGCCGAAACAGCGCTCCCCATCATCGCCAAGCACCGCCCCGCGATAGTCTGGCTCTTCGCCCCGGCCGAGGCCGAAGCGCCAGCGCCGTCCCCGCGCCCCCACCGAGCCATCATCGAGGCCCTGCGGAAGAGCGCGGAGGAGAGCGGCGGCACCGTGCCGCGCGTCTTTGTCCAGGTGGGGAACGTGGCCGCGGCGCGGGCGGCCGTCGACGACGGCGCCGACGTGCTCGTGTGCCAGGGCGTCGACGCCGGCGGGCACCAGTTCCGGCGCGGCGCCGGCGTCGTCAGCCTGGTGCCCGAGGTGCGCGCCATGCTCGACGGCGAGTTTGCCGGGCGCGACGTCGGGGTGCTGGCGGCGGGCGGCATTGCCACGGATAAGGCGGTGGCAGCCATGATGGCCCTGGGTGCGTCCTTTCAGTCCCTGCTTCTTTCTGACAACGGTCATGGTGTGCATTCATGCTAAACTCGCAAAACGCAGAGGCTGAAGGCATTGTCATGGGCACAAAGGTGGGTTGAGAGTAGCAAGACTTGTTCTACTTGCTGTATCAGGGTTGCGCACCTGTCACTTACATCGTCCAGTTCACAGTCGCCAGAGAGTCAGAATACCCCGACCACCGCAAGCAGCTCATCCTCGAGACAGTCGATGGCGGCTCGTCAACGCTCAAGTATGTGCTCCTGTCCGTTGGCGCATTCTAGACCGACTGACACGTCCCGGAACGTCCAGGTCTCCTTTCCACGACCAGATGAACAAATCAACCCTCTGGGGGCCCCTCTACGACGGCCGCGCAATCGTAGGCCCCATCCACGGCAAGTTCCTGTCCGGGTCGTCGCTGGAGGACTGCCAACGGAGCCTCGACAAGGACTACTCGCCTGAGGAGGCGACGCGGATGCTCGGCACGTGGGCGTGAGTTTGACCCCTTTTCTTTTCTTTTCTTTCCCCGACACCGACGAACAGACGCCGGGCGAGGGGCGCGAGTGGATGGCTTCTGTGTGCGTGCCGAGAGCTGACTTGTCCATGTCGTGTCTGCGCGCAGCGGGACCGGCGTGGGCCTCGTGCAAAAGGCCCAGCCGGCGGGGGAGATTGTGCGCGAGTTGCGCGAAGGCGCCAAGGAGCACCTCCGCAAGCTGGCCGGGCTGGTGTAACAAGTCGTTAAGAAGACGAGGGACGAGGACGACGAGGCCTTTTCGTGACTCCCATCCAAGAGTATTCATTCAGGTTGTATCAAACAAGCTTCAGGGGACAGAACCCTTGGGTGCCAACAATAAAAAAAAGTTACATGCATGTCCCGTCGGTATAAAGTACAATATTCGGCGCCATCCATCCAGCCATGCCATGGCTATCCCTGCCTCACAGCTTGGACTTTGTCTGGGCCTTCTTCATGATGGGGTCGAGCTTGGTGGCCTTCATGATGTCGCCCTTGATCTTGAGCTTGCCCGACATGAAGAGGCGCTGGGCGTTGGCATCACCGACGACGAGCTTGCCGAAGTCTTCGTCGGAGAGGGAGAGGGTGACTTTTGGCGCACTGGTCAGCCCTTCCAAGCTACAAGGCAGAGAGAGGGGGAGGGAGGAAGGTGCGGGAGGAATGGGCTCACCCGTAGGCTTGCCGCCGCTGCCGGTGCCGACCTTGCCCGTATCCTTGAGGTCGATATGCCAGCTCTCGGTCTCGCCGGCCTTGTTCTTGAGGGTGAACGCGAAGACGGCGTTGCCCTGCTGGATGGCGTCCTTGCGGTCGGCGTCGCTGGCCGAGAGGGCCTGGCTGATGGCGTCGAAGGCGGCCGAGGAGGGGAACTTGTCTATTTTCATGTTGGACCTTGTCAGCCGCGTGTTCCTCGTCTGTCCATGATGCGACGGTACTCGTCATGGTGCGCCGAGCGCCCGCGGAGCAACGGAGAGGCGACGGACCGTTCTTGAGAGACATGGCTGCGGGAATTGAGAGCGGGAGTCGACAGACGGCGGAGAGGGAAAGGAAGACTCGACTGGGAACACGGTAAGGGAGAAATCTGGGGAAGCCGAGGGCGGGGAGTCGCGCGGCAATGGTTCTTAAGAAAGATGAATCTGACGGGAACGGACGTCGGCTAGGCCGAGCATGTGATGCGGAGCCTCGGCCTTGGCTTGGGTACTTGCCCCAGGACCGACCCGGTGCCCCAGGGCCAGGTACCCCCAACTCCGCCCCCCGTAGCTTTGGTCTTTTGAAGCACTGGAGCGGACCTACAGCGCCTGTGCCCAAAGCATCATGTGCCCTCGTGCATCTCATTACAGTAAGGTACCTGAGGTAGGTTCTCTACAGCATGTCTCGGCCCTGTAAAGTTGCCTCCTCCCTTCCCCACACGCGGCCTCCTCCGGACCCACGGGGCTCCTCCATATTCCCTCCGCTGCTCCGAGTTTGAGGATTTGATAAACTAGACGTGCAAATATCCATGTCAAGAATGCCTTGCAATCATGAGGTGGAGCTGGCCCAATCCACTCAGCAGCCGGTCTCTTTGGGTCTCTTTGCCTATCCACTCCCAAACAGCCCTTGCATGATGCCCAGCAGAGCGCTGTGCCGGGCCAGTCGCATCGCACCCTCCCCCGAACGGAGCTTTTTGTTGCGCCGAGGCCACGCCCAAACATCTCCGTCCCTCCCTTCTGCCGCCGGCCCACCGGACCCGTTCCTCAGCGCCGCACCGGATACCGACGGGTTTCGCGACATGCGCCTCCCGTTCAACATGTTCTTGCTTTGACCTTGCGTCTCTGGAGTAAAGTGTCGTATGTATACACGTCCTCATCATCTAAATAGGCGTCTACTTATCGATCCATCTGATCTTTCGTACTCGTACAACGTGGGCATCTTGCCCGGCAAAGCGTGAGTGGCCTGTTTCCTTTTCTATCCCTCGGCGGCCTGGCCTCTCCATCAAACGACCCATCATCCGCCATGACCGTCTCTCGACAGCTCCCCCTGTGGTGGTGTCGGGTGTCGTTGCGCGCCGCATCTCGCTACAGCTCCCACTCTGGGACCGCAAAGTCTCGATGCTCGGGCCAGTTTTCGGGTCTGCCACGTCAAGCCACGTTAGCCCTCATAAAGCCGCCATCAAATGGGACTGGGATTCGACATACCTCGTCAGCAGCAGCGTCGCCATCCGCCGCCGTCTCTCCGCAATGTCCTCGGCTGCCGTCAGCCGGAGCCAGTCGCCCAGCAGGCTCCGCAGCTCCGCCTCGCTCTTGCCCAGCGTGTCGATGCCGCGCTCCCTGCAGGCAATGGCAAGCTCGGCAGGCTCCAGCTCCAGGGGCCCGCCGTCCTCGATGAGGTTGCGGTCGTCGCCCTCGAGAAAGGCCATGCGCAGCCTGCCCTTGACCTGCCACATTCCCGGCGGCATGAAGCCCAGCCGGTCCCAGATGGAGCCCGCGAGGTCCAGGCTCTTGAGCACGTGCGTCCGCGCCACGTCGGCCGTCACGCGAGGGCTCAGCACGCCGTGCGGCGACCGCGCCTCGAGCTCGTCAAAGGCCACCCGGCGCCGCTGCTCAGCCTTCTGCGCCGCCGTTAGAATCTGCTTGGGGATGCGGCAGGTGTAGGGCACGACGCCATCGACGTAGATGACGACGAGGGCCGTGAACTCGCCAATGACGATGAGCATCAGGCCAAACAGCGGCAGGCGCAGCATGTCGTGGCGCACGCGCCAGAGGAGGACCCAGTCGGCGCGGGAAAAGGTCTTGGGCACGTAGTAAGGGCGAAATATGGAGGGCCGGTCGTCGGGGGGCGTCCGCTCGAGCTTCTGCCGCAGCAGCTTGCGGTTGGCCCAGACGCCCTTGAGCCCGTCCTTGTAGAACCTCAGGTAGCCCTTGCCCATTTGGAAGAGGTACTGGAACGTCGAATCGACCGAGCTGCGCGGCGGGATCGTCAGGGGCGGTGGGCGCGTCGAGGCCGGAGGGTTGAGCAGCGGGCTCTTGGGCGACGGAGCATCGTCATGGGCTCGGCGGAGCGATACGAGGGAGCCATGGAGGCGCAGGGCCGAGCATGGACGGCTCGCATGCCAGCCACTCCCGCGGTGCGCGCATTGTCTCCACGGGATTCGGGGGTTCATCATGTTTGTGCAAGAAACGGAGTGACGGGGAGTTTTGGCCACGCAAAATGACGAATGTTGAGGTACCCTGCACGTATGCATGTAGTATGTACACGTGATTACCACTCGCTTCCGCCGACTCCAACATCACAACTTCTAATGCAACCTCCCAAAGGCCAACTATTCCGTATGCGTATCAGCAGACTCGAGATGCCTAGATGAAGAGACGGTGATGAAGGCGCCGGCGAGAAGACTTCTGCGAAAAGAAGCCTGTGATGACGAAGTCGTGCGATGAAGAATCCGGTTGGTGGACAAGTCGGCGGTGAAGAAGAATGAGAAGGAGGAGGAGGAGGAGGAGGAGAAGAAGAAGAAGAAGAAGAGTGGACGAGGGCAAGAGGGGAGAATTGTTCCGGCTGGTGTTCAGACGACGCGTGACCGCTCTGGGAAGTCCCCTTGGGTCTGTACTGGACCTGCCTTCAAAGCCAGGGCGATGCTAAAAGCGGGCACAGATTACCTTACGATACTAGAGAAGTGGCAGCTCACCGGCGCCCTGACGCCTTTCCAACCGAGTGTCGACGCCAAGCCTTCGCTACGGCCCGTGTTCCTGCATCGTCACGGTGGCTTTTTCTTATTTTCAAGGTTAATCTTAGCACTCATCCTTTACCAAACTCAAATATCCGACCATGACCGGCTTCGTAGGCGCTGGATAACCTTGTTAGCCTCCGTAGGAGAAGCCCAATGTACGTGTCATGTCCACCTCCCCTCAACTCCCTCCTCTTGTCCATCTTCTCGTCCTCATTCCAAGTCATGTCATCCGCCATGATGAAGCGGCTCCAAAGGGCAGTCCGCCGTCTTGTATCCAAGATAACCAAGACGAAGCATCACCAAGAACCTAAGAAGCAGCGGGAGCAGCAGGGGGAGCATGAGGAGCACGAGCATGAACAGCAGCAGCAGGAGGAGGAGCACGAAGAGCACGAGGAGCACGAAGACCAAGAGGAGCACAGGGAGCACGAGGTGGAGCAGCAGCAGCAGCAGCAGCAGCAGAAGACTGTCTGCGCCCTTCTCGAGGTGCCCGTCGAAATCGCCCTCCTCATCGCCAAGAATCTTCCGCTGCACGGCCAGCTACTGCTCTCCCAGACGTGTCGTGCCCTGCGAATCGCCCTCCATCACCCTCTAGGTCTCGACAAAGCCAAATGGGGAAGCAGTCAGAGCGTCGAGTTCCTCTCATGCCTCGCCCGTCAGCGGCCCGACCACTGGGCTTGCTGGCGGTGCCATTGCCTCCATCGCACCGACCACGCCGACTCTCCGGCCTCTCAATTTCGGCAGAGAAGAGGATGCAAGTCTCGGTCCGGTGAGATCTTCGGCCCTAGAATCGGTTCTCTGTTTAGGCTCTATCACTTCCACGTTCAGCTCGCGCTCAAATACACACGCCTGGCCCGCGCCGGACTCGAGGACGAGGGCGGCAGACGCCAAAGACACCTTGAAAAGATATTGCAGCCCTACCATGGCGGGCTGCCTACCCGCTTACCCCCGTCACTCCTCATCTGGTACTCTATCTTCCCGAGGATCGTTGACGGTAGGTTCTTGGTCCTGAGCGTATGGAGCTTCGAAGACGAGGACACCGAAGTCAAACGCCAGCGTGACGTCTTGCGATTCGTCCTCCCTCTGTGTCCGCACAAGAACTACCACGACCTGGCATGGGCGATCCGGAGGCGCAAAAAGCAGCTACTGCTGGATCAACAGTTTGCTTTCTGCAGAACCGGGAATGAGCTGGCACCCACGAGCCCGGTCCGCGTCGAGGTGCACGACGCCTGTCCAAACTGTCGAACCGACTTCTCCGTACGAGGCTCCCAGATGTGTTCCGTCTTGCGCTGCTGGCAAGACTTAGGGCCCGAAGCATCGCCCAGGAATCGAGTCTGGAGAGCTCGAGCCGATATGCTCGAGGACAATAGACTGCCTAATGTTTATCACGAACCCGGAAGCGTCCGCGCACTCTATGAATCTGTCGATGGTGTACTTGAGCCAGAGGAGCATGAGAAGACGACCCAGTCTACGTCATCTGTCGAAGGAAAGGTCGGCGCCTGATTCAGCCGAGCTGAGGGAAAGTAGAGGAGCAAGCGCTTTGCTATGGTTGTCAAAAGCAACCTTCCATTCAATATTTTTGGCCACCTACTTACTGACTGTTTTGGTACTCTCTATTAATAACAACTGCAATTGGCTTTCGGCAGAGCGACCTCCGACCATGAGGCCAGCCAATCGTGGGTTAACGCCAACTGCACGGCGTCTCAATACCCGTCCATGTCAGGTGAGTATCTTCTATAAGACCAAGCCCCTAAAGGACGAAGATGAGCAGTATCCTCTTTATCCCAATATGGGCCTAGTCCAGAACATCCACCCTTGTTGTGAGGTGAAGGTCTATGTAGTCGAACAACGGCGATTCCCTTTCGTTTGCCTTGCACAGATATTGAAATAAACTCTCATCATACATCGACATTGTATCTCAGGTGAATTTTGCTTCAGAATAGCGAGCGTTCAAAACACGTTCTTGTGTATATTTACTCAGCCTGATGACATCGGTAAATTCGAGACCGGATGCCCCAGATCGAATACCGCCCAAACTGCGGCCGGATGTCTTTCGAATACAATTAATGATAGTCGGTCAATGAGCCCTCTGTAAACTTGGACGGCCATTTCAATGAATCGCACTCAGGGGTGCCGTCAGGGGTGATCAGGTTGACGATTGGGAAGTCATAACCTGCATCACTTATGAGACGGGATATTAAGAGGTCTTTATAGGTATAGAAACGTCTTAGGCTCTAGAGACCTAGCACAATAGGGGCAAGTAAGGTCCCATATGCTAGTTGTACTCTTTACGTGTCCTACAGCAAAGGATAGAATTCTAAGGGAAAAGGGTGCCTGCATTAATGCCCTGACTCTGCTAACCTCCCGGGCCATAGTATTAGTAGCTCTTACTGAAATTTACAGCTCAGAGATGCTGCCTTGGCATGGGTCATATAAGAGCTCCTTAGTGTATATCATCTTAAGAGAAAAGTAGACTTGTCAAAATGAATCCAAATCGAACCAAGTAAATCTGCAAGGGTCTTGGCCTGGTGGCAAAAGAAGTGGTCGCGCTAGTGGACCGCTCAGTCACTGCAGAGGCAAAGTGTGGCACGTAGCAAAGAGAACGAAGTTGTCTAAGCGACAACGTTGTCAATCGACAACAGCCCCGTTAGAAAATTAAATTAAATTGAAGGTCCAAGTTCTAGTTAAACGAATAAGCCTTGCGAGTCTTAAGACTATAGCGTTATTTGCCAGTTCTCGTCTGCTCGAAACTTCAATCTGAGGTTGACCTCTGTTTAGTCCGCACTATAACGGATCCTCGGCGGGCCCACAACATGTAGTCATATAGGAAGCTGTTCTGGATTGGTCATACTAGGCTATTGTAATGTTGTCGTGGTTTAAATAAGAGAAATCTAATCTATGCACGGTGGTAGGAAGCTGAATCCTGCCTCTAAACTATGTATAACAGAAGTGGTTGAACCTCTAGCGATCAATATAAATGCTGGGAATAGACGCGATCAGTTATCAAGATCCTAAAACCGGTATCATCCTTGATGACAGCCGTCTGGAATCAATGGAGGCACACCACTATCATGAGAGTAGGTTCTCTGCTGTAATCATACGCGATTTATGCGATTTATACTTACGCGTTTAACAGATAACCTGCTGAGGCTTCATAACAGGTCAGTCACTAACTGACCGAAGCGACGAGTCCGGGTTTCAACCCATGCCAGCGCATGGGAGTGTCACTATTACCATCGACTTACATGATACCCGTGCAGCCTACGTGCTTTCTTCTGAATCACTCAAACTTTTCGTCGAAGGTACCTTCAATATTGCCAATAAGAGGAACAACAGTTTGGCTGGCTATATACGGTACAAATCGAATGCCATAGATATATTTCCCGATACCTTGACATCGCCATATAAAGTCTTTGAGGAGAGAAACATATGCTCTCTGGAATGGATGAGTGTACTAAAGGAAGCCATGCTCGGCTGTGAATGTTTAGCTGAAGCGGCGCGGCAAGCTGCTCTGAACGGTTCGACTCAGCGAATAAATGACTACTCTTAGAACTCAAGCCAGAAACCTGAAATTCTGTCGCGGATGTCTTCGCCAAAGTTGCTGCCGAGTGTAGCCTACACAACATACGACTCTACGTTATGTGTGATCATTTTCAGTGCAACTCTGGCCGAGGCAGCTTCAGCTCCTACTTTCTATGGTCAGACCCAGCTCACGTCAGATTCTGCAAGCGAGACTATTTCTTGCCTACATTCCCGACACCCGACGACCAGGGCTTCGTTGTCCATATGATGATCCACGGGATGACCCATATAGAATGTGTCAAGGGAACTCGCGACCATTTGGGATACGGCCTAGATGGGTTCATAAACCTAGATAAGGATGAAGCTCTGAACAATGCTGACGGCCATGCTTGGTTTGCCGATGCAATCTACTTAAACGAGGAAGGGCTGAACATAACGGCCCCTACTTGAAAATATGTCGCCCAATATACACTAGGCGCCTGTCCCTAATATCTGGCCCGATTCAGCGCCATGATACAGCAGAGTTCCCTTTGGCATATCACAACTTGAAAGATGCTCATGCCGTTGTGATTGATAATTTGATTGATGAGCCCCATTAACGTTATTTCCCCGCAGAATGGACCACGTTGCATGGTGGGCGCTTGTCCTGGTGCTCTCGGGGGTGGGACGGAGGTGTTCCGCAAGGGGGGGCTGCTGATATGTGAATGAATCGTTTTATTTCCGCCCTATGGGGCTTAAAGCAGCATGGAAACCGTGGCTAGAACCTAGCTCAAACAGGTAACAGCGCCCGTGAGATGAAGCGTTCTGGACTGGATAGTGCGTTTCGGTTTCCTTGCGAAACCATAGCGCCGCGGAGGCCCCGGCATCGCTATTCCGCCTTCTTGCAGGGCTGATGATATGCGCTTTCCCACCAAGCTGGACTGTCAAGAGGGCATAGAGTACGTTGTCACGAGGCCTGCCACAGGGATCAACATCGACTGCTACCCGGTTATGCAGTCGTATCATGTGGTCTGGTCAGTCAGTACATCAGTACCCAACATACGTATGGACTGCTGGTGTCGTCAAGGCCTGTAAAGTAGATGAAGTCCCTTTCAAATCCACCTCTGTAAGTGCTAGATAGACGTTGACACGGGTCTGCCTGTAATCGAAATACACCCACAGCTGACGGCCGTGGGATGACCCTCTCGAGGATACCGTCCTTCTTAAAGTGATGATGCCGGGTAAAGTTATCAAGACGATTAATGCATTACTGACTCGCGACGCCTTGTAACCATTCGCGTATGTAATGTCATGCGAAGTAAGTTCCGCTGCCGAGTCAGAGGCCCTCGTGGTCTTGTAACCGGTTCGACAAAAGAACGCGCCTGACAACAGTTAACCTGAGACCTGAAAGGTTATGGCATTGTTACCATCAACGGCATCTCCGTCCCCAACGAGTCTTGTATGCGTATATGAAATACCAAGTCCCTATGCCAGAACCTTTTTCTTTCTTCCGTCTTCCAACACCTTCCAATCGGCGCGTTATCGCACATTCACCATTATATTTCAGGGTTTTCACGACCTCTCAAACACGTCGCGATGGATGAACCCGGCCGGAGGAAACCTCCAGATGACGGCCCAGACCATCCCCCGGGGACTGTCGAGTTGCTATCCCGTGGGTCCGCGCTTCAGTCACACTTTCAGAGCGTAAAATGCCAATGCAGCTTCTTTAGGTCGCAAGTATATTCAAGATGGACAACTGGTTTTGATCCCAGAGCCTTCTGATGATCCGGATGATCCCTTGGTCGGTTATTCACAAGCTCCCCAAACATCGTCTCTCGGCTTATACTGTCTTTCAGCTATGGCCCAAGTGGCGCAAGGCCTGGAACTTTGCTTTGCTCGTTGCCATGACGCTGCTTATATTCACCGGGTGAGTATACGAACTTACAGCCCAAACTCACTAATATTAATACGTATTTAGGCTGTCCACCCAATCGATTTTCATCTCTCAGCTACGGAAAGATCTACAGGCGACAAACGAAGATCTCATCAATTCGAGGGCAGTCGAGCATACTGGGGAGGCCCTAGGGTGCATCCTGTTCATCCCTTTTGCTACAAAGTATGGTAGACGCTCGGTATATATCGTCTCGATTGCCGTCTATGTGGTGGCGGCTTGGTGGTTTGCCAACATGACCACGACGCAGGAGCTCTACATAACCAACGCCCTCAAGGGCTTTGCCGCCGCAATCAACGAGACAGCCGTTCAGATGAGCGTACGTTTACTATTCCACGAATGCCACGGCATAACATGGCGAGCAAGCCAACTAATATGGCCAACCAGATTCGCGACATGTTCTTCCTCCACCGGAGGGGTTCTGCCAATGCCCTTTATCACTTCGCCCTCTCGACGGCGTTTTCCCTCATTCCCATGGCTGCTGGCGCGCAAGCGACGAACTTCGGATGGCGGGCATCCGCAACGACGCAAGCCGCGACCATGACGGTCCTTTTCGTCTTCTTCATCTTCTCATTCGAGGAAACAAAATTCGTTCGCGAGACTGGGAAAAAAATCTCGGATGATTCCGAGAAGGATAACAATAGCACCGTTGGCCTCGTACTCGATTCGGACCGTGCCTTGCCTCGAAAACCATTCCCACACTACCTCAGACTCCAATTTCTTACCACTACCGACGAATCGCTCTGGAAGATATTTTACTACCCTATACACTCTTGGTGGCTGCCTCACATTGTCTTTACTTCTCTCGTTTTTGGGACCGGCTTGATGTGGTTAGTTATACTTTCCGCTAGCTTGACCATGACGGTCCGGACAATGCTGATGAGAAGACAGGATTACCATCCAAGGATCGTTGAAAAGCATCGTGTTTTCCGCCCCTCCATACAACTTCAACCCGCAGCAGCTTGGGTACCTGTTTGTGGCGTCATTTGTTGGCTCTTTATTTGGCAACCTATACGGCGGATACTTCGTTGATTGGATCGTCGTGTGGTTAACAAAAAGGAACGGAGGCTTATACGAGCCAGAAATGCGCTTATACCCGCTTCCTTTACCGGCCCTTGGGATGTCGGCCGGTTTGGTCGTTTTCGGCGTTACAGCTGATCGCGTATGTTCCCTCTCTCTCAGAGATAAAAAGAGCTTGAAAATGCTAATGCAGTGGAATCTCTAGGGCCTGCATTGGATTTTCCCCAGTATCGGAAGTGCCTTGATGTCATTCGGCTTTGGCGGCATGGCAAGCATATCCTTTACCCTCGTGGTAGATGCCTATCCCAACGTATGTACCCCTTTAACTCCTTAGGTGCGCCAACTAACAGGTGGAAGATTATTGCCCAAGGATTTGTGGTCGTCGCCTTTTTCCGAAACGTGCTCGGCGTGATCGGCCCTGCTGCCACCAACCCCTGGGTCAAGGGAATGGGCCTCAGCGGCTTGTTCATTACCGCCGCGTTTATAAATTTGGCAATTAATCTTTTGGGCGTGCCTCTTTTGATATGGGGAAAGAGGCTGAGGACCAAGACTGCGAGTCGGTATTATCGCTTGTCAAAGCAGAGCTAGTACGCGATGCCACTGACCAAGTAACCATATCGCCGAGGATGATGATATGGTAGAGGCAGCAGGGCTTGATTAGAGCTGTCTATTGCTTCTGCAGCCTCAATGACGGGTTAGTAGACTGTTGATTCCATATAGATTAGAGAGTGCCCAAGCTAGAGCTATTAGACGTCGAATAAATGGCAAGAGTAGAGCTATTTGCACGTTACCGGCTATTTTGATACTACTTGCCCTTAGCCCGCTCCGAGCTAGGTCTGGAAGAATGGTAAGAAGAAAATCAGCAGGCTAAACGACTTATTATGAGGGACACGGGCGAAAGAATTTACTTATACAAGCGGAGATCTTTGCTACCTGCCCGAAGGGGCAGCTAATGAACTCTACTGGTTCGGACTTTATTCCCGGCGCCTTGACTGCTTCCGGTAAAGCAGCACGCTATAATGGCAATCCGTCTCGAGTGGGACGAGAAGGATAGAATCTCCGAGGCAGGAGGTCGTACGTCTCGGCTTGCTGGCAACGATCCGATGTAGCGATCGTTTTTTGGGCACTAGATATGGGTTCCCGAAGCCAAACAACGAGGTGCGTACGGTCGCGACTCGAGAACATGAAGAGCTTGTTGCCGCGGTTCGGGACTAGAAAGATCTGGAACCGGTGTCAACTGACGGTTGCCGAATAAGTTTCCGTTAGGCACCACCTTCTCTCCGCCGCTCAGATCCAGCTGGTCCGTCGTGCGGCCCCTAATTGTCGGCGTAGCATTAAGAATTAACTTGGTCGGCGCCTTCGGTTGAGCCGTGGCTGCTGTCGTCTGGCTAACAAACAGACGTGCTCTGAGATGGGGGAGTTGCGGCGCCTGGGCCTGGACAGTGGTGCCGGAGAACGATAGCCAACAATAAGGATGAGCCATCGATTGGCGTTTCGGCAACTTGCTGCAGGAGCAGAATGTGGTTGGGCCAGGATCAGAGCGGCCCAGACGAACCAGCTGCAGCACACGCATCCATCTCCGAAGCGCATTATTCCCAGTCGTCCCCTCGCAGTGGGGAGAATCGAATCCAAGCGAATGTATATGCAGTATTCATCTACATACGGTCGCACATTAGCTGTGGTGTGCAGGTTGCGCAAATCTCGATTTAGCTGGACTTGGAATTTCCTATAAGTGCAACCTTAACAGGCCGAAGACTAACTCTAAGAACTGACTACCAAAGTATTACAAATGGCTCTATAAAAGAAGCCATACCGACTGTCAAGCAGGACACATCTGTCATCATGCCCCATAAGTCTCAAGTTGACAGGTGGTCAGAGGATCCTACCGTCGCCACTTATACCTTATGCCACATAAAGCGAGCATCCTAAATCACCTAAGTTTTGGTTATCTGCTCCATGTAGTTTAAAGCCATATTATCACGTCTTTAGGTAGAAGAACAAAAGACGCCGAGTGGACGAGAGTGGACTTGAGGGCTGACGTTGGCGCCCTTCAAATCGCAGGGTGCTGTCAAGACGGCACAATACACTATTGTGAACACAACAGTATCAAGTGCCAAGAGAGGGGACTCTGCTTGAGACTGAAGAAAGTCTCTACTTTCATCTTGGTAGGGCGTGATTTCTCTTCCACTCTCTTTGACCGCGCGTCCCGGGAGCCTGGCTTTTTGTCTGGCTGAAGAGCCATGTTAAGTGCTGTCGACGCTACATGACGCGGAGTCCCTAACCACGTCTTCCTCTGCCCGTCACCCGTTTATTGGTTCACACCCTCGCCAAGTCAACCGTTGGTAATTAAATGTTGATGCAAGTTCAGAAAAGTCGGCTTGGAGGCTAGAAAGTGGAGAAGCGGAGGGACAGTGGAAGATGATCCAAGCGAGCCGAGTGCGGGAATCCAACCTCAGGCTCGACTGCGTCTTTGGTGTTTGGCATTGTTGCCCCGTGCGTCCAGACAAGGCCACTGGAAAGGCAAGCCTGCACTCGTGCGGGCAGAAGAGTCACACAGGAAGAGTTCAAGAGGCGAGTATCAACCTTGCCACCAGGGCTGTAGCAAATTGCCTTGCAGCCCAGAGCGATATAAGAAAGGCCACCAGAGACGGCAGGAAAGCTATCCGGAGTCGAGAGCGTGAGTGGTTTTTAAAATGGGAACGGAAGGAAGGAAACGCAGCGCCTGTTCTGCTGACCAGGTCGTCCTACGCCTTGCACTCAAGTGCTTTTGTCCGGCGCGTAGGCTAGAGATGCATCTGCGGGTGGGTGGTCTTCCCTGGACCTGAGCCGAAGCGCAGGCGGGTGGCTGGTGGGTGGTTCCACCGTATCCACCGCAGATGCAGCGCCAAGTTCCGATTCTGCAGCGTCTGGACTCTAATCGCTGAGTGTTGTCTCGCGCGCTGGCCTACAACGGGATTGAAAAATGCCACATCAGCTAAAGATGTTGCCATCACGATTTTCAGTGGGCCCAGGACGGTGACTAATCGCACCAGCTTGGCGGGAGGAAAACCGTGGCCTCGGGACGTGGACGTGACGCTTCACCGAATCATTTACCCCGAAAACGACCAAGAAGACAACACAATGGTCTGTCAAGCCACCCCCCCAATCAGGGCGCGCGTGAAAACCCCTGACACTCCCCGCAGGTTCACGCCGACGCGTCCAACTTCGCCAGTGGCGTCACCAAGGACGAGGCCTACGAGCAAGTCCTGCTCCAGGCCAAAGGGCTGTTCGCAGACCAGCGCAACTGGGTTCGTGAGCGCCTCTCGGCCGACACTTACTTGAACGCGTCGACTGACGGTGACAGGTTTGGTATGCGCCACCAGTCCACTGAGGATTCGTGACATGGGAGTAACCAACAAGACGCCATGGCAAGCAACCTCGCCAACGCCGCCTCTTTGTTATGGCACGCCTACAAGTCGCTACCGCCTCCAAGCAGCCAGGTCAACTGGGCGGGCAAGTACTCCCCCAGTGTCCACCCCCCAAGACGGCTGCGGCTGAACCGGGTTTTCGCTTCAAGGATTCTACGTCTTGGACCCTTCCTCCAAGGACCCGCAACTCATCCTCGGGCCCTTTCAGGGGAAAGTCGCCTGCCAGACCATCAAGTTTGGCCGCGGCATCTGCGGCACGGCGGCGGCGTCGCGGGAGACGCAGCTGGTCGACGACGTGGACCGCTTCCCCGGCCACATCGCCTGCGACGGAGACAGCAGGAGCGAGATTGTCGTGCCGGTCCTGGCCGACGACCGCGACGGCAGTGGGACGAGGGCCGTCGTCGCAATCATCGATGTCGACTGTGCCACTCTGGGCGGCTTTGACGAATCCGACAAGAGGTACCTGCAGCAACTGGCCGAGCTGCTGTCCAGAAGCTGCGACTGGTGATTAGAGCACGTGGCGCCACCATAGATCTCCTGCTCGATGCAGTCATCAATCACCTTTAAAGGTGGCTTCCTCATGGTTCGGCCCGCGAGCTGCCGTATGTTGGTGACGTGGAGACCTCTGATGTTCTTCTTTGCACGGCGATGGCGAAGCCGGGGAAATGACGTTGCCACGAGGAATGGACAGTCCAACACATGTTTCTGTCATGCCACGCACGACCCCGTGGTTTCAGCGCTCAAGACAAGGCGGTCCCTATGGCGACGGAGCAATGGCCATTGTGTCCGGGCCATCGACAGAGACAGGCTGACCCACCGGATGCGGATAGGGCCTGAATTGGCGGCTCAATGCGCAGCGCTATTGCAGTGTTCCCTTTTCTCGTTTCCGATGGTGGACCTTGGGGGAGGAGGAGGTTGGTCGTCGGATCCCGGACCCCTGCTCTCTTTCGATGGACCGCGGCAGTACATTGTTTTCGTTTCGTTTCTCGGTTCGCATCCCGCTGTTGATATGAACCCAAGCCTCGTCCCGGGCGACGTCAGCAAAGACTTGGCGCAGCTCAGCCAGGATTTGTAGCCATTGCAGAGACGGCGGCTGATTCGCCGTCACTTGTGGCATTTGCCTTCTAGAAGCTTGCGTCGCGAGAAGGGGCTCAGCAGTTGGTACCGGAACCTGAAGAGGTACCGACCGTACTTCGTAGGTCCTCTTTACGGGGCGGTACCTGTTCTTGCGCCCCCGCTTCAGCCTCCAAAGGACGGCAAACGGTACACCTCTCCGTCTCCAAAGCCTCGCAGTGCATCCCGTGCATCCCCCAGCGAGTACGTTCGTAGTGGCAGCCGCAGCACGGCTTCTCTGGTCCTCTCCTCCTCCTCCCAACTCCTCCTCCCACCTCCTCCTCCTTGCAGCGGGCCGACCAAGCTAACGGGCAGCCGCCCAAGCAACCACGCCCTCCGTGAGCCATGGACCGCTGAAAGCCGCCCCCACTAATAGTACCTGAGCAGAGCGCTAGAGCTCGTCGGGCGTAGGCCGGACCCTTGCAGCCGCCGGGTACCGTCCAGGTAGCCGCTACCAGCCTCTTTGTTTTCAGGCCCCTCCTCCCAGCCACCGCGCCTCGGGACCGGCTGCCCTACACGGCCGCTGCTCGCGCGGTACTTGGGGCTACCTGCTCCACCGGCGCCCAACGTCGCCGTCTGGAGCTCCCCCCCAGGTACCGCCTGTTAGAGAGCTTGCAGATGCTCATGCAACAAAACAAGGCGGCGTCATCCTCTTTGCGCTCTCTTCCCTCTCTTGCATTCAATTACTCCGCGTCTCACTCATTGTCCCGATCAGCGCCCGAAATAGCTGTGCTCGCCGTTTGCGATTCTTTCCTTTTCCTTAAGTCTCATACCTGGTTTTCCTTTCATTCTTAATTCCGACTCTCGCCGCTTGTTATTGACGCTTGGTTGCCGATGTGAGCTGTCTCTCCCTCTGCCCTTTTGCTGCATCACCTCCACAAGCTCTCCGTTTCCTTGCGGCACGCACTCGACAATGGCGACCAAGACGATGCCCTTTGCCCTCAAGGGCGGCCACACTGCCGGCATCTTTGCCGACATGTCCGTCGACGGCCCACCCATTGGCACCCTCGTCACCGTCGTCGACAGGGCCAAGAACCTGCCCAACCGCAAGACAATTGGGAAGCAGGATCCTTACTGCGCGGCCAGGCTCGGCAAGGAGGCAAAGAAGACGGCCACTGATGTCCGTGGCGGTCAGACGCCCAAGTGGTAAGGTGTCCTCCAAGCTCTCATCTCATCTCATATTGACCGCGTCGCTCCTAGGGATCAAGAACTGCGCTTCACCGTCCACGATTCCCCCGACTACTACCAGCTCAAAATCTCCATCTTCACCGACGACAAGAAGACGGACCTCATTGGGGACGCCTGGATAGACCTCAAGGCCATCATCGTCCCCGGAGGCGGCCAAAACGACGTGTGGCAGACCCTCATGTGCAAGGGCAAGTACGCCGGCGAGATTCGACTTGAAATCACCTACTACGACAGTCGGCCAAAGCCCGACAAGCCGGCTGTTAAGCGCAGGCTCCCTAATGCCTCGGACCAGGACATGGGTTCGGTGAAGCAAAGGGCTGCCACCAAAAGACGGCCTCTGCCGTCTGACCCCGTCACTGGCGAGGCCCCGTCACCTCCTCCGTCGGCTCCCCAGCCCGCGGTACATGCGTCCCCAGACCATCACCAGCAAACGCCACCACGACCCCACGCCCATGTCCCGACCCAATCGCCGCTTCAGGCAGTAGAGTACAGTACCCCTGCGGCGCGCCAGCATCCCGACCAGTACTCGCCATCGCCTCAGTCCGGATACTCGACCTCTCGTGTGGATGGTCCTCGGCCCGCCCAGAGGCCCAGGGAGGCGTACGACACGCCCTCGCGCCATTACGACGAAAGTGCCTACGGGCCAAATGTGGCCGGCTCTCCCTACGATCAGCCCGTTTCGCGGGGCCAGCACTCTCCACTGCCGGAGCACCACACTGTGACGCTGCCCGAGGGAGACTGGGTGCAATCTCAGCCGATCGAGGACGAATGCCCACCGCCACCGCCGGCGCATCGCTCCATGCCCAGCGGAGACGGCCAGGAGCTGGTGCGCCGGGGCATTTACGACTCCCCGCCGCAGATGGTGGCGCCCTCAACACCCATGAGGCACGGGGTACTGAAGAGCGAGGCACTCAGGCACTCGGCCCCCACCTATCCAGGCCGACCACTCTTCCGGCCCTATGACCCAAATTCGCCAGGCTCGAGTCCCTCCGAGTCCCACAACGGCTCTCCTGTCCCACCAAGGTATCACTCGTACGATCCTGCGAGCGACTCGCAGCACCGATCGATGCAGCCCACGGTGGAAGATGTCCCGGAGTCTCCGCCAGGGGTTCTGGAGAGTTCTTACAAGCACGGTGGCCCGAGGTCCACCTCCAATGACGAGATGATGTTCGAGTCGGCCCCTCGTTCGGAAACGATGGATCTCATGCGCTCGCCCGCCGCATCGTCGCGCCACGCGAGCCTGTCTCCTGGACACGGCCGCGGCGGGCTTCCGACTTCCGCATCGCTCGTCCATGTCAGGGACCAGTCGAATGGCCTCATGTATCAGTCACTCAAGCGACAAAGCCAGCGCCCAAGCCCAAGACCTGAATTTGAAGCGGGCCAGGCGCGCGGCTCTCCGGGCTGCGCCCTGCCAGATGTCCCTGCGTCCCTGTCTCCTGGAATGGACCCGGGCTTGTCTCGTGAGATTTTGGAGCAAATATACGAGGAGCATCGCCACGACGGCCGACATGCAACGCCTCCTGGGACAACGCCGACGAGGGGTCGTCACGATAACGACGAATCCCAGGCATACCGCTCCCACTCTCCAGGATACGTGGCCCGTCTGTATGAGGGCCGGCCCGATGTGACCTACTCGGGAGGGCCAGAAACCCAGCTGGTCCGACGTGGTCACGCCTCACCTAGCCCGAGCCCGAGTCCGCAGCACAGAATCCCGCGGAAATCGGTGAGCCCTGGGCCGCCGGCGGCCGAGGACCGGATGATATCCGATACTCCTTTCAGCCCCGACTCGTACGACGCGCTGAATCCTGCCCTGGGATCGCCCCGGGAGCCCCGTCCGAAGACGGAACGAATCGAAATGGGCGGCAAGATCATCACACACGATGGGCGGGAAGTTGACCCGTCGGACCACTTGCCAATGGAGTCGTGGGCTCCGGAGCCTGAGCCAAAGGGCGGCCAGATGCAGGCGTCGCCAGATTCCCGTAGCAGGCCCACTCCGTCGGGAGCTCAACCCATGCCCCCCAGTGGCCGAAGGCCGCTTCGGATTGCTCGCGCGCAGCCAAGCACGACGTCGCCGCCTTCATATCATTTTGACGACAGCCCTCGCACGCCTCCGGTGTCTGGACGCGGTCGGCTTCAGAAGAAGGCCGCACGAGGACCCCCGGGGCCCTCGGCCGCCATGTCCAGCCCTCTCGCACCCGTTTCAACGGACAACTTCCAAGAACGACAGATTGTGTACACTCGAACGGGCGGACCCCGTCGCTGGGGCTCATGGGATTACCCCAACGAGAACCACGCACCGCAGCATAACGCCGCTCCGCCGATTCCGGCTAAGATCCCCTTTACGGCGATGAGCGGCGCCAACGGAGGGGGGGAGCTGGCATTGATGCACGAGATGCAGCGGATTGACATCGGGTCCGGCAGGTCTAGACGCCGGGGAGGATATTGAAAAAGGATTGAGCAAGACAGGATGGATGATGGAAAACTACACGAGATTGATTTCGGGGCAATACGGGCTGTCTTTCAGGAATATGGATGGGCCAGGGGAAACAGCGAGGGAGACAAAGCATTTGCGGAGTAACAAGGAGTTGGGGCTGCTGCCAATGGATTTGGATGGGTACATGTACTTTAGATTCTTTCAACGAGGGCTAATCGTATGAATGGTGAAGCAGTGAAGCTACTCTGGCCGACTTTGCATCAGCGTGAGAATAAGAGTTGAAGACTGAACCGTCGTCCGGCAACATTGCTTGTACTTTGTACTCTGGAGGTCTTGAAGAGGAAATGGAGGAGAGGACGCTAGTCCTGTTACAGCAAAGCGCCATCCGCCCCGCGCGGCAGCGATTCCGCACATCGAAGTCCATTTGACGTTAAGGGACTTTTTTTTTTTTAAATTTTTTAAACCGCTAGAGAAAACCTCCGACCGACTTCATCCATCCGGCAGCTCCTCCAAGATTGCGATTTAGGTAGCGCAACTGCTCATCCTCGGCATCATCAACAACTATAACTGCAGCTACCACCAAAAGAGCGACTCGAATATCAGCAACAACAGCGGCGGCAGGGGCCCCAGCGGGCACACCGCGACAACCAGCAGCAGCAGCATCGGCAACAGCAGCATCAGCACAAGCAGCATCAGCAGCCATGGCCGCTCCCGTGGGGCCGCTCCCACAGCTCAGGCTGCCGTCGGGCCCGTCGCCAACGACGGCGGAGCAGCGGTACTGGAAGACGTTCAAGAACCAGGTGCTGGTGCCGTCGGCAACGGGCTACGCGGCGACGCACCTGTCGTGCGCGGGCGACGTCTTCGCCGTGACGACGGGCACGCGCGTGCACCTCTACTCGAGCCGGACGCGCAAGCTGGTCAAGACGATAACGCGCTTCGGCGACGTGGCGCGCTGCGGCGAGGTGCGCCGCGACGCAAAGGTGCTCGTCGCCGGCGACGACGGCGGGCGCATGCAGGTGTTTGACGTGGGCTCGCGCGCCATCCTGCGCACCTGGACGCAGCACCGCCTGCCCGTGTGGACGACGAGGTGGTCGCCGACGACGCCGACGACGCTGCTCAGTGCCAGCGACGACAAGACGGTCCGCCTGTGGGACCTGCCCGGCGCCGAGCCGACGACGACGCTGTTTGGCCACGCCGACTATGTCCGCTGCGCGCGCTTCTTGCCGGGCTCCATGGCCAACATGGTCGTCTCCGGCAGCTACGACGCCACGGTGCGCCTGTGGGATCCGCGCATCGCCGGCGCCGCCGGCGCCGTCATGACCTTCAAGCACGCCGCCCCCGTCGAGGACGTGCTCCCCCTGCCCTCGGGCACCACGCTGCTGGCGGCCGCCGGCAACGCCGTCAGCGTCCTCGACGTCGTCGCCGCCCGGCCCCTGCACCTCATCAGCAACCACCAAAAGACGGTCACGTCGCTCAGCCTCGCCTCGAGCGGCCGCCGCCTGCTCACCGGCGGCCTCGAGGGCCACGTCAAGGTGTTTGAGACGACGGGCTGGAACGTCGTCCACAGCTCAAAGTACCAGTCCCCCGTGCTGTCCGTCCTCGTCATCCCCTCGGGCGACGCGCCCGACGCGCCCGACCGCCACCTCGCCGTCGGCATGCAGTCGGGCGTCCTCAGCGTCCGCACCCGCCTGACGGTGCCCGAGGCGGCGCGCGAGCGCGAGCGCGAGCGCGAGATGGCGGCCCTGGTGAGCGGCACCGTGGCCGCCCTCGACGCCGCAAAGTCGAAGCGCAAGCGCCGCATCGAGGCTGCCTCCTGCCTCGACATGGTGGGCGAGGACACGGACATGGTCGTCCTGCACGACGCCCGCGACTCCCGCAAGCGCGAGCGCCCCTGGCACAACGACCTCCGCCACGCCCGGTACGCGCGCGCCCTCGACCGCGTCGTCGACCGCTCCGACCCGGACTACGCGCCCCTCGAGGCCCTCTCGCTGCTGCTCAGCCTGCGCCACCGCGGCGCCGTGCGCGACGCCCTCGAGGCCCGCGACGAGCAGACGGTCCTGCCCGTCATGCGCTGGGTCTGCGCCCACATCTGCGACCCGCGCTACGTCAGCGTCTGCGTCGAGGTCGCCCTCAACCTGCTCGACCTGTACGCAGAGTACGCCGGCGGCTCCCCCGAGCTGCACGACGGCTTCTGCACCCTCCACCGCCGCGTCAAGCGCGAGGTCGAGGGCGCCCAGGTGGCCTCCCTGACGGGCGGCATGCTCGACTCCTTGGTCACGAGCACCATGCAATAGGAGCATCATGGGCCAAAGCTGGCTGGCTGAACCAAGAAGAGCAGAGGTTCCCCCTTCCCCTCCCTCAGGAACTGTGCTGGGCAAGCTGGGTCCGTGGGCGTTTGGGAGGAATACAGATCCGTACAGGGAGTAAAAGGAACGGAAGAAGAGGCCGGAAAGCATACCCCCCAAAAATGGATAGATCCTTGTACATGTCTATTTATATGTCTTCTTCGCAGCCCCATAGACTAGCACTTGACGAGCAAAAGCAGGCGAGGCACTTCAACGTTAGCTACCTGAGCAAGCAGGGTATATATAGCCTTTCCCGCTGCCCGCATATAGAAACGTATCCATCACGGCACCCTTTTTCACCAAAGATATAGAGAGGCCGCTGATGCCGTGATCGCGGTGCCGCTTCCAAGGGAAATGGGCGGGGGATGGTTTCCGCCCGCCCGCATAAACCTCGACCGCATCAGAGCAGGACTGTTCAGGCTGCATCTCATCCGTTGCTTTTGATCACCTAGTTCTCAAAACTACAACTTCTGACATGCCCATCTCATACAGACGACCAATCTGTGCGTCTTCTCCCCCCGTCTCATCATCTATCACCCCCGCGCCACTCCCGAAAATCACCAGCGGCGCAGCCAACTGCTCGCTCGCGTCCGCCCTCCCTCCTTTCCGGACCCTCCAAGGTCGATCAAGTCCTATACCTATACAGAACCCTGGAAGGTCCCCTCCCACAGCTCGCGCATGAGACCCTAGAAGGTCTACGTGGTATCTCCTCCGCTTCCCTCCCGAGTATAAACGCAAGGAAACCCCGATGACGTACTAGTAAGAGATAATGGGTTAAAAGACTTTTTCGGTCGCGCGCGGCGTCCTGGTCAAGGAAAAGAAAAAAGGAATGGCGGGACAACGTGCCCTTGCCAAGCAGAAAGCAGGCTGCCCACGGACCCGGGCATCGACGCATCTGACGATGTGGACCACTGTGCATCGAGTCTGCGCAAACCGCGCATCTTTGACTCCTCCCGCCCTATAGGTACTTACCCAGGCTGCACACGCGAGCTGAGAAATATTCAACGGAGCCGACGCCGCTGCCAACATGTTCCAGAGCCAGGCCCAACCCAACAGATACTCTGCGCTCAAAGGGGGGTGTTGAAGAGCAAGGGGTATCGCCCCTTCTCGCAACCGCCGAATCATTTGACAGCATCTTGAGGTCGTCAATGCATCGCCAAGCCGAACTGAATGAAAGGCAGATGCAGTTTCGAAACAAGCCTCGCTACTACCTGCGAAGGAGGCGTCGTCGTTGTAACGGACAGAGCAAATCTCCGCGGCCATCGAGGCTGCGCATTTTGTTGACACTGTCTGCCGGGCCGGTGCTTCACCTGCCGCGTGTCATGTCCGTGTGTGCGTGGGGAGACATGGCCAGGCTCCCGGAGGCGTGCTACACCAGAGGCGGTGCCGCCATGAGCATCTTGGGCGTATGCAGGCTCGCGCCGCTCGAGAAGCTCGAGCTTGTTCTCGGATCGTGGGCGAACAAGTCCCGCTGCAGACCCTCGAGGATGTGCTTGTCGATTCTCAGAGAGCTCGTAGCCGTCGCTGACTGCCGCAAAAAGGATATTGTCCTGACGAAGAGCGCCTGCAAGAGCTCTTCGTCGATCATGGCGTGAAGGATAGGGTCCTTGTAAGCAGCCGCGAGAACAAGGAGGTTTCCCCACTGGCTGTGTAGGCTGTTAGCTGGGCGGTCGCTTAGAATCGGAGACATGTACTTACGCATGTGCCGTTCCAAAGACGTTGGTGATGATGGGCCGTTTCTCGCCGAGACCATGGAATGCCCTTGTGCTCTCGACCAGGGCCTTGATGCCTCTTTGCGCCAGCTCGACAACCTTGGGGTCGATGTCGCTCATGGTCCTCGCACCCGAGGCAATCCTCGAGTAGACGTATCCTTCGCGGAACTCGGTCATGTGTGGGCTCGACGGATGGTTCTTGCGGCTGTGATTGAATTCCAAGATCATCCTGACGAATGGCCGATATGTAATTACTTGAGCCCCCCAGTACTTTCCGCGCAGCCGGGCCGAGAGAATGTCATCTGCGGGCGGATCGTCTTCGTTGAAGGCGTAACGTGGCGCAATCCAGTCCATGCCCAGAACGGCCTTTGCCACGAGCTCAACGCTGTTCAGCTTGTTTTCATGCTGCTTGTCAGGGTCCAAGGGATCCTCGGGCGCATAAAACAGGCGGTGGATACTATTTAGATGCGTCCGCAGGTAAAGCTGGCCCGGGTAGCTGTCCAGCACCCTCTGATCCACGTCATCGAGCAGGCTCATGTTGGGATGTGGCATGTCGTCCTCGTACGACAAGAGTCCGGACGGAGGTAACGGCATCTCGGCGATGAGATCGCTGTCGTTAGGGCCTGGTTAGTTGTCGGTGGTAAGCACGCCGTTGCATTGTCTCTCACCTTTCCAGCTGTAGGCACGTCCAGAACGCCAACGCCAGCTGATTGTACTTGGGATCTTGGATGAATTCTCGGTTGTGTTTCATTTTGCGCAGCTTGTCCAGGCTCCTGCGCCTCGAGTCAGGACACGGCAAAAAAGGTGAAAGGGGAGGAGCTTACGGTCTCATAATGACTTGCAGCTTGTGGCTGGCCTGATGGATAAAAGCGAAGCTCTCGATTGGCCGCGCCAGTTGTCCTTGGTAGAGACCCGCAAAGATGTCGGCGTACACGTTCTTCATGTTCTTGTAGGCTCCTGTATGGTTTCCCAGGATATCCGTCGCAAACGCAAAATATTCCAGGCCGGGTATCACTTCGTAGTTTTTCTTGAGGCTGTAGCCGACGCGGACGCCACCGGGACCATGGATAGATGATCGCCTGCTCTGAGCGCCCCGCTCCGGTTCCCTGGGAGAGGCAAGGCTGGAAGAATGGGAGTGGGAAGAATGGCTGGGGGGAGAGCCTTGGATCGGCGAGGGCGGGATTCCGTTTCGGTTCATGGGGCTCCCCTGAGGCTGCGGATCCCCATGATGCAGCGCGTCAGGGACGCAGTCGCGATGGAGGCATATCTTTCCGAGCGCCAGCACCGTCAGGATGAGGGCGTTGTGGATGGACCGTTCCGGCCTGCCAGCCCTCACAGGGCCATCCAAGCCGTCGGGTCCGGGAGAGCGCTTCCGCTTCAAGCCCGTGGAATCTGTTGGAGTGTGGCAGCCGCTCGCGAACGCGAAGCCGGGCTTGGTGGTGTGATGCTTGAGGGATTTCGGGTGAGCCCTGGGCAGCGAGTCGAGGAACTGCTGGACCCAGTCGTCGAGGGTTTTGGGTTGTATAATGGGGTGCATGTTCAAGATGTTCTCCTTGAAACTCTCCACGTACTGTTTGACTCTGAACTCGCTGAAGTCGGGGTTGCCGTCGATGCCGAGAACGCCACCCCTGTAATCGACCTGATCGCCGGGGCTGAGCCCTCCCAGACGACCCCAGTCGGCGGCCGGGGAAGGTGAAGCCATGTCGGAAGAGTCGTCGGCCATATCTAGCTGGCCGTGGTCCACAATGTCCCGATGCCGCGAGGGGTGCGAGTCTTCGCCCCGGCCATACACGATCAACGGGCCCCGGTTTTGCTCCGGACTGATGGGAAACTCTCTGACATGATAGATGCCCTCCCTCTCAACGTGATGCTTCGTGATTTCCCGGATAGGCGGCCATTCAAGAAGCAGACCGGCCAGAGTGGTGTGGTTAATGGGAATCGCAGGCTCTCCAGGGGGGACGGGGGGGCCCGGCTCCGCCTCGATCTCATCCTCTGCCGTGATGTGCATAGGAAGACGTTCGGCACGGATCTGGTCGCGGGCGGCATCGTTTAAGTGATAGGGGTTGTCGGCCCCGCCGTCGGTGATGGACGAGTGACGCGACATTGCTTTCATCTCGTCGTCGGACAAGGGGTCAGATCTGACGTGGCCGTTGCCAGAAAACCTAGTAAACGACGATTCGAGCTTGGTGATCCTATCATTCATCATGCCCACGTGGTTCACCAATGACGACAGGCTATTCTGCATCATCGTAATGCCCTCCAGGATGTCGGCCTGGGCCTTGTCGGTCCTGTCGACCATTAGCAACTGGAAATTCCTCGCTCGGCAGGGCAGCGTGCCGCATACGCTTTTGGCACAGGATCCCTATACCGGCACTCGGTGCCCTTGTCCCTGCACGTCTTGCAGGGCTTGGTCTCGTCGCATTTTGCTTTGAGTTGGCGGCATTGGTCACAGGCCTTGGGCCGGAGGTGTTAGTCTCGCGCCGGCTCAACGTGAAACGGGAACCAGAGGTGGATAGGTCAGGAGAGAAAGGCCGGGGCGGGGGCTCATACCTGTGACGCCCGCGTGTTCTTCTTCTTGGCCGCGCTGACGGAAGAGTAGACGCTGTAGAAGGTTTCCGTCGCCGACGGATAGCCACTGTGGTGAGGCTCATAGGAGGACTGGTGCGAGGGCGTGGGAGGAAAGGACGGGGGGCGGTAGACTCCAGCAGCCGGAGGCACCGGCGGCCCGCCGTCGTAGCTCATGTGTCGCGGTTGACTCTCGGCCGCGTAGGGCGAGGGCTGGAGCGGCGCGGGAGGTTGGGGGGCCGACGCGGGGTGGGCTGTGGGAGGGAGAGGGTCGGGGGCATGGCCCGTAGAGTTGGGCCGCCGGAGATCGTCGCCAGTTTCCCGTTTTATAAGGGAGTCTCGCGGGGGGTACTGGTGATAGGGATGGGGATGAGCGGGCGAGTGAGGTTGCTGTTGCGGTGGGGGATGCTGGCGATGGTGGTCTTGCATGGGGGCAAGAGTCTCTTGGTCGTGATGGCGACGGTCGAGGTCGGGATGCTGGTGGGCATGACCGTGTAATGGTGCCGAAGCAGACGGCGGCGGATCTGCGGAGTGGGGTGGGTAAGGCTGTTGATATGGAGCCGGGGCTGGGTGAGGTTGAGAAGGATGAGCTGGTGGTGGCGGCGGATGAGGACGCGGAGCCGCTGGAGTAGCATGAGGATGCGGGAGTGACGCACCCTGCGCTGTGGAAGCCGACCACGAGGAGAGACGAGGGCGTTTGCCATCGGGAAGTCCTGGATCCATACTTGTGGTGCTCGACGTACCGCCACGCAAGACAGAACACATGCTCAGGAACGAGGCGTGAGGCGAAAGCAGGGACCACCGAGGGGCAACGGCCAGGCCATGGGCTAAAGGCGAAACAAGCAGACACCCAGGGAGTGAAGCTGGAAAAGGAGCTGGTTTATTGGGCCGTCGCGCTCAAGACCGGGAGCTTGGGAACAAGGCCGGACATGGGGTGGGCGCGCGAGGCTCGCACGATTGGTAGGCTATGATGACATGAGCCGGGGGACCAAGCAAGCAAAGAGGTCGGTTCAACAGAAGTCGAGCCAAGGCCGCAAAGGCGGCGAGGCGATCAGCAGCAGTTGGGCAGCAGACGAGAAAGCTCTCTGGAGCTATCCAGGAGGAGACAGCCTGAGTAGTGGGGCGCGGGAGCAGCGACTGGCCCCCCCCCCCCCTCTCTCCCGTGGATGGGAGGGACCGCGAGTACCGCAGGCTTGTACAGCGTCGCAGCAGGTTGGAGGCTGTGTACAAGGAGCAGGCTGAGGTTGCACAGCGTAGGTACGTGCGGCCGAGGTTGCAGCCTTTCCCAAGCTATCGCAGGGCTAGCGGCCAGACGAGAGGACGACGACGTCGGACAGGGCGCGGCGGGTGGCGCGGCGATGGGACAATGTCGAGTCCCATCCAGACTGGCGAGCAGGAAGGGCAAAAAAGACGGTAAGCCGCGATGGGGGAGCTGAGGGCCGAACCCACGAAACGGACCCTGCCCTGTGGCTCTTTCTCGAGCGCGCTCTCTGTCATTCATCAGCAGGCTAACAGGACCAGGGTGGCTTGAAGGGCGTCCGTATGTGCAACGAGCTCCAGCTCCAGACGAGACCGGGGGGGAGTGAGGGTGGTGGTGGTGGTAGTCGACAGGGAGCGCCGGGGGGGGATGTGCTCTGAGCAAGCTGTCGGTCGGCTTTGACACACACACGCCCCCCCTCGCCCCCCCCGCCTCCCCTCCTGCCTGGTGGTTTGTCTGGTTGCCGGTTCTTTTCCTCGAATGAGGGGTCTCGCGGCAAAAGCCTCGTTGATCCATGCCGGCGCGGATGTCGACTGCAAAGATGGGTTCGGGGCGGCAGTCGAGCGGGCCGGGCAGTGAAGGCGGTGGAGATTCGGGAGAGGCAGCGACGAAAGGGCAGACAGAGCGGGTGTCGACGTTCCATCCACAGGCGGGTAGGTACCTAGGTACCTACGTTCCTCCGGTACATCTGTACATGTCCGTGGAGGCCCAGCGTAGGTAGGAAGTACCTGCTGTACATGGTCCTCGAGCTAAAAAGGCCCGCTGGGCAGGTTATGCCATCGCCCGTGCGGCGCGGCATAAAACAGCATGGAGTAGCGGGTACCTCAGTGTCCAGGGACCAAGTGGTGTAAGTACAGGAACATGGATGGGCTTTGGGTGCCTTAGTACAGTAAGGTAGATGGGTACCTGGTAGGTAGGTACGACAGTCACCAACGTAGGTACTTGCACACTCGAGGGTAGAATGAATGAACGATGAACGCCTCTCCTGATACTATCTCGATCAAGACGACTGATTTAGTCAAGTGACGTAGCCAAACGAATCCTTCTAGCCTTGCAGACGCCCGCGGGTAATGTCAGATTCTCGATTTGCATCATTCGTCTTTGTTGACAATCACTCTCGAATGAGACGCGGCCGCCACCGCCCGACGCGGCTCGCCGGCGCCCCTGCGGGCACGTTTGGTGAAATCCAGATGACCCTGGCATCAACGGCAATAGCTCTCTTTATAGCAAGCTGCTTTACTAATGGTTTAATCAAAGCTTATAAACACCTTGTCCCTGGCCCAAAGCTTGGTCTCGTGGTGTACCTCGTCTATGCCCGTCCATGTCCAATGGACCAATACTTTTGGTCGCAATTTCATCAGATATCCAGGTGGACACGGTCTCTCTCCACCCCCACCGCCGTCAGTACAATGTGTATGAGTCGGCTGCCGTGAGACATGAAGATGCTCCGTCGTCGCCGGGCTGGGTCTACAGTACAGTATGTATACATACGCAGGTTGAGGGAAAGACGAGGCCAGTACGGCGCGTCGAGCGTGGTGTAAGTGCCCACGACGCCGTCCCGTCAAGCGGTGACGCTCGTGCCGGCATGTATCCGTACAGTACCTACAGAACAAGGCAACGTTGTACCTACAGTATGCACGCTAGGCCTCCCTGTTTAGCTTGCCTGTTTAGCTTGCCTGTTTAGCTTGCATGGCCCGGCGTGCGATGCCGATGGACATGCACATCCAAGTCCCGTCGGCCCCAGCATCCAACGCGTCGGAACCTGGCAATGGCTCACTCATTGTTTGTCTCGTCTCTTCGTCTCTACGTACATACAGTACGTACACACTGTCGTACTTTGCACGACACCTGGCCATCCAAAGGCGCCGTGATGCAGCTCGTTTACCGCCTGCCTAGCAGGGCATGCCCTGCATGCATACAGAATAAAACTCCGTGGCAAAAGCCCTGTGTGCCAAGGCGCTAGCTCGGCGAGGGGTGCCGTTGCTCGCGGAGAGCCTCTCGGTCAGTTTGCGACCGCTCTGTTTGGCGGTATCCGCGTACTATACTGCACAGTATAATACGTCGTTGTGAAGCATAGCTAAGGGAGTAACTGACGATGTCACACATGTGTATATCTAGAGCATCCTCACCTCACATTCGTCCTGGGCAGACACACGAAACTCCGTATGCATGTTGGACCGGGCAAAGGGCCGAAACGGCACGCGCTCGCATGCTTCAGCGAGCATCGCGTACGGGACATACAGGCGCCAAGTGCGGTCAGGGCTATCAATTAGTTGTACTCGTTACCTTAATTAATAGTCGTGTATCCGTACGCTATTAATCAAGGTAACAAGATGTCCGAGCTTCCAACTGGGGCCCCGAGGGCTTGGGTCACGGCCGTGCTAGCGCCGGCGGACAGCATGTCCAGCGCCGGCGAGGTCGGCGGCTGGGAACTGATTCGGGACATCAATCGCCGCCTACCCATGTCCTTCTCCGTCCTCTCTTGAGCACCACCAACTGCTCACTCACCACCCTCTACAGTAAGCGCGAGCAAACTTCACCGCGGGCCTCGCATTGGCTCGTCGGGCCCGTGTTGGCCCCGTGTTGGCCCCGTGTTGGCCCCGTGTTGGCCCCGTGTTGGCCCCGTGTTGGCCCCGTGTTGGCCCCGTGTTGGCCGCCCCATCGACTCGAGGCCAACGGCAGGAGAATGCGCACAGCATACGTACAACAAGCATCCCATCACCGCCCGTGCTGCCAGGTGAGAGCGACAGGTGTCAGAAGCCGTCTCGATTCTGTACATGTCTCATCTGCACCCTGTAGCCCAAAGTACCAGTACGGATACCCAGCTGTCCCTTGTCTCTGCCGCCTCCCCCCCTGCCGCCGCCCTCTCTGGCTGTCCTTCCATCTTGGGCCGTCTTCTTCTTCTCCACGTCTAATCCGCACACTGATGCAGCAGCATTGTTGGTTCCCATACCTGGTCCTACTTGGGCGCAGACCGCTTCCCCCATCCATCTTGTTTGTGCTTGCTGCTGCCCTGTTCCCCGCTTCCATCTCGACCCGGCTTGGCTCTCCCTCCCGAGCCCCGGTAACGGTGAGTGCCGGGTGCGGGCTTGGGATCGCTGCCTGCCGGGTCCATGGTCGGAAGTGAGAGTCAGCCCCTGGGAGGGAGTGAGGTGAGACGACGCCCATCCCGTACGACAGCAGGAACAACAACAACAACAACAACAACAACAACAACATCGCTGTCGTATCCAATTACAGTACATGCTTCGCACGTTGATCGATGACCCAGTACCAAAGTACAGTACACCGGAGCACACAGCACGACACTGGACCGCTGATTGGAATAAAGTGCTCTGTAATCTGGGCGCGTCTCGCGGGCCAAATGGGCACGGATTGCCCCATGCATCACCGCCCTCGAGCCGCCCACTCATGACGTGACACCGCAGACCGCATCTCATGACAAACACCGGGCTAAGCACCCTCGGTCATATCATACCATCATGGCCTCGCTCGTCTCGTGCTGCTTCTCCTCCTCACATCGCACCCGCCTGCGATGCTACCGCCGAGATAGGGCAACCCGCGCTCGGGAGGGGGCCTTGATGGGCATAGTACCCCCAGATTCGTACATACGTGCTCATTTGTAAGGTATAGTACAGTAGATATTAGTCGTAGTTGTCGACGCGAGCCCGGCCAGGATCACACCTCCCCGCTCCTCCTGGACGTCTGTCCGGGCTGAGTACAGTTCCCCGCGTTGCTGCCAAACCTCTGGTCAAGCCGGCACGCCTGTGTACTTTGGCGACCAGCCGTCCAACGAGTCGACGCCGAGGAGCGCGCCATCCACGCGCCGGGTCTGGGTCGGCATCAACCGAACCAGGGCGCCGAACCCATTACCTGGGTACGGAGTCGCGTTGTCCGATTCTTCCTTGTTTGGTACCAGGTCTCAGCCCCGAGGCCCCCGACGATGGCGGCAATCGAAGTGGGTTGGGCGTCCACCATACACGCAAACACGCAAGGACAGGCCTCCTTCTCCCCGCACGAAGACTTGCTGCTTGCTGCTTCGGGGAGGTGTCTACAAGTTGTCCCATACGAGTAGGTATGTACCCCAATGATCGTGGCGACGGCTTGAGCATCATCCCTGTATACTACGCTCCCATGCCATCTCATCCCAGAGGCAAGATACACAGTCTTGTCATGTTAGTTTTGGGCACATTTCGCCCTTCTCGGCAGATGTCGGCACGTACACGTACACGGTCAGATGTAATGGCAGATGTATATGGCTCCTGCGGCCCCTCCGACTGCAGCTGGTGGCCCTGAAGAGCTGATGAGACGAGACGCACATCGCTTGTCGAGACTGGCCCTCGAGTTTCAGCGGCGGCAGCCCTGTGGAGTGAATGATTGCATGCGCCCACCTAATACAGACCTACTGTACCTGCCTGACGAAACATTGCTCTACTGTCCGTCTCC